GAAAATGCGATTTAATGTGTCCCATGCGTTGCCATGGACACACTCATAACAGAAGGTACATCAAATCGTATTCCACGAGGCATCAATCAAACCTTGAGAATAACTACTTCCCACGGAATATACATCAGGGACACACTCGGAACACGTCGGCAGTTTACGGCGGAAATGAACGTCGACAATCTTATAGCTGGATGTTCATTAAAGGAAACTACCACATATCTGCAAGATCGAATGGCATTTGTAAATCTAATAGTCTAACTGACCCAAGGGAACGTCAAAGAAGATTGCCCTCCAAACCCCCTCCGATTCTTTCATACAACGCACGTTAAGTCCCTGCACTCGTATCCTCAATGCAAGATGGAGGTGGATATCCAAGGAAAGAGTTTCAATTGAGATTAGAAATATCACAAGATAAGAGAGCAATCACTTAATTTCCAGGATTTGCTATGTGATGATCTCAAATACAAGCGACAAAATTCTTTCGATTTTCAAAATTATACCACTCCGACTGTATCATGGCAAAAACGTATATATACGTCTTTGATCATGGGCATGCGTTTATGAATCACTGTCAAAATCATGGGGAGCAATGAATTGATTACTAATTTTATTGGATTATGGAAGAAACTGGAAATCTGACACTTCTGCTTGCTTCGATCACGATCTTGTTTTTTCGATAAACCCCCGGGTTACATTTTGGATTGTCTGGTCCATTTTGGTCTGCCATCGTAATAATTGTGGGATTTTGCTGAACACGTCTTTACTCATTGGCTTCTAATCAGGCAAATGAAGAAGTATTTAGGAGTGTGGTTATCGATACCTATACAAGTGTAGTTTCTGTTATAATAATTGGACATCACGGCCATTGGTCTTCCAGGTCTTGGACGATCCTTTCCTTCACCGGTGGCCACGTGATTCCTTACAAGTCTGCTGACAACTGAGTGGTTAAAGTTCGCTATTGCTACAGATAATACCTGCCTCATGCACGCCCATGACTTACCAGTCTAAGTAAACTTAGGCTCAGTATTATTCGTTACACTGCTATACTGAGGCTAACAAAACCTAGAAGGTCGCGTCAGCTGACCTTTGAGCGACCTATGACTGTCCAATCAAATGCGAGACAGCCGAACGGATTTCACCAATCAGACAACGACTACTTGTTAGGGTTCGGCGGGACTTTCTCTTCCCTGGTCGCTGACATCAGGGAGACTATATTGTAGAGTATCCCTGCTGACACTGATCTATCAACAAACGAAAATCCGCATGAAACACAGATATTTGACCTGCAGTATATACGCTTAGCGACTGTTTACTCATTGCGTGTATCACTCGGAAGCAATCGTGCGGAAAATAGCATTCGGAATCGTTCGAGTTTTTGAGTTAAAGGTTCAAACGGTATGTGCGAATTTGGCGATTTGGTAAGCTGTGTTCTGATTGGTCAGTCCGAAAGGTTAGCCGACGCGACCTTCTACTAGGTTTTGTTAGACTCAGTATAGCAGTGTAACGAATAATACTGAGCCTATAAGTTTACTGAGACTGTTGACTTACCATCATGTTTTCTGAATGCCTACTTCCTGCCATGTCAAGAAACGTTTAGTTTGAGTAGTGTTATAGTAGTTTACGACAACTACAGTTCGCATACTTTAAGTATGAAATTTATACCCCAACGTGCTTGGTGCCATCGCAGCACGTGAACATGTGACCAATGTCTTTTGAGATATTGTGAGGGAGCAAGTGACCGTCCCAGTGTGCGACGGTATGATCGCTTCTTTTTGCCGAAACTTTTTAAGATTGCCCTTGGTTTCAGATGGTGTTTGCTTAAAGCTCAAGGTCTCAATCCACAAAGCATTCGTAACGTTACGGTCTGTCGTAACTCTACAGTTTACGAATGTGGCACGGGACCCATGTGTATAGAAAAACCAAAAGAATAATGTTGTAGCCCTACGAACGACCCATGTGTATACAATAACAAAAAGAACCCTTTCAAACAGTTTTTTTTTAAAACTTCACAATCTATCAGCATTTAATCGTTATTAAACTTCCATTTGTCCTAGCCTTGGCACAGTGGCAGTATACTGAGCCCTGTGTTTGTGTAGCTAGTCTGCCGAAGCACTCTGTCAGCAAACGTAAGTCGGTATTCTAATGTTCCAGCAAGGCAGCAACTACTGTCTGCGCTGAGGTGTTTATGTTGGGTCGTTTTCCAGATTCCTTGATTAGAACTGCTTCCAATTTGATTCCAGCTTCGAAGAACGAGCTGACTTTTTATGTTATTTAGTATCCTTAAGGGTGTGATTTGTGAAGTTTTTTATGGTCGAATCTTGAATGAAATCTTGAATTCTTATCAGCATTAAAGACCCAAGACGCCTGCTCTATAAATGCAGGCGATAACTATCGGAATAGGAGGAGATCTTCGCAATAGAACAGCTTCCTCAATGTGAATATTTTTACATGAGATATCAGAACATTTACTAGGTGATGTCCCTAGAGCTATCATTGTAAAGATAAAGACTAGAATTGTGATAAATGGAGAGCAGCGATTTGAGTTAACCGTGAAGAAATTGAAGGAGTGAGATAGTGAGTGAGTGGGTTGAGTTTAACGCCGCTTTTAGCAATATTGCAGCAATATTACGGCGGAGGACACCAGAAATGGGCTTCACACACTGGACCCATGTGGAGAATCGAACCAGGGTCTTTGGCTTGACGAGCGAACGCCTTAACCACTAGGCTACCCCACCGCCTCAGTGAGTTGGTGAGTTAGTTGGGTTTAACGCCGATTTGAACAACATTCCTGCTATATTACATATATTGTATAAAGTCAGCATAATGTGAGGGAAATGCCTTAAGTGATGCAGATGTTGTACCTCTTGGTGAAAGCAACGAGCACAGTGATGGCGCTGTGAAAACCATAAAGCCAGGGCGAAACTGGATTCGAACCCATGATCATAGGTTGACAAGTTGAAGGAGGTACAGGTGCTGGATACCCTTGGCTTCTTAGAAAGGTTGAATAAATGAGGATCGGGTGACTGTAAAGCGACTCCCCAAACCTCTTAAATATTTTTCGTTTTACAAAGACCTATCTCAGAACTCTTCCCAGAAAAGTAAGCAGGTGGGATTGTTCCAGTGGATTTGAATCGTGATACTGCCCAAATTAAGATGTAAACAGTCATCTCACTCTTATCTTAAGACTCGGAGGCTTTTAGGAAGCGTTTGTTGAACTGTCGTTAATATATACTCATGCCAATAATGGTTGTCAGCCCCCTCCCCACCCAACCCCACGTTAAAGAAATTGAAGGGGGTGACAACCATTATTGGCATGAGTATATTATTATTATTCTATCCGGTAGTTTCCTTTATAAAGGTGATCTTTTAACATAGCATTAGGTCAAAAAGATCCAACAGGCACAGACATACACACATTGCTTTCCTGCTACCACCACCACAACAATCATACTTGAATATCTCGGGGCTAAATTGTTTTTCGGCTGCCAAATAACCGACCCAGACAGGGAGTGTCACATACAGCCCTGATTTCACGTCTCGATATTTCCCTCAATCAATTGCCTTTTTTGACCCCGTAACACGAACTCATGCACGTTCGCGCAAACAAATCCTCACAATGAATGACATCGATTCGTCTACGCTTTTGGAAACTCCGTCAACGTCGACATCATTACACTATTCATCGTCCGCCAGGCGCGACCTATGATTCATCAAATTTCTTGCTCCTGAAAGAGAGAATGCTGCAGTTTATATGTTGTAAGCGTTTACATTCTATATAGAGGAAAATGTACCGTTTTACAGCATAGGTAAAGGAAGGTGTAATGTGAGGTTTCATATAAGGTTCTGTACTGGTTTTGTGAAAGCTCAACGGATTAATAAGTGCCCTGTGCAATCCTGGTTATAAATGTTTTAAAAGTAAAAAAAATAAATGTAGTTTTAAATCACAAGATGAAAAAACACTTTAACTTTTTAGCGAGATGAGATGCCTTGAGAGTGGCCCAACAGATATTCCCGTTTTTCATCATAACCCAAATTAATACTGTACATCTTTCAAGATATATTCCTCCTGCGTCAAGCTTGGGGCGATAAATGTCGACATGAGGAGAGATGTGTTCGAATCCCGGTTAACCCTGAAAATATTTCCAGCTTTACCAGTTGCTTTTTTAAAAGGAGTTCACGCAATCCGCTCATCTCCCACAGATACAGGATGTTTTGGGCTTGAAGTTTCAAACAGCTAACCGTCACAAGTATCTATTGACGAACGTCTATAATTGTTTTTGATGTTTTTAAATCACAACTCTAAAAGCATCCTGAACGTCACTGAAGAACAACTTCCTGGAATACAAATGTACTGAAGTGAGGACAAGGCGGTGTTAATTAAGAATTCACAGGAAGAACTACTGTTTGTTTGTCAATATATTATTGTTAGTTAAAGGTGTCAGTGACGTCTTTGTATCCTGTGTGAATAAAATCGATTTGGTTTGCGAGCTTCCAACATGACTAAAAGAACATGTTCTTTAGATAATACCGCGGGTTAGCCTAGTGGTTAAAGCGTTCGCTCGTCACGCCGAAAGCCCGGGTTCGATTCCCCACATTGGGTACAATATGTGAAGCCCATTTCTGGTGTCCCCCGCCGTGATATTGCTGGAATATTGATAAAAGAGGCGTAAAACGATACTCACTCACTCACATAATAGTGGAATAAGACCGGTTGTCCCATAGCTAATATGGAAGCCTATGTCACAAACGCACGAACACCTTTCCCGCGGCCTTAACTCGAGATTAACTACCTGACACCAGATCTGGCATACATCTACATTCAGAATCCTGGTCTCAGGTGAGCGAGCCAACGATGCAAGACTCTTACACAAATGAACCTTGTGGGCGGATGCTGCCAACATATGACGTCATCACTGATATTCAGTGATCGAATCACACAATGATCACTGTTATTTTAGTAGTTCGATATCTGATTTCAGTAAAATTGGATTTTATTAGACGTCCATGTAAACCGGCTTCAGTATATATCACCATAGGTGCGTACCTCGCTTAGAAACAGCGTTAGAAAGACGTATAGGTGTATAGACCATACCCTTTTCCTTGTATATAGTAATAGGGTAGGGTCTATACACCTATGTCTTTCTAACGTTGTTTCTAAGCGAGACACGCCCCTATGTATATCACAAATGCAGTCAGTTACCGTTGTGTCGACGGAACCTTCAATATTTCGAGTTCTCATCCGCAAAATGATGACTAAATAGGGAATGCCTAAATGATGAATATGAACCACGTTTTTACTTCGAGACAACCGTCAGCTCGACACATCAAATTCGAATAAAAGGTGTTTAACTGTATGTGGATATACTTATATTATACACCGGATAACCAGAATATACATAAATGTATAGAATAGTCTCAGGTGTCTCCCTTTGTCTCCAGAGAAATAATGAAATCACTTCATGTCGTTTAGTCAGCAAGGATAAATCAACCCAGTCTATAAGTAAACTTAGGCTCAGTAACGAATAATACTGAGCCTAAGTTTACTTAGACTGAAATCAACCAGACAGAAAATGTACTTGCAGATCATTTGCTGTTTATCAATAAATGATGCACACATCGATATCGATTTGTTTCTACGTTCTCGCCATTTGCAGCACCGCAATGCTTTTGTACATGACATATAATTCATATAGCACTTGGCAACTGATGTTTCAAAATATACAGATGAAGTGTGGTAAAACACCACCCCTTCCGTCTTTTACATCCCCTCCAACTTCCGCGGCGGTCTGTAATTAATCGAGTCTGGACCAGACAATCAAGTGATCAACAGCATGAGCATCGATCTGCGCAATTGGAAACCGATGACATGTGTCAACCAAGTCAGCGAGCCTGACCACCCGATCCCGTTAGTCGCCGCTCACGACAAGTATGGGTTACTGAATATCAATATTCTAACCCGGACCTTCACGGGTTGTATGCTTTGGAAGTATCTACAAATTATTAGGATGGATTATAAGTGTCCCAAGATACCTCAAACACCTTCTGAATAGATGACTGCACTTTATGGATCTCCTAGTGATTCCTGGGGCGATGGGGTAGCCGAGTGGTTAAAGCGTTCGCTCGTCACGCAGAAGGCCCGGGTTCGATTCCCCACATTGTGTGAGACCCATTTCTGGTGTCCCCCGCCACGATATTGCTGGAATATTGCTAAAAGAGGCGTAAAACTAGACTCCCTCACTCACTCCAAATGAATCTTAGTACTGATTTCCTATCAATGCAAAGTATATGAAGAGGCAATGCAAGAGAAATAACAAGCCTTGACTATCCTCAGAAACAGATTCCATTTGACATTGAAGGTGAAAAAAGCTCTGAAAAGTACATAAACTGACCACTGACAAAAACAGTAATGATGGCCTACCCTACCTGTACCACCCGATATTTTATACATCATTTTGAAATAACGCTAAAAGGCTCTCTAAAGGGGTGCTTAATATATGTCCAGGGCCCCGTTCCTCACAGCGATCGTAGAGCTAAGGTGATCGTAACTCCCATACTTTAACATAGACTGTCGTAGCGCTACGATCGCTTTGAGGAACGGGGCCCTGGTGTATATATTGGAATGACGGCAAGCTTAACATCGGTCTCGCTCCCAACCCTGGTTTTGAAACATGAAAGGAAGGAAACTCGCATCTGAAGCAGCTTGTTAATGGCTTGAAGCCTAAAAACAGGAAAGCGTTCTGTATCGCGAATATCGTTGTTCTTTACGTCATTGCTCTCAAGGCAATTTTACGTCAATAGTTCTCGTTTTCAAATATCGTTACGATCAATTTATGCCATTCCTTAAGAGGAAAATTGGAAGGAAATAACACGATGGCAGTGTTGCGATACTGAGCTTTCCATGCATTAATGATAAAGACGAAAGCTTAATTGTCATCGGACCATCAAACTACCACATTGCTATAAATATTGCAATGGTAGACGCTGTGTTATTAATAATTGAAATTGAAAGGGAACAAATTCTCCTAAAAGCTGCATTTATTGAAGATGAAATAGATTACTTGTATTACTTGAATCCACAGAATCGTTTCTAAGAAAAGAAGAATGGTGATCATTTGGTATGTTTTGTGGAATAAACTGAATATGAAGAAACAGATATCGCCCTCTAACGACAGTTCACAGCAACATTTGAAAATTTTCATTTTATTTCGATTGTAGTGTGGACTTGAATATCGCCGTCTAAGAATAGTTCAGAACAACATTTTAAGATATTCATTTTATTTTAATTGTAATGTGGACTTGAACTTTATCTGTATAATAATTCAAATGCGACCATCATGTTTGTAAAGAGCGTGTATTTGAAAATCATTTATAAGGCGATAATGTACTGAGGTGACACGTGGATGCGTGCGTGCGTCTGCCTGACAGTGTGCGCTGGTATTATAGTCGGTGTTGTAGTACCAGCCCGCAGAGATACGATGCCACATTTCGGCATCAAGTCGAATGCTCAGAGTAACGTCTACAAAAGTTAATCCACAAGTCTTGGAGAGGCAACGTGTCGTATTTCCCCAATCGGTTAATCTAATCCCGATTAAGTATCAGGATACCTGACTCTCCTTATACAAGCTTCCTAGTATTTATCAACGTGACGCCAACGTGTTGTCCAATCAGAGATAATTATTTATCAGTATCCACATCTGGTACGTCTTTCTCCGGAAGATATCTTCTCTGCTGGGATCTCCCAGTATGCAAGCAGTCAGCTCTAGTATTGTCTGATCCGATCAGTTGATCACTGTTGCTACAGCTCCTGTCAAGTTCAGAACCACTGTCACAATCGTGTAGTCTTTCACTGTTAAATCTGCACGACAAAAAGCAGAGGATCATAAAATATATATGCTATACCAAGTATTGTCATAAAGATAAACGTTGATGATAAACATCCGTTGCAAGAACGTTTATGTATTTACCAAAAACGAATCCGATAGTTTGCTAGTATTGCACGTGTACGGTGTATGGTATGTGAGATATGACACTTTCAGTGTCGATTGTTTCTGTCAGCCCTGTCGACTCTATTATTATTATTCTATTATTATCATTTACGTGATATCTAACACAGTTTGTGTATGAACCGTTAATCGGTGTGTTCAACGCACAGGTCTTCCACGTGCTAGCGACATGCTGGAAACTGGCTGAAGTCAGCGTAGAGTGTCATATATATTCATTGGCTTAATTTTGTGATCAAAAGACGAAATATCAGCTTATTGCGGTAGCATTTCCTGGAATTGAGACCCGGGAAGATCCGGGTTAGAATTGGTCTTCAGCAACCCATGAGAGGCGATAAACATATCTCTGACTTGGTTGACGCATGTCATCGTAATTGCGTAGATCGATACTCATGTTGTTGGTCACTGGATTGTTTGGTTGGTCCAGATTCGACTATTTCCAGACCACCGCCATGTAGCTGGAATATTAGTGAGTGTGGCGTTAAAAACACAAATTGTTTCTACTATCGTCTTCGCCATGCCTGTGGCTTTGACTCCGAGGTCCATCCATGGTACCACCCTGAACATGTCCAGGGCTTCATGGAAAATGCTGCTTTCAAACTTCTGTGGAATAGGCCCATAACAAACAAACAAATGAATCTGAAATTGAAGTCTACATGAGGATGCAAAGGTGCGAGTTTAGACAGTTTCCACTGTTGACCGTTTGTTGTGACCTTAAATGTAGAATGGGCTTAAGTGTAGAATAATCATGAATATTCATCAGTGGGCGGAGCTTATGTGCTACGTCACATACACGGCCTAGTATCTCCCGCAGAACAAGCGACTATTCTACGCTTAAGCCCATTCTACATTTAAGGTCACAACAACCGTTAAGTTCACTTGGAGAGAGTCAGTATTAATAAACAGGCGGACATTGTAAAGGCCTTGTGCTGTTTCATCCCCTTTGAATGTCTTATGGCTGGTCTGCCTCACCTTTGATCTGGGATCAGACATTCATTATACATGTGATGCACCTTTGTGGCACCTTTGATTAATGCATTTCATAACAGCAACACATGTGTTGTTGTTTCAGCCGCTCTAAAGTTAATATTCACTCCGCTCAACACGGCTTATTCCGCTATGGCTTCAAATTACCTTGGCTTACCTCAGCTCAGTAGAGCCTCGGCCAGTACCCATTACTGGAACTAGTTTCCTGCTAGTCATTACCAGAAGTCTTTATATAGAAGTTCAACTTGTTGTCTTTGATTATTTCATAAATTCAAACAAACTTTTAAGTCTATAGAATCCTAAACGGGAGACATATTTGAAGTTTTCTATCTAAACACGTTTCTGGTCTAAACTCACTACTTGGATGTCGTCTCACAGTCTAAATACCCCCTAAATACAACAGTCAATTGACTTAAACAGGTTTAGAATGAATACGTGTAAACATGTTTACAACCAAATGAACCCTTATACCGTAGAACATTAATTTAAAAATGTAAACGTGTTAATAACATAAATTTGATCTTTTAGCATTTAAACCTGTTGAAATAAAAAAGCGCATTGGTTTAGTCCAATTTTAATGATATGTTTATTGTATCAATATACATGTAAGGAGTTGTGCAAGTCAGATTCGCGGGCACTTGCATAACACTACCAGGATTTACAACGAACTTAGTACAATATTAACATAGGATATTCAAACAAGTATTGGTGAAAATGACATTAAAATGTTGACGTCAACTCCGTAGCACTGCACATGTGAGACTTAGTAAACAAGAAGATGTTGCAGATTCGTATCCTTCCGAGCTGTTTATTGACACCCCAAATATGTTCCAGCTGCATGGCGGCGGTCTGTAAATAATCGAATCTGGACCAGACAGTCCAGTGATCGATTTGAATACTCAAAGATTGCCCCGGAGTACCCACGAATCGGAGAGCAATGGGCCATAAGTTGACCCACCAAACATAATACTGGGAGCAACAGACATTGATGTGTAGAACGTTTAAGATGCCGAAAGTGTATGCATACATTTTACCGCATTTCCTCGACTAATATACAGGCCTCGAGTACCGCGATCAAACGATGGTTAAAGGATTTTTAAAAAGGTTAAACATTAGGCATTTTTATTACATAATGCCATTCCAACATGAATACATACCACATCTGCACCATCCATTCCTGAAAAAAATCGTAACAATTATAGATATATGCACCAAGAATATAAACGCTTTAGTCCTGCCCACGCGTATGCATTTGTTTATTTTTAGCGGTCAGCCGTCTGTGGCTGTGAGAGTCCGCTTCGTGGGTTGACCTTTCTGTGGTGTGTACGCCATCTACTTGAAAGTGACACATATTTTTATTTTATTACACATTCCTAGGGGTTCATTAACAGCGAATATAAACTATGTGTAGTGACCTTTTTAAACATCGTTTAATGATGAAACCCGTGTCTATATTCGAATTTCGGGCTAGTAACTTTCAGGCATAGCTAGCTAGACTGACTAGCAAAATTTGGAAACTATTTCGCACACTGACGACAGGAAGTCCGAATATTTGTAAGTTCATCGTTACACAAAAAACATACAGCTCCTTTCGGGCCGTGAATCGAAACAAATATAATTTATAAAAGATGAGGAAGTGCGCGGTGGATCGTCACAAACGGTATGACGTTATCAAGCTATGACGTCATAACACCAGACGGAAACAGCCGAACGTGGGATTGGCGCCGGCGCAATGATCTCTGGGTAGAAGAGTGCGCCATTTGCAGGATGTGTTCGTGCTTCCGGTGTCGTTATTCCTGCTAAACTATGTAGCATTAACTTCTTATAATGGGGTGTTGCGCTTCCGGAAATGAAGTATCTGATTTGAGGGTAAGACGATGCAAATGATGTACGTATATTATTTTGTTGCTTAACTAGCTCAGTTCATTATTTCCATAATCATCCTGCATTGTAAACTCTTATCGGGTTACACTGACTGGCTGGCGTGTGTCTCTTTTGTGTGACATTTTATCGATGATTATGCGTAATATTCGGTACATATGTTTGAAATTTCACTTCTTCAAATGAACTCATGAGAACAGGATGCGTTTCACAATATCCAAGTCGGTGAAAATAATGTTCTTGGCAGGCGACACTGTTCTAGGGGATGTAACTCTTATGGATAGTTTTGTTCAAGAATTATCTCCCTTGGACAGTACATCGAAAACCGTATTCCATTAGCCCTCCTTTTGATCAGGCTATGTCCGACCAAAGACGTATATTCACGTGTGTATACGTCTTTGGTCCGACTGATCTTTTCTCAAACATCGAGAAAGCACTGGTCGAGACCTTTCCAGATTGAGGTCATAGCAGATACATAACCCATATTGTTTATTTTGCAGGAAAGTCCAACGATCTCGCAAATGGCCGCTGAAGACTACGTAGTTGGAGTAGCAAAAAAACGAGGCTGCACGGATATATTCTTCCTTCTTCTGTTGTTGGCGTTTATTGGAGGAATGGTATATAACAAATACAGATTACCTGTAGATGTTTTCAAGTCAAATGCTGCTGCATCATGTCCCAGGTTTTCCTATGGGCCCTGAATAGGTCCACTAAATACTGTTATATTTCGTAACCAATACTGATAAAAGGGAATTCAAAGAATATTAAAAGGGATTGGAATTCTTTTCTTTTATACTTATGCATTAGCGTATATCCCAATAGGTTTCCAGTACTGTTTTTGAAGTTAACAATGTGGTTAAAAATGGCCCTCTATAAAGGACATCCCATGGCGGAATTTCTGATACCAGGTGGACACTTCGTCCACAGGACAAAAGGGGTTAAACCAGTACCAGAAAACGAGATAAAGATGTCATCTATGGGATAACCTCATGCCATGCTCCAAATATATTTTTCTTATGTGGGAATGTAACATTATTATATTCAATATTTCCTTTGTTTAAGGGGTATGTGAGTTACCTAGGTGTGAAAGATGGCGACCCCTACCGCCTCATCAACGGCTACGACAGCTGGGGAAACGTGTGTGGGCGGCCCAACAAAAACAGTATTACCAATAGTAACCAGTCAGGACAAGACATGACAGATAGACCGTACGTACTAACAAAGAGAGTGACTTGGTGTTGGTTTGGTTGGCAATCAGCTCTATCACAACTATACCACTGCTGTCTGATGATATGTATTCTGAAAGCGACAAACCAGTGGTTAATATCGTGAACAAAGATACTCGCATCACTGCTGTGGTGACATTCTATAATCCAGGTCGACAGATGACATTGTAACCACTCACTCTTACTTTTAGTCTTTGGAAATAAGTAGTTAAAAACAAAGCTTCATTGTGAAATTCAGTGGAACCAGTCATGGGCCAGGCTTCCCCATATGTTTAAGTTCAAGAATATGTAAGTGGGGAGAGGGAACACTCCTGTCAGACAGTAGCCAGTGGCGCAAGTGAGAGAGTTTAGTTTTACACCGCTTTTAGCAGTATTCCAGCAATATCACCGCAAGGGATACCAGAAATAGGCTTCACACATAGTGCCCATATTGGGAATCGAACCTGTTTTCTGGATGAAATGTAGCTGTCAATACTAGTCAACAGAAGTAAGGGACTCATCATTTGTTAAGAAAGGGCACTGATCTCTGGACTTTATTGCCATAGAATAAATGGCCAGTCTTCATTCATCTTCAGGGTTGCCACAGGTCAGGAAAAGTCAGGGAAGAAATTATTTTTCAAGATCAGGGAAAAGTCAGTGAATTTTTTTACCAGTCAGTGAAAATTGAAGTTTGGGAAAAGATTCAGGGAAAATTGCATTTGGTCAGGGAAAACTAGTTCCTTTCAGACTTCACAGAGGCAAGGATTGTATGATTTTGAGTTCCATGTCTGTATTAAATGTGTTTTTGTATAGAGATTGGTACTATGAACTTTAATTTACTTGTTTTGGCAGAGTCCATTTGTAGACATAGTTTGGAATAACTTCCATGGATGGTTGACACAAATGTGACCAAATATTCAATCTCAAGCTCTCTGCTGAACTTTTAATATTTGGGTGTGACTCAAATACTGTCACAGATACTGTTTTTGGCCTTTTACTATGAATGGCTAAATTCTTTGTGTATGTCAGGGGGTAAAACCACACATTGATGGTTTTAAGAAAGTGTGTGAACAGAGGTATTCCATTGAGAAAATTAGTTTCTCAAGCAGAAATAAACTCAATAAATTTTACACAAAGTGGACATTCTATGAACCACTTTTCAATTAGTACAGCCAAAGCATAAGTGAAAAGCAGACACAGTGAAGAGCTAGCAGTTTATTTTAAGCTCACAACAGTATTAGTATGAATGTGAGAGTGAATGAGTTTGTTTTTTTTTTTAGAAAATGTCAGAATTTCTACCAGTAAATTTCATACTGTCAAAATGAGTCACCATTTTCCTAGAGGTGATCCTCAATCTTGTAACAGGGACTTTCTGACAATAAAAACATTGAAATTAAAAAAAAATGTTCAAAATTCTTATGTCCAAGTTTGCCAGAGGTAATACTTCTGTGTCATATACTTCATCTTGATGTTAGATGGATCTTGTTTGATTACATCTGACTACTTTGTCTTCAGATTTCACTTTGTCTTAAGTAAAATGGGTGGAAAGGTCGGGTGTAGGCCGAAATTTTATTTGTTTTCTTTTAATTTTGATCAGTGAAAAATCAAATTGGTCAGGGATAAGTCAGGGAAAAGTCAACATCTGTGGCAACCCTGCTGTTACATATCCGCACCGTTATCTCTTACACAACCTCTATCTCATGTGATCATATTTTTTTCAGATATACGTTTTTTCATGACAAAGAATATTTCTACAAGAAGTTTCTTCCGGAGTTTCCTGATGCCACGTTCGATCTGCCCCCTGCTCTGGCCAACTGGCATGTGGGTGACCCCCTGGTATCAACGGACCCCATCGTTTGTGTGGCTCAATGTCCAGCAACTACACTATTAACTTCCTCCAGTGTTGCCTCTTTGTGTACCTATGACGGTGCGACTTGTCCATCATTGCCTGTCCTTCCACAGTAAGTCCATGATTCTTATAACAGTAACAGCATGCTCATTTGAGACAGTTATTGTTTATTAGGGGTGAAATGGTACGCTCTTACTATTGCTTGGTCGTTGAGTCACTGCGACCAATCTTCGATTATTTCAATTAATCGGGTTCTGGTCTGTTCTGTCTGTTTCGTTCGGAATATGAGATATGATCATAATGCAGAAATTTGACAACAAGAGCCAAACCTTACATTGGATAATATCATGCCAAAATATAGCCATAATCTTTGTCATTTTGAAGGAACAAAACTGTCATTTTATGACTAGATAGAAATGACCATAAAAACCGAAAATACAGAATATTTGGATTGTTTACGGTATACTGATCAAAGACAAAATACCACAGTTCTTCTAATACCGCGGTATACCGTTTCACCAGCAGTATATATCCATTTCAGTTTCCACATTGTTTCATATTTGTGTTTTAAAACATATGTGATATTTGTATCAGACTAAAATTAAATTATTGTCTGTTCCAGCTGATGCATTATCTTGACTGATGACAGCTGCTTTCATTAAACACATGCTGATTCATATTCCAGTTACTGAAATAGGACAGGACAAATGTCATTTTTATTTTTTCATTTCCATTTTGTGTTTTGTATGTTTGTTTAATGACGCAACAACTAAACATAAATGTATGTTTTAGATTCATACAATAATTATTGAAAAATATTTGAATTTAGCAAAACACTTCTGAACCGATGTGTGCCTTCCTCCTTTTTCGTCATGGTAGAAGCCGTCACCTCAAGTATTAAAACAGCAATTTCAGGAGATGTTCCCCAGGTAGGTGCGTGTGTGGGTGTGTTTCTGTTTACGACCACACTCAGCAATATTCCAGCTAAATGGAGGCGGTCTGTAAAATGATCGAGTCTGGACCAGACAATCCAGTGATTAACAGCATGAGCAACGATCTAGTCTTGGGATACCAATCACTCCATGTCTCTGACCACTCCATTAGCCCTTTCATGAAGTATATACAGTGGGAATCTCACTGTGTGACACTAGGGGGTCTCACTTCCTGGATCTGAATTCAAATTCAACATATAGGTAGCACCTTGAAGTAGAACTGTTCAAAATACCTTTAAATCCACAGCACTCTATACACAGCCGAAGAGAGCTGTATTTAAGTTATTGCTGGAAACAATTATTCATCTTGCTAATGGATGGATTAAATCCCAGCTGGATGTCCATTTGTACATGTTGTTTAAGTAACGGTCCACCACTCTTAATAGAACTAATTTACGTGTGAAATACACAGAAGCCCATCAAAGCTTTTTACCCATAAATGCAGAATTCAATAATGAGTATCTTGCCTCGACAGTGTACAACGCATCCACATAGTGTTTTTTAAAAGGGTTGGGCCAATTATGTTGTTTCCAGACTCAAGCTAATGGTTTACATAAATCTCTTGGATTTGCTTGGACAAATTGCTTGGGCCTTTTGAAAGAATAAAGTAAGGGACTTGATATGTTTATTGGTATGGTGAGGGTAAAGTACCTTTGATGTCATATTTCTTTAAACTATAAGTAACAGTAAAGCAAACTCACTAACCCTATCATGAAAATTCATTTCGTCGTTTATTGATTGTTATTTTATACCCAGCAATATTCCAGCTTTTTGGCGGCAGTCTGTAAATAATCGAGTCTGGACCAGACAATCCAGTGATCAACAGCATGAGCATCGATCTATGCAGTTGGGATGCTATGAAATGTGTCAACCAATTGCAAATCAGCGAGTCTGACCACCCGATCCCGTTAGTCGCCTCTTACCACAATGTATTATACTTTTAAATTTCAGAAAGTTTTTGCAGATATTCAAACTACATGGCGAGAGCTGTTGTATTTGGCTGCAATATCCTTCGGTAAGTGGCAGTCTTCAATACAAGTGAAAATACTCGCATTCTCCTTTTTTATGTAAATCCCATTGGTTTTTACTGGCATACACATTACCATACAAATATATTTTTTTCTTCCTTCCTCTGTTTTGTTCTCTGCTTCATAAAAACATGTCATGTGCTTTCTAATCAGAATTGACATATCTATACATTGTGGCATCCCTCACACAATGTAATTATATCCTGGGTTCATACTAACATTTTTTTATGTAAATTGATGAAAGAAACTTTACGAGTCAGGAGTTCACCTGATTTATTACCTATTTAATTACATGTCAGATATCATATTGTTTTGTTTTTTAAATAAAGTCTGACCAAACCATAAAATTGTTTTTAGTTTAGCGTTACTTTTGTTGTTAGATAGAATAATTGCCATAGACTATGTAGTTCGGAATTTATCAAAGGTTATACTGTAATGTCATACAGCGTGGTACCTGTGATCACATTTTACAGAATTTTACAATTTTACTTTGGAAAAAAGTCAGCTACTCATTCACTGACTCCGTGGTCTGGTGGATAGCGTGTCAGCTCCAAGAGAGTGGGATATCAATGGTTCGATCCCACTAATGTGAAAACACGTTAAAATATAAAACTTCTTGTTACTACAGGAACTGATCAGCTCGCATTCAGCATTTCACAGGAAACTTCTATATTTCAGCTGTAGTCTTAAATGAACACAACATTTTCAAATCTAGCATGGAATTCAACAACAGTTGACTTCACTTCACTGGTTTGCTTGACTAACATTCACAAAAGTTACAACCTTTGTCACACTTAAAGAAGTTCGTCCTCGTGCATCTCACCAGTCTCTGGAATCCTGTACACAATAGAGTCTCCTGTTGAGGCCAGGAGCATTATCAAGACCAGTGTTCGCATGGAGTATTTTCCAGGGGATATCCCTCCCAACTAATATCTTAATTTAGGCCCATGGGCATAGAAAGAGAGAGGAAACTCCCAATTATAGGTCCATGCGCTTAAATACAGGAAAGCCCAGTACTGTTCCTGAGTCGGGTATCCATGTTAAAGTACTGCAAGGATTCCCAGTTGGCTAGCGAAACCAGTAAGTAAAAGGCGGTGAGGTAGCCTAGTGGTTAAAGCATTCGCTCGTCACGCCGAAATCCCGGGTTCGATTCCCCACATGGGTACAATTTGTGAAGCCCATTTCTGGTGTCCCCAGCCATGATATTGCTGGAATATTGCTAAAAAGCGGCATAAAACCATACTCAGTCAGTCAGTCAGTAAGTAAAAGTCCGCGCACGCAGTCGTACACAGGTTCAGGAATCTTGATGGTGACGTTTTATATCACCACAATACATAAACATAACTCACAAAAGGCAAATGCAATAAAAAATGTTCACATTGACCCTGTGAATACATTCACATAGATCCTGAACCCAACAGATGAAGAGTTGCTGTCAGTTTACTTTAACTGTTCTTCAGGCTTGGCCCTTTTGATTGTCATACTGCTGAAGTTCCTAGCGGCGCTTGTCATCTGGACAGTAACCATCTTCACAGTGCTTCTATGTTTTGCCGCCGCCGGATACTGCTGGTGAGTTTGGAAGATATATTAACAGATACATGTTGTCTGTGGGGTAATGTCCTGTCAAATTTTGGTTGTGGGTGTCTGTGATGAACTCTTACCCAGAAGACACCGCACATCTCCTTAAAAGTGCATTATAAACCCCCATTATAAAACATATCCAGAAGTAATGCCTTTTGCTACTTGAGGATTTTTGGTGTTGTTATTTGACTTGATTTACATGGAAACAATTTGAACTTAGTCTCAAAAAGGGGTGGACTTCGTTTCCTGTGCATAACTCGAAACCGTGCAATATCTTTCAAACAAACTTTGCAGATATATCAAACAGATCTAAAAATGGTGCCATTTGCTATTTTGCTTTTTGGCATTTATATTTTTCTCGATTTCCATGGAAGCGATTTGGACTCTAAGTAACCGTCAGATGATTTGTTCTTTCAAATTTGTTGTTGGGGATTTGTCATCTTCTGATGACTCTTGTTTGCAAAGGTATAAACAAATGGGATGGTAAACACTGGTGGTCATGATCAGTGATGTTTTATTACCATGCATCGTAAACCAATATTTTGGGAGTCTCATACTGTCAGTCACTGGCTTGTTTGATCAAAAATAGATTGTTTACAGGCTACTGTAAGGTTGCTGAAATATTGTGGCCTTATAGAACAAACAGTTCAGATGCTCAGTGTCTTAACAATGACTTGTGTTCTATTATTTAACAGCAAAACTTTAGAAGTTCAAATACACTTTCAAGGAATAACCACAGCGTCAATTTTGGTATAAGCTGATGCTTACATGCAATTTATACTCCTCCAGGTATTTGTTCTACAATCTGCATACAAATCTCAAGGCAGAGGTGATCACAACACCAGAAATGCAGGCGAAGGTCGATACCTGGATGGTCTATGCGTCTGTTGCCTCTGTGATTGCGGTGGGTTGGCTGGATTATTGACATCTAAACCTGGTCCTTCTACTCCCTGAATAGTCCAAACAAGGAAGTGCAATCACAGGAATGATTGCTGTCTGGTCAGGTTGTGTCACGTTTCAGAAAAAACAAGGGTTCTGTTTCTTGGTCAACATCCGTTTAGGTCAACCTTACCAAGGGCCTGCTATATTTAAAAGGCTAGAAAGTAACCACTATACTAACCACTATGAAGCCAAGTTAGTTGTGGAGCCCTTTATACAATCGTTCCTTTAAACTGAAAATATCCAATTTGGGAAACTTGGGCGAGGTTGGTCGATCAAGCCGAGTCACCTTTGAGGTTACGAAATAGGGTGAGGTTGGCCGACTGTGTCAACATTAGGTTACTGTTTTAACCAGGTTTGCCTGATCCGGACTTATCTTTTTATTTGTTATGAAGTATTAGGTGTTTATTTGTTATGATAAGTTTGATAGGTGTAAATTATCATCTACATACTTTTCATGTAGATGAGAAAAGTAAGTTACAAGGGCGTAATAAAAGACAACTGCATACATATTTTTTCTGGGACACAATTTTTATCAGTAGTGAGAAGGGGATTGTTTTGACCAGACACAAATTTAGAACCAGTCAGATATGAGGAACCTACTAAGAAACACCACAGGAATCTGTAGTTTTGATCAAACCAATAAAATTAGATCAAATACTCCACCCTGTATTTATAAAAAAGACATGCCACCAAATTTTGTTTGATGGATTGTTGTTTAACACCCCACTCGGCAGTATTGTAGCTATATAGCTACGGCCTGTAAATATTCGAATTTGGACCATTCCACTTGAGAATATGCACAGGGATAGGAGAGATTGTGAAAATTGTGATTTCACCCCAGTACATGGAGGACCACGTGTGATACAGGCGTCTAGCAAATTGTAAGAGACAGCTTAACTAACTGAGTAGTCACGCTTGCTGGTTACCTGGAAAATGTCATCAGATATCAACTGTGTGGATCGATGCTCTTGATGTCAGTCACAAGACTGGTTGGTCCAGACTCGATATTTTACGTGTATATTGAGAAGGAAGAAAATAACCATCAAGGATACAAAGAGGCTGTTTAATAGTTAAAAACAGGATAGTTTTAGGCAGTGTCCTGGTTCACAAAGTGATTGTGACTGTCCAAAGTGACAGCCGTAAGGCTGTGTTAAAGGATCGGATTTATGAGCAACTTTGCTTTACAATCACTTTGTGGAATAGCCTTAAGCGGGGACGATTTTACAGTCAACTTTACGATATTGGATAAGCAAGTAGCACATTAGATGGAATTTTGACACAACTTCTTACTCCTTTACCACTAAAAGTCATTTCTGTCACCAACTGGTTTGGCTCGTATGCCGACCTACCAGACCAGTTGTAGGCTTGCCCAATGGCGCTACTCCAGTTTCCTTACATGTTCATTGCTTTAAAAGATACCTGCTAATATTTGGCCAACTGTTGTGTCGGAAGAGTGACTGACAAACTGCAACATCAGTAAACAACGCATGTGCGTGTGCATGCTAAATTGCTTGTGTGTATGTGTTAGGATGGGAGTTTTTTCTTCTTGGCAATTAACATGGCAAGTTAAAAAATCTACACTTAACTTCTCTCAAAACTGAATACTAGGGAGGGAAGGCGGATATTATAATTTTGAAGAGTTACAACTTAAGGGCCCAGGCAAAAGGAAGTATGTATTCATGTTATGTGTTTCATAAACATGAAACAAACCTGTGATGTATTCCAAACTAGTGTGATACCTGTGCTTCTGGCCTTAAGTCTGCAGTGTATTACGGGCCTGTTTTGATAATGTTTGTAAGTTTTGTGTCAAATCAACAGATAATATAAAAGTAGACTTGATTTTTATCTACTGTGTTGCAAAATGTATGAGAAAGATCGCTTTTGTCACTGGACAACATAATGAGAATTGGTCTTGGGGCAGTTTTAGAGACAGATGTCATCAGATACAATACTTTTATTTGAACAAGCCTTTTTCCATTACCTAAATGTACACTTTTGCTAGAAAGCGAGAAATGGCCACATGAGGTACATGATAGGTGCTCTCTATATACCAGACCCAACGATTTTGTCTCTTCTGTTTGTTTTTCAGATTATTGTATTCCTCTTGGTGATTGTCATGTGGAAGAGAATCAAACTGGTGAGACTGTAATTGTGATGTAATAAAACTTAAATACTTTATTTGCTTTGAGAGAAAGAAAATGTGACTAGACATCTCAACTCACTCACTTAACCCACTTTTAGCAAGCATTGTCTATGGTCACAGGCATTCTATATTTTACGAGCACTTCTGTTGCTTTGCTGTTGATAAGTACATTTGGTGTCTGTGGAAATGTTTTATGACTTACTCAAAAGATATTTAGTAAAACCGAAATATAATTTTGCTGTGTGTAGGAAGGATGGATAAAACAGATTAGTCTTCAGATTGTCTCATATCTTGATGACCCCCCCACCACCCCATGTATGCACTTTTTATTCATAGACCCCACAACCCCTGAAGGTTATCTTCAGTAACCCATGCTTGTTGTAAGAGGGGACTAACAGGATCGGGTGGTCAGGCTCGCTGACTTGGTTGACACATGTCATTGGTTCCCAGTTAGCAGATCGATGCTCATGCTGTTGGTCACTGGATTGTCTGGTCCAGACTTCGATTATTTACAGACCGCCATATAGCTGGAATACTGCTGAGTGGGGTGTAAAACTAAACTCACTCACTCACTCACTCATGGACCCCACAGACAAAAAGTAACAAATGCTGTATAATGAATGACCAGTTGCTACTTAATTAAAGGCTATTTGGAAAAATGGAACCTTTTTTGGTTATGTTTTTCATGCCCTACTTCATCTGACTCTCCTCTCAGTTCTACTTCCATGTTGTTTATTTGACATAATGAGGTCACTGTTATGGATGTGGTTTTGTGCCTTCTCTGTTTCAAGTCCAGGTATTGTTTTTAACCCCTATTTCTCCTAGGTGGTGCAACTGTTTAAAGAAGCAGGCTCAGCCTTGGGTCGAATCCCACTTCTCTTGATACAACCTGTCTGGGTAAGTTGCATTTCCTGATGTAGCTTGTCTGTTGTTTAACATTGTATTCGACAATATTATGGCTATGTGAAGCCAGAGACCATATAAGTGGTCAATCAAGACAATCAAGTGACTGACATCATGAGTATCAATCAATGTAATTGGGATATGATGACAAGCAACTGACCAAGTCACCAAGTCTTAAGCCCCCAAACCTTCAATCACCTCTTACCACAAGAACAACTTGTGGGAACCTATATTCTTACAATGGAACCCCATGGGTGTTGTTTCTAAACACCAGTGTGGAGAGGACTGTTCTAGGGGACTGTAATTGTGTAAGTTCACATATTCCCATGGTTATCTTCCTCGTGTATGTTCCAGTGAATGGATAGCTCTAGTTTGCTCCTGACTAGATACACTAGTAGATCCACCGACTAGATACACTGAGAGATCTGCATGACTAGATCCTCAGTACAAGTAACCATCAGCGAAAACTGACAATAAGAAGTGCCGTACTTGAACTGCAATCTCCTTGCAATATAACTGTGCATACTCTGCCTAAATGTGATAATGTGAAATGCGAAGGTCAGGGGCGGATCCAGAGGGTGTGGTGCGCACCCCTCCCTTCTCCCCCCAAAGAAACTGTCCCTGAGTAGCATTTCCCCCTAACCTTTGGACTTCATGATTTATGTGCACCCTTCCTCCTCCAATGGATGTAGGTACTCAATTCATATGTAAGAGCCACCACTTTGTGTGCCCTTCGCCCATTGGAAACAATAAAAGTCAACATGTATTCACCATCTCACTGTATTGGTATCCTGTGTTTATTACAAGAGACTTTCATTAATAAAAAGCTAATGCTATTTACCACTGAATTCAAGGCATCTATTTCAGACTTTGATCATTCTTCTGGCTGCGGTTGGAGCGGTGGTCTTCATTGGGCTTTTCATAGAAACAGCAGGTGAGATTTGGGCAGGGTTATGTACAGTAGATGCCAGGATCTGCTTGTGTGTTCTCATGACTGGTTCATCCCAAATATTGTTCCTGACTCTCAGATGATTAGTTTTGCCAGAGTGTCTCACATCTTTGATCTGCTCCTTTGCCCAATAAAAACCAACACAGATAACCAAGATCAGAGTTGTGACCCTTGGACATGCCAGACCCCAGCCAGATCCCAGTCCTCCCCAAGTATGCTTATAGGCTTGTCAGCACCATATCAATAATCAGGAGTTTCACCAACGTGGTTTAATGTCAAAGACATGCCTCACCTGGAGCTGTCCTCTGAAATCAAGCTGACACAAGATTACATAACTGGAATATTTTTAGAAAGCAGGATTAAACCCATCTCAACTCCTTCATACAGCATGTTGATTTTGTTCTTCTCATGACCTGGAGTTAGGGAGGATATTTTGTTTTGTTAACATTGTGGGTTACAGATTTGAAAAATAGACTTGAGTCCAATGAACCTGTGACTTTAAACACACCTGTGGCTCAAAGTAAAGAGAGATCATCAGTATTTACCCCTTTGGAAGACATTTTAAAATTCATTCTGTGTACACTGAAGAAGAAATCACTCTTCAAAATTCAAAAGTTGTTTTTCTTTTTAAGATGATGTAAAAGAGATTAAATGATAAGGGTTAATGATGAACAAGAAACCTATTGGCACTTGGATCTGACAGGCAGAAAATACTGTGTTTTGTGTGGTTAAACCCACCTCGGTCTCACTGTGTGTGCATTGACACATTTCCATTTTCACTTCTGAAGAATGTATCACTGAGTCCTTTTAACTGAATCGCTCAGTTATCTGGTGCAGTGATAAAGTGCTTAGATAGATTGTGAGTGATGAGATCAGACATTAAGTTGTAGTTAGGTTATGTTCCTAATCACAACAAAAAGAAACCTGTGATTGATGTATTTCTGTTCTGTTTGAGCAGGAGAGCCTGTAGTAGATGCCCAGACTGGTTTTGTCAAGTATGAGCTGAATGTCTTGATGCAGGTATCCCTTTGCAGTTATACTTTGTGGGTCTTTTTGTTTCTTGTAGATTTCTTCCTGAACTGTTTATGTTTTTTGCATAAGTCAGAGTTCTATCATAACTTTGAACGTAGTGGTGTTTATGTACAATGTGTTACAAAGTACTGAAACTTGACTGGCAAATTCTGCAAGTTCTGACTGAATTACATGATACAAATAGTCTTGTCCTTGAGTCCTTGGTTTGTCTGTACTATACATTTGCTATCAAGTGAGGTTAACAATAGTGGTCACTTTGACCTGACTTAAATGAGGTCTGTCTCATATCTAATATCACATGTTTCACTGATTAGTACCATGTTTCAGTATCTACAATGGTACGCTTGTTTACAAAGTGAAAAAGTACCTGCTAATAGCACGTTTCATTGATTAGTACCATGTTTCAGTATCTACGGTGGTGGTGGTACGCTTGTTTACAAAGTGAAATAGTACCTGCTAATAGCACGTTTCACTGATTAGTACCATGTTTCAGTATCTACGGTGGTACGCTTGTTTACAAAGTGAAATTGTACCTGCTAATAGCACGTTTCACTGATTAGTACCATGTTTCAGTATCTACAATGGTACGCTTGTATACAAAGTGAAATAGTACCTGCTAATGGCACGTTTCATTGATTAGTACCATGTTTCAGTATCTACAATGGTACGCTTGTATACAAAGTGAAATAGTACCTGCTAATAGCACGTTTCATGGATTAGTACCATGTTTCAGTATCTACGGTGGTACGCTTGTTTACAAAGTGAAATAGTACCTGCTAATAGCACGTTTCATTGATTAGTACCATGTTTCAGTATCTACGGTGGTACGCTTGTTTACAAAGTGAAATTGTACCTGCTAATATCACATGTTTCATTGATTAGTACCATGTTTCATGATATCACATGTTTCACTGATTAGTACCATGTTTCAGTATCTACAGTGGTACCACTTCTTTGGCCTGTTGTGGATATCTGCCTTCATCGTGGCTTGTCAAGATCTCATCATAGCTGGGGCAGTGTCGGTGTGGTATTTTTCAGGGTGGGTCTCTTGACAAGTAAAACAGTTTTCTTTCCCGAAGGATTCATGTTTTATCTTGCATCTTTCATGAAGTAGCAAGTTTCAAGACTAATATTTCACATTACATATCTTTATGTTCATAATATTGAGCAGTAATAAGCTCAGTGGCATTAAATGTCAGACTAGTTCATTTTAATTGTTTTCAGGTACTAAGGGACCGTTCATAAGTTATGACTAGGGGGATGATGATGATTTTTATGGAGAAGCATGTACAATGTGAATGACCCCCCAAAAAACCAAACAAACAACTTTATGTACAAAATATGTGACCCCCCTGCATGTCATGTACAAAATCAATGACCCCCCCTCCCCTTCCCATAATTTCTAAGCATAATTTTAAACATATATTTATGTACAAAATTGCTCTCTCCCCCCCCAGTTGGTGTGTACAAAATTGATGGGACCCCCAGCTCCCCAGAACAAAATGGGTGAACCCCCCTTAAAATCATCATCACCCCCTAGCCATAAATTATGAACGGTCCTTAAACCTGAAACAAATGAAAGTGAACAATATGTGAATTCTAAACAGCTATTAGTGTCACTGTGTCTAATCAATATCTTGAGGGGCAGTGGGGTAGCCCAGAGGTTAAAGTGTTCGCTTGTCATGTCGAACATCTGTGTTTGATTCCCCACATGGGTGCAATATGTAAAGCCCATTTCTGGTGTCCCCCACTGAGATATTGTATGAATATTGCTAAAAGCTGCATACAGCTATACTCACTCAGTTTCTAGATATTTTCTCAGAGTGCAACTTGAACCCTTCTCTATGACATTCATCACATTTCTCTGTGATTCTTTATTTCAGTGACAAATCCAAACTTGGATGCCCAATATGTCGGTCCATATGCAATCTCATAAGGTAATAAATCATCTTTCAAATCATTTCCACACCTAGTGGCATTTCAATTTGAATCATTTTGGGGTAACCATTTTAATATTTACAGATGAGAATTTTATCTTCTTTAAAGCATCTTGTAACAAAGTTCCAATATATTGGAAACTGGTGAAATGTTTCTTTATGTCAAAGAGTTGGGGATGAGTTATCTGATAATTCTTGTTATTGACTGCTATTATGATTGAATGAGGGAACAAATGTACGAGGTTTTAGGTCCAAGTGAGCGATTTATCATGTACATCTCAGTGGCCACAGTCTTGGTGCAGGGAACGCATTACTGGCAGTGTCAGAATAGATGCCATGTCAGGCTGGTGTGGAATAAGACATCATGTGATGGGCGAGCTGGCTAAAGCGCCAGGCAAGATCCAGCGAGGTTGAGGTGACGGGATCAAGCCCACCTGTGACCGGGTGTAAAAACCTTGGAGTCAACTTTGTGTGCAGACTCTTTCAGTGTTGTACACAACCCTGTGCTCTTACAAGAACCCACAAATATGTTGGTAAATGACCAAATGAATATGTTTAAACACTTAGTTGTGGGTACAGCAACATGCAGTAAACTTGGACAAAGTACTCTGACTATGTGTCCCAGTCCACCTAGCTGTGAATGGGTACCTAGTAAGAATGGGAAAGCTACATTAACTCTGTGCATCTAGTGGCTGCAAGAGTTGTATGATCCCCAGGGAGTTGAGATTGATAATCAATGTGCCGTTTGAGATTGACATCCAATGATCGAGGGAAAAACAACTTACCTTAGAGTGATCTAGAAGTAGTTCAAATAGGGCGCTATAGAAATGTGGCATGTAATAATCACCATAGAGATTTTTAGTGGGAATTGATCATCAGTTCAAATACAGCCATTGTGACCATGATGACTATCATAGTCTCCATCCCCAATCAATTCTTACTTCATTCTTCCCTGGCTCCATTTAAACCACCGTAAAACAGACCTTTGTTTTGTTTGTTTTGACCAACCGAAGAACCCTGCCAAACAGACTTTACAAAAATTATTTCATTTCATACTTTATAATATTTTCTCCCCAAATCAAGTCACACATATCAAGGATATAACCTTTAAAATGAGAGTTCATTCAAAATTGATCAATAATCAAAATGTGAAAAAAAATACCAAACCATGTATTGCGCTTGACATTTGAGTTTGTTATTTCCCCCCCACCCACCTACCCATCTTTAAATTAGTTACCTTCCTGGAAATGGTTTGTTTTGCCCAAAACAGCCTATTGTTCATGATGACCAAATTGTATGTTTGTGAACACCATCTGCAGGTATCACATGGGCACAGTTGCCTTCGGATCCCTCATCATAGCAATAATAAGGTTCATCCGATTCATTCTGGCCAGGATTCAAAAGAAGTAAGTACACTAATGATTCAGATTCAGTACCTTTTGGAAAGTTCATCCATGACACTGAAGAATTAACTTCTCATCAGCTCTAACCCTTAGTTTACAACTTAACAAACAAGTGTTCATATCTCCTGGGTACACAAACCAAAAACAGTGAATTAAACTGAGACTTACATGTTAATCAACAAGAATTGAATTTGTAGCTGTAGAAATAGCATTTTGATAAAAAGTCAGCAGAATCTAATTGTGTGAAAGGATAAAATAATGTTTGACTCACCGGAATTGTCATATCTTATTGGTTGTGGAAAATGCTGAAAGATTATTGCTTTGAAAATTATGAGATGTATTCATCTGAGTGACGGTGTGTCCTTTCTTACTCTTCTAATCCCATACACGTGTATTGCTAAGGTCAGCAAAAAGCAGCATTTGAAAATCAAAAGTGCTTAAAAATCTGAACAGTATGTATAAATTGTTTGGATCGACAATTTCCTTAAAAATATGTTTGGGTTAGAAGTACACTTCCAGAAAGCTTTTTAAAAAATCAACCATTATAATGGCACAGCTGAACGTATTTATTATTGTTGTTATGAGACCAAAATGTGCCAGTGTTCAAATTTACAAAATCCATGTGCATGGTCACATCTTATAAATTTGATAACAATAATTATTCCTGGTGTTGTAACAATTCATTCCCTTTTCACTGAAAGAAAGGGCCTCATCCATACCCTTGGGTGGTGATTAAAGCGTTCACTCGTCCAGGCCCAGGTTCGATTCCCAAAATGGGTACAATGTGTGAAGCCCATTTCTGGTGTCCCCCACCGTGATATTGCTGGAACATTGAACATCCATATCCTTAGAACTGATGGATTCTAAAATTGTCAGTCCCTCATATTGTACATTTTCAACAGAGAAGGTACCTGTTGAAGTAACCAATAGTGATGTGTTCCAAGGCTTCAGGGGAAGAGTGGCCAGTTAGTAGACTTCCTCCTGAAGATGCTGCAGTGTTGTCTCTACTGCTTTGAGAAGTTCATCAAGTACCTCAACAGAAACGCTTACATCATGACAGGTAGGTTGCTTTGTTCTTAATTTGTCATGTCAAAATGATGCTCACAGTGACTCTCATCAAGTTATTCTTTGTAACATCGTATTTTTTACAATTTGACTTTCTATTCCACACTGCTTCATGCAAACTATAGATTGACAAACCGTTCTTAAAGAACCACTAAACTTTGTTTTTTGTTACTCTTTTAACCATTACACATGAAAGATTTGTGGTTAGTCTTATGCGGAACACCAAATTTATTCTTTAAAAACTTGTGGTTAATTAATACCGAGCCATTAAAAGTGGCCAAAAAGTCGCCTGCTTCCCTCTCGCCCGCCAACAAAACCACAGACAGGTTACGTAACTCAGTCGCCAGAGCACTGCAGTGACGTCATATGAGGAACGATTTTCAGTTAGTTGTATAGAAAATGTGTAGCACGCTCATCATTTTGATGATTTCTCGACATCAACGACGACATGCCGAATCGTTGCTTTGTCGTCAATTGCTCCTAGGGGTCGGGCGATGGTGTCCCCATGCACTAATTTCCACAGGACCCCGCAGTTCGTGCTAAATGGGTTATGTTTGTGAGTGCGAAGCGAGCGTTGTGGAAGCCTGAAACGATATCTTACTTGTGTTCAGATCGCTTCACTGAAGTTAAAGAATCAAAACTACTTACTAGTTGTTGTAAAATATGTATATGATTGATGACCATAAAGATTTTCTATGACACAACTTGTAACATAACGATTTCTTCCTCGGAAGTGAGGTTGTGGTCGAAGTAACAATAATATTGTAAGTTGTATTATATTGACACCCACCTCGCTGCCACGAGAGAAATTGTTATGTTATACGCTATGTCATGCAAAATCCTATTGGCCATCAATAAAATACATATTTTACTACCAGTAGAAAGTAGTTTTGATTTTGTAATTCGGTGAAAACAAACCTAAATACCATTTATCCTCAGACTGGCGGATGTTCCCGACAGGGCGCCGCCATTTTTAGAAATAAAACAATCTGTTAGAATTAATGAGATTATAGTTTGTTTTCATCAAGTTAGATAATCAAGTCTACTTTCTACTCGTAGTTAAATATGTATTGGAATCATAACCAAACGGACTTTGCATGACACAACTTATAACATAACGATTTCTTCCACGGAAGCGAGGTAGTCAATGTGCGTCTTTATATTTGGTCTTATAATCCTAATTAGTTTATTATCATACTTGTATGCATTTTGAAACTAAATAAAAGCAGACGATCTGCTGATACTTATAGTGAATTTATAACAGAACTGTAATATCTAGACATTTTATAGTTTGCCAATGTGAATCATAATTCGCACACACACCCTAGTGCATGTTGTCTGACTCATTACACTTCACGGCGAAAACAATGATTCTGTTGAATGCTACGACAAATGTATAAAATAAAAATGCAAATATTTAAATTAAAACAGATTAAAGTTATAGGAACAATATCAGGCCATTACCTTGTTCGAGGAATGTATCCATCAATAACCACAAAACTGTTCCAAATGATGTGTCTTTAACAGTTTAATATACGAAAAAGTGATAAATCTTTTCAGGTATTGGTGTAGGGTCTCATTGGTCACCCAAGATAGCACACCTGGCAACTAATTGCATAATGTCCGCCTTTCTTTAAAAACAGTAATTTAGTTAGCCAATAATGGGCAATCAATCAATGTATTGCCGGTTAATCCTTTGAAAGAAGGACGTTGTTTTTACGCAGACACCGACACGACAGAGTGTATTCAGTATAGATTAGTAAATCTACATACATAAACACTACCTTTTGACAATTCCGCTGTGTAAGATAAAAGTAATTAATCAATCAGCGTGTTATCGGTTAATCCTTTGATCGATGTTTATAATGTTGAATATTTACTCCAGACACAAGAAATGCCAAATGGGAACCTTTGTCGGGTAATCTAAGTGTTACCACTAATTATACCTGTTATAAATTCATTAACTGACCATCAAGTGAATGATGACAAATAACATGTGTAGGTTTATACCACCTAACACGGGTTACAACAAGGGAGTATTAATTGCTGTATTGCATGTGAAAACTTATGGGCCGACACTGTTTTGAGAATACAAACAGATTTTTAGATGACATGATTAAATATCGAGGTAACAAAACACAGAAATGGGATCGATTTGGATCAGTCATTATACAAATAGGGCCTAACGACACCAATCGATTTTGACAGAATCGTCTATGAAAACAAGTTGTAACTCGGAAACTAGGCAAAGCAGGAGACAAAATTAAATGACAGTAGATTGTGAGAACATAGCTTTTATTTTCCAAAACAATTGTCACGATTTCAGGTTTATACAAGCCTGTAAACAAGATAATTTACCCCCTAAAATGTAGATGAATTCTGCGTCGGCCCTCAAAGCTATTCCTCATATGACGTCACAGAGGTGCGCCGCTCTGATTGGTTGAAATTTCGTTCGCGGGTGAGAATTGTGCACTGTTGTCAAAAAGGTCGATTTAAGTCAATTAAAGGTCGAAATGAGTAGTTTTAATGACGGGGTTTCTTTTATAACGATGCCAGTTAGTGATTTATGCATTTGTACCCCCTAGGGTTTATGTGACCTTTAAGGTTTCCAGATACAGATTAAGTAAAACCATGGTAGCAGATGGGAATCCTTAATAACTCAGATTGGGTTAAAGATTTGCTCATGTTCTGCAGTTAAGAAAACTCTTTCTAACACCTTCTTACGTAGGTTATAAGATTTAAAATCTTAATTTGACGTCTCATCTTAAGGATGAGGATTTAAAATTTAAACCATATGAGGCCGAATGTTTTATCTAGCCTATGAACCGAAAATATTTTCAATCATTTATAAAAAATAATTTGCTTCAACCATATTTGCCTTGAACTTTAGGGACTGCTGAATTTATTATATAGTTTGGTTGGGTTGTGACAAACTTTACAGGTCTTTTGAAGAGCATAAAACTAATTTCTGTAAAATGGAACTCATAAAATTATACAGACTTAAGACACTTCTTGGCCCCCTTGAAATTCAAACCTCTTTAGAACTATCTACGTGATGTTTGGATAGGTTTAGTGAATATATATATATCCCTTGCCTTACTTCCAGCATCTCATGGCTACAACTTCTGTACTGGCGCCAAGAAGGCCTTCATGTTGCTGTTGGCCAATATTCTAAGAGTTGCAGCCATAAACTCTATTGGTGACTTCGTCCTCTTCCTGGCCAAGTTGGGGTGTGTGGCCATCACTGTGGTAGTTGGTTACGAATTCTTCATCAAAGTGAGTGATAGGATGTGGTAATAATTATTATATTTTGTTTCTCATGATATAGATGAGTCTGTGTTTAGTCCAGACATTTCATTTTCAGGTCTAACAATGTACTGGAACTTATTGGCAGCCTTTAGGCCAGATCAAGTATCTTCTTCTTTTCATCAGGAGTCCACACTAACCTAATAGTGGTGTTTTCAAATAAAAATGTTCTGTATCAAATCCATGTTCAAAAACTGGAAACAGTATGCTTATCTCCAAAATATCCAACAGTTGCCTCTGATGACAGACATAGGTGCTGGAACTTCACACAGTTTCCTCATATACTGTCTTCATCCATCGTGGGGCATTCCTGCCATGACCCAGTCCAAATTGGCGCCTAACATATACATTGAGTAGGGCTGTAACGATGCATCGAACTATCGATGGATTACAATTGCTGAGTCTCCGATAGCAATTAATTGATGGTGTAAACGAAAAACTATCGATGCATCGATAGTATGTGTCACTATCGATATGTTAGTAATTGACTTCCGTTGATAAATGCGCAGCACAAAATACAGGAAGTACCAGATTCGTTCACTTTGATTTAGAGTTATCCGCCCCTGTTACCTGTTTGCTTGATCTGGGTTTCAAGTTTCTTGTCAGTTATTAAAGACACCAAAATTACTTCAGCTTGTTTTTATTTCATATTAACTATACCTTCATTTGGGAAATGACTTCAAATGAGACAATTCAAGGAGAAAAAACTATTAAAATAGTATTGCAATACTTGGTCACAATAGACTATCAATATCGCAATAGTATGTTGCAATAGACTGTCGCTATCGCAATAGTTGTTTCCCCCTCAATAGTCACCCCTAAAATTGAGTCATATTCATCCATGACAAAATCCTACGATCAGTTGGCCACATCTCTTTCAGTTGTTTATTACAAAACGGAGAATAGTTCTTCAATAAAATTCATTGTCTTGATTTAAATCAAAATTAATTATCCACAAAACAGATTTTTGCAAATATTTTGGGATATTGAGAATGTGGTAATTGTCACTGCAGATACGAGATGACATCAACTACATCTGGGCCCCCTTGACTGCTGCTGGTGCTGTTGCCTTTGCCATCGCTCACTGCTTCATGCTTGTCTATGAGGTAAGTGGTGTGTAGTTTGAACAGTGCCTAGCTGCATCCTACTGAGAGTCATTAAACAATGGTACTTGTTGTTTCCCCGTCTGGTGCTTGACATTACAGGGTAGACTAATGCTTAGTCTCTGAATACCGTCAACTCTCGTTAATCCGACACTTGTGGTTGCAGAGAAATATGTCGGATTAACGAAAATGTCGGATTAATGAAAATGTCGGATTAATGTATTTGTGTGAAAATATCAATGTTTACTAAATGTCATGATCGTCATACTGTTGCATGCATATAAGAAATGGTAGATCTAGTTATCTTCATCATATGTAAAAATATTCACAGAAATAAGAAATACTAACAATACATACTGTTTTCATTTATTAACATTCATAGATGGCATAACATACATATATAATCACATATCTATTTCATGACCACATTGGCACAAAACTCACGTTTGTTTTTACCGCATATCAGCTGCCATTATGACCCGGATGTTGAATATGTTACAGTTTCCATACAACTAATTCCATAATAACATGTGGACGTCTAATGTACAATCAGGCGTGTATCATAACATATATAATTTATAACTTGAAAAAGTCTTTGATGGTCATTAACATCAAACACGTCTAAGTGGTGTGTCAGAAATGTTTGCAAAGTGTTCAACGATGTTTTGGCCTCAGATAGCTTGAAGCATTGGAATCAGTCGTAGAGACGCTCAACCACTAAGCAGACTGCTTCAGGATGTCAGATACGGTTGATCGTCCAATCTTCACATCAAACTTCTGCTCAGCAAAAGTGATGACTTCTTGTTGTGCTGTCTGGGGTTTGTCTTTCTTCAAAAGGAGATTTCTTTCTTGATCCATGGCGTAACTTCTCCAAGGGGTCGCTTAGCAGCTGGTGTACTCGTGACAAACATCTTGTGATGAAAACTCATGTCGGTTGTAAACATTTTATACAGCTCGCTCTACTGTTATTTCTTGATTAAATCGTCTCAATTAATTATCCTGTGTTCCTAATTAACAAGTGTGATGTTCACTTACGCCGGTGTCAAGCAGCCAGTAAGGCACACGCTAATTACCACTCACGTGTGATTGTTTGTATACGGTCGGATCATCCGACCGGCTGTGTTGATTGTCGGATTAACGAATGTTTTTACAATGTATTTACAATAATCAGTTGCTAGATTGGTGTGTCGGAGTCGGAATGCGAGAATGTCGGATTAACGAGAGTAATTATCACTGTTTTAAATGGTTCCCTAATTTTTTGTCGGATTAACGTGATTGTCGGATTAATGAGTGTCGGATTAACGAGAGCTGACTGTATATAGCCCTTGATATATAATCTTGATTGTAACAAATAAACCCATTTAAATTGAAAAGGAGCCCCAGGGAGACCAGATATTCAGAACCTGGAGAAATCTAGACTTGTTTCATTTAGGGATTTAGCATTGCAGGGAGGGCTAGGCTGTTGGGATAATAATATGGTTCAGGGAGTGTGAGACAGACTAATTACGGGGATAAAACCAGAACTGACTTGGAGTGGGTAGAATGTGTCTGAGTCAGGGATCCGTGTTAAATTTCGGCGAGGTAATTCATTGCGCTAGCACTTTAAAAACAGTATAAGTCTGGACTAGTCCAAACAGCCACAGCCATACTTGCATGCACACAAGCATATTAATCTAACCCGATTTCACGTCATGTCTGAACACTGATATTAGCTGACAAAATAAAAACTAGTTTAAATATAGTTTTGTTCTTTAATGCATAAGAAAGATACCCCTTTAGATAGAATGTAAAAATTGAGTTACAATATAATGTTTTATATTATGATCCAGACGGTACAGACAAACCAGTGATTGTTGTTATGAGTTTTGTCCAATAATAAATTGTCAATCAAGTGAACCAAGTCTAAACACGTCCCCTTGAACAACAAACAAAAGTTGCTCGGATCTTGTCTTACCTGGAATCACAATGGGAACAAAATTGGTAATGATTAATGGTACTGTTTTTCAGATCACCTTGGACACAATATTCCTGTGTTTCTGTGAAGACTGTGAGGAGAATGATGGCATCACCAAACCCTACTTCATGTCAAAGAATCTCATGGTATGTCCCGGGATTTTTTAACTATTGACAACCAGAATTTATGCAACTCCCAATAAAGGGCATTTTTATACCTTTTATAATAAATAATATACTGTTCCCAAGGAATTCTGTCTGTCGAAAAAAATGTTTTCAAGTTTTGGGACCACTATTTTGTCTAAAGGAGAAGTATAGTGCAAAGTTTAATTATGATATTTAATTTTTTCCAAGAAACTTCGAAAAGGATTAGTCAAAATGTTTTCTAAATTTGGAAAACTGGGGTTTTTTGTCTGAAGAAGAGTTGCAGTGCAAAGTTTGATTTCAATTTTCTAATATACATATTTTGAACCTAAAAAACCCCATGGGTTTGGCATGTCTCAAAGCTGGTTTCAAAGTGTGTTTCATATTATTGTTCAGCTGAAGTTAGGCATCAAAGACAGAGGCCTAAGTGAACCTTGCTCACATATTTTCGTCCGTTACTATAGCAGTAGTACTGAAAACATTCCTTGAATGGCATTTAGAAGTGAAAGATGGAAAAGGGAAAGAATTTTGACCTGTATTGTGAGACACACAATGTTTCAGAGCATATGCTTACTTAACTACATAGAGCAACTTTTATAGAAAAACTGAAGCCTTTCATTTTATCAACTGTGTCCCATTTTGCACAATACAATTAGAAATGGTGTTGCCTTGGTTCAGGCTCATAACGCCGACCTTTCGACCAAACTTCACGGTTGAGTGGAAAAAAGATATCGGCGTCCTGAGACTAGTTCCATTTTGTGTACTGGACCAGATTGTTTTCCGTGTTCGTCTGTTCTCGTGACAGGAACGGCCGACGTATCTATTCAGATGTAAATGCCACCCTTCCAGGTGGTTGTTGGTTCTTATCCCATCTGAGTTGTGGTGGTTCCATATCGTTCCACTGCGATATGTTTACCTAGTGCGACGAGTTCACCTTATCAAAACATCTAGAGTAGATTATCCGCAACCCTAATTACGCCTAATCAGAACCTAACCTTCAAAGGAAACCGCAGGTCGGCGTCCTGAGACTAGTGGAAAATCGAAAGGTCGGCGTCCTGAGACGACACCGTTGCCTTGACATGAAACATTTAGTGTGATTATTTTGTACAATCAGTACAAAAACAACTTAATCTACATAATGAAATCGGTTTTCTTTGGTTTTGTTTGACAGCAATTTATTGACAACTTAAACAAGGATGCTGAAAACAGAGAAGCCAAGAAGAACAAAGCTAAACAAAGCAAAGAAGAACAAAACTAAACCAGGCTGAGACAATAATTACTTCCACAAATGCTAATCATCACTGGCCATTTCTCATTCAACACTAGAACAATCACTCCATAGCAGGTAGTGTCAGATGAATGCTCAGCAAAGTATGAGGATTGCCCAATCTAAGGGACCGTTCATAATTTATGGCTAGGGGATGATGATGATTGTTATGGAGAAGCCAGTACAATGTGAATGACAAAATGGGTGACCCCCCTTTAAAATCACCACCACCACCCCTATTCATAAATTATGAATGGCCTCTAAATGAAAATGATTTCACCTAAATTTTCAAAACTTTGATTTGGAAATTTAGATTTGTAAAGAGAACAGAGATATTCATACATTGCTACAAGAATATAATGGCACCACTATGCCTGTTGTTTAAATTTGTTTTGAGATGAAACCAGATATGCTGAATTGAATGTTTTGCCCACTTGAACTAATAACTTAGATGCTACAATGCTAAATACCTGATCTTAAAAGTTCACCCGACGGAGAAGTCATCAGATCATCATCCGGGGACATATTGTATTGGGGTAAAATATCTGATTTTATGACATTGCTTGGTTAATTTCTAAATGCATCACAAAAACATTTACATGTACTTATCTGTTTTGTGTGTGTTTGAAAACTAAACAGGGCAGAGTTGGCCCATTGACCCTTGATTGTAATGAGAACCACCTACAATGATCATATGGTCACTATCTGTTCGACCTGTTTAATTATAGATCTTCATATCCTGATGTCCTGTTTGAATCAGAGACTGTATGTTGGAATATCACTGACAACAGTGTGAATAACATTCTTTGGAAAACACTGAAATTGTTTCCAAAGTCAACAGTTTAAGTGTTTGACAGAGCAAAAAACAAAACACAACAAAAACAACAACATGAAATTATACTAGTTAAACCCAATTTTATGTGCCCATCCCCTCTTTCATGAAATTCTATTTTTTATTCCGTTAATGTAAGCCATAGGCCCCAAACTACATAACTTTAGGTACGTTAGATAGACAAATGTTATAGTTGTACATATTTGATCAAATGTTGACATTCTAGTTAGTGTTCTTCAGAGTGAGATTGCATGATAAATATACACTGCTAGATTCTTAACTAGGATACAATCATTGGTTGACAAAAGGAAATTATGGATACAGGGAATGGTAAAATAAAAAGATCCAACACGTCAAGATCAAGGATTAACATTTTTAATAACAATTGATCAAATGCATTTTACATATAATCTTTGGTCAATCTTCTTAAAGGTATAAAAGTGAAACATGTCAATCTGACTTTATACTGCCATGTAAAACTGTAACTTCTGAGGTTTGACAGTGTACACTGTTGTACATGAATATGAAATGTAGTTTCATTTGTTCACATAAAGAGAACATGTTTTTATGTAACCAGTTGCAAATATGTGGTGTAGACTTGTTTTTGACAAGAGCTGAAAATTGAAAGAAGATAAGATATCCATGGACTGACGACATCAAGAATATTCTTCACAATCTGCTCCAACACCTGTGTCAAACTTGTTACTTGACATCATTTCCAGCAGAGTACTTGTGTTGATGTACAAGTGTATAATCTCTTAGTTGTATAGATCATAAGATCAAGATATTTCACAAGATCTGAGATTTGGACTCGTGGCTCAAGTCATGACTGGCTTCATACCTTGAACCCATGCCAGCAATTGAACATGGAACATCAGCATGACAAACACTTTAACCAATAAGCTATCCCACTGCCCTAAACCGTCAGCTAAAAGCACACCTGATCTGATCATTGATGATTTTTCAATGATTAACTGAAATTGGTTAACTTGCTAAGCGATTTTAGCAATTAAAGCAGTTGTAACTCAAACACACAAACACAAAATTAAGTAACTGTTGTTCAATGATCACTTTTTTTCCAAGTTTGACCTTGAACTGTCCCCTAGTTTCATGATAATTTACATGTAACAAGAGACCTATCTACAAGAGCAGACATGGTAGACCAGAATACTAAAACTTGTGACCAACAACAACAGGTGTAGGCTTAAAAAACAAGAGGCATGCTTGATCCTAGCCCACAGGTCATGGATTTATTGGGATGTACTCATCCAGATGCCTACCATATAGCGAGGCAGTTAACTGTCAAAAAGAAATGAGTTCTCATAATCTGCATGTCTGACTGTCCAGTTTTAATCAAAACATTTTTGGCATTATATTTTATCACCCAAATTAAGTAAACCTTCACTTCACAGGTCATAAAAAAAGATAAAAAATTATGAATTATTTGTGTATCTGGCAATGATAGTTGCAAGGTTTAATTACAAGTGATGTCTTTTGGGGGCAAGGTAAGGTACATGACATATTTAGCTTAATCATTTTGGCAGAAGTTGGTTCATAATATCGGAATGACTGTAGATCTTCCTGATTTCGTAATGGGTGGCATCCCCAAGTATCATGCACTTGTTTGAGCGCTATGAGAATAGGCTGGCACTGTCTATATTCTGGTGCTCTCTGTCCACGTCAACATCAAGGTCATCAAAATCTCGATGCAAATTCTTTCTTGTAGATTTCCCATCTTTCTTCCTCAACTTTCCTGACTCCAAAAGCTTCTCAAAATCATCAGTACTCTCTTGGAGAAGTCTTTGAACTCTTCTCCCTGGAGACTTCCCAGGGGATTTCCCTGGTGATGCTTTCCTTTTCTTCCACTTCTTGTGCTCACTGAAACAGTCAATACTGTCATCAGCTAAAGTGCTCTCATTGAGCAAGTCTGATGTCAAATCTGCATCTTTTTCAGAAGTTGATGATTCTGGAGAAAACAGGTCACATGAGTTTTCATTTTTCTTGGCTTTGGGTGGTGCAGGTTTCCTCCGTGATGTGGAAGTGGTGAATAGATCATCAAGTATGGAAACAACTAACTGGTCTTCATCTTCTTTAGCATCTGGCATTAACTGTTTCTTGTCTTTTTCCCTACCACAGTTACCAATTTGAAACAGCAACTCATCTACATTTGATCCTTCGTCTCTTGTAAAAGGCACTTTGACTTCATCGACATTGACAGTCTCAGAAAATGTCAACTCTGTGTTTACCAGCTTTTGATCTCTTTCCTTTGAGCGTTTATTCAGTTTTTGTGGAATACTTTCAAACAGTGAGTCCAAATCAGACTCAACAACAGTCCTAGTTGCCAGACTCTGTCCTTGAGACTTTGTCCGTCTCCCACGAGGAGTTCTCATCCGAGTGGTCACTCCTCTCAGAGATATTGCCTTGCCTACTTCCATGCTGGACAGGTCACTTTCATCGTGGTCAAGTCGGCTTGGACCAGGTTTGGGTTGTGGAATGGACTGAGATTCACTGTCTTCAAAGTCCATAAAAGTGAGACCTTGTTTTGATTTCCTTGGTCGGCTCCTAGACTGAGTTTTAGAGACAGCTTTCCTCTCTTTGCCTAAAATGATTAAACAAAACTCAAGATTTCAATATGAAGAGCCATCTTCAGTTCTTCATAAATAAATTTCAAATGCCTAAGTTAAACTCCTCAGAAAAAAATTAAAAACAAAAGTTATATTATGGTTTGCTTATTAACAAACTTGTATCTCAAATGATACAACAAAATGTTTAAACTGAATGTCCATTTTTACTACCTTTGTACCCAACACCTGTTATCCATGTCCATGAAATAGGGCTCAAGAGTTATTTCACTGTGGTAGGGCTCAAGAGTTATTTCACTGTGGCCCTGACAAAAACTACTTGAATACGCATACCAAACAATCTGATAATGCATACAGTGAAGTTGACAAAGCTTTATTAAAGTTGAAAGGAAAAGCTAACATCATCAACTTGCACTGTAAAGATAGAGTTTTATTTCTGAATTAACAAATGGTCCAGATATTCTTGTGGGTATGTGGATCCTGTATAGGACCAACCAGACCTGTACCTGGGTTATATATCCCAGCCCAAGGATCGACCTTTGCAACAAAACAAACCTTTTTTGATACTGCTGGCCTTCTTGACACTACTGCTGAGCACCGAACTGTCATCAGTCTTGGGGATGGTCAATGCCGTATTGACCACCTCCTCCAGGTGAGGGTGCTCCTGGGTATAGAACTCTCTCAGCATCTGTAGTCGTGATGCTGCATTCCCACTGAGGATTGTCTCTGCAAGAGCCAGCTGGTCTGCTGAGTCACTGGCTGCCATCTTGGCAAAATGTTGTCTAGCAAACAGAAGATATGTATTCGATACATTTGAGTTAACCTATTGCCCATTTGAGCAGTGAAGCCAAGAGTGAGTGAGTGAGTTTAGTTTTACACCGCTTTTAGCAATATTCCAGCAATATCACGGCGGGGCGACACCAGAAATGGGCTTCACACATTGTACCCATGTGGGGAATCGAACCCGGGTCTTTGGCGTGACGAGCGAACCACTAGGTTACCTCATCGCCCGTGAAGGCAAGAATCATAGACTTGAGGTCCAATAATTCCAGAACCTATGTTATATGTGAAAAACAAGGGAATCATTCCCACTTTGATACATTATATATTATATAGTTGCTTTACTGAAAGGCAATGGAGGTGGTGTAATAAAATATAATATATGTTAAATATTTTATACAAAATTCTTAACACAGTGAATGGTCTTCCTCATTAGTACAGTGTCAATAATCATGCAGTTAACGAGTGCCTGGTGATAAATACTGTATACCGGGAAATTTTCGAGGTATCTAATTTTCGAGGTTAGAAACGCAACCTCGAAAATATATCCATGAATTTTTTCGAACTTCAAACCTTTGGGTTAGATTTCCTATTGATAAGCATTTCAACAGCTGGCAACCAATGACTTTCTGACATGCACATTAACTCTGTAATGCCTGTCTACAACTAATTTAACGTTCAGTGACCCTGAACGGCCTGAATAAACAAACAACAGAAGTGCGGTGTCAAGACTATTTAATTGTTGGTCATGTATTACATGCATTAAAAAAAATTAGGTAATTCAATCAGCGTCTTGCATGTGAAGTCAAACCAACTGTCAATACACTTGATGTCAGTCTCTAGTTTCAGCAGAGACCCATGCATACATGCTTATAGTTAGTTGTTAAGAAAACAATATTGTCTGAGAAAAAATAGCGTCATGTTTGAACTCTGCCGACAGAGTGTTTCATGGGTCATTTATCACAACAAAGAATCAAACGTTTGTTTTCATTACTATTATTGCTGCCATGGACTGGTATACAGGTAGTTATAACAGTCCGACGGCAGTTATCACTGGCTACTAGGAGTTTTACCAACAGCTCAGTGAGTATTGGTCCGGTAAGTGATGTTTCTGGCCACTTTTTTCTAACCTCGAAATTAAAATTGTCTAAAATATTTATATATTTTAGGTCCCCAAACCTCGAAATTTAAATCACCTCGAAAACTCTGGGGGTCTCAAACCTCGAAATTTTAGTACTTTAAAAATTTCTCGGTATACGTTAATAAACGCACTAACCTGATATATTGGTCATCTGAGAAGAATTTAGACATACCTTTCCTAGAAAAAGATATTATCAGTGTATATTTTATCATTTTCCCCTTCTAACAATTTTATATTTTCATCCTAAAAATCTGAAATCATAGAAATGTCAAAAATAAAAAATAGCTGCCCTTATTTAATAAAGTTTACAACATATCTAGAAGTCCTATGAAGCTTCTCACCTTCTGATGGCTGCTGGTGTCTGGCCAATCAGGACCCTACAAGACCCATGTTCTACTGCCCTTGGGGTATTGTGATCAGGCCCAGGTTTCCTTCCGCGGCCTCGCCCTCTGCTTCCACCCTTCTTCAGTTGGGGAGGGGTAGGGATCTCCTCCTCACTGGACTAGAGCAGCAATGGACAAATATAAAACACAGTTATCACTTAATACAATGCATGGTTAAAGTGTGCTGAACAACTACTTAACGTTTACAGAAAGACATGAGTTTCTTTGCCAAAAATCTGTAATGGTTCCACATCAATATAGTCTGTGAATACACAATGCCATTTAGAAAGTGGTCAAATGTAACATGTTATATTTGGGATTCCACTTTCTCAGTAAAGTACAGATTTTAGTACTGTTTTGGATTGAGTCTCATCCGGGATTTGAACCCACACGCCAGAGTCCGGCACCTAATCGCCAGCACACAAAGTCAACTGCCTAACCCACTCAGCCACCATGATAAATATTAATCATGATCGTAACTGCATTTCATGAATGAGGTCACTAATTGTGTACAGTTTTATGTGCTAATGGATTAAATAAGTAGTAAGTGAGTTATTACTTTTAACATATACATGTTTAAGAAATACAGTTCGCTCTACCACCATGTATAGAGTAATAAAGCACACTTTCACCCTGAACTATTATAGTTAAAGCACGAGGACGCTTGCTTCTTTTCTAAGATGCCAACTATAAGACTTTCTAAGGATAATTACGATTAATCTAAGGCAGAAAACAAATGATGGTGTCGGTGACCTAAATTAAGAATCCTCGCACAGGGCTAACTGGCGCGCTGTTCTATTGACAGGTCTGCCCCCCTATGTTAAGACGAACATTACCAGAAAAACAAAAGATAAACTGCTTGATGACGGTTTACGTTCGGGTTAAATATCTTCTCTAAATTATATTAATTGCATCTGTGCTTAACGTAAACCATATGGGGCAATATGAACGTCGCATTTCTACTACCAACGTAAGTTTAGATCAGTACATTCAGATGAAGCTGATGATTGCATTGTGGGAATGTAAACATTGTGAACGTTACGGTGTCGCTGTAAAATTGTGAGTCGAACTGAGACATTTTATCCGTCGGAAAACATGAACGTAATGTTTCCACCAGTGATGTTAGCTCAGTGAAGCAACTGCAAAATAGAAACGGGATGCAACGGAGTAGTTTACTGTAGGAGGCTGTACGAGGTGATGACAACTGACAATGACGTCAGTTACATTGTGACGTAATACAAAAGTGTTCGATTACGAGGGGGCATACTAGAATGGCGCAGTGACGCCCATACATTGTGACGTAATGCAAAAAGTGCACATTATCGTCTGATAAAGTACTGTCGGCACCTTTGATCTTTCACCGAAGCATCTTAGAAATAAGAATAGAATGTGCTTTTTCCATTTATAGTTTTGAAAAAAGGTGCACACACTATCGTAAATTCTTCATAAATAAAAAAATATACTGGAGTCAGTTATGAAATATATTCACTATGTTTAACTGACCAGATGTAATGGAAGTTCAAATGTAAAAAAATAACTTGAATATCAGATGAGGTTTCTGTAGGTTATTCATAGTGACATTATTTCTGGTACCAAAAAAGCTTCAGCATCATAAATCTTGTGTTTTAGGGATGTGAAGAGGGAAAAACAGACGAATGAATTAAACAAAAACATAAAAACTTGTAGAAAAATATTTACATCAGAGTAAGGATCAACCTCCATGGCTGGAGCTTGTGAGTTCTGGTGCAGCTCGTACACATCTTTTATGGCATGCCGTGACATGTGGTTCTCTGCCCGAGATGCACCGACCACCTTGGGGTTTTCATGGACGTGCATCACACCACATTTCTCTGAGGACAGATACAGTGATAAACACAATCAACCGACATAATGAAGTTTTGCATTTATTGTCGACCTGTAACCCTCAATCTTCGCAAATACTGACTATTTTAAAATAACTTTTAAAATCTTAAAATTTTTGAACATCAATTTCTTGTTGAGGGCAAATCTGACTTAACTTCATACATGAAAGAAAAAAATTGATTGTAAGTAAAGATTGGAATGGTGATTATTTCATTTGTTATTAAGATAATGAAGAAACTTTATGAAATTGTCAACCTATTTGAAACCTCACATTGTGTGTATAATTCGATCAAAATATAAATGAGCAGTTACAACTTTTGGTAAGTTAGCTCTACATAGAAAACAATATGTTTATGTCCTAAATAAACACAGGTTGTAAGAATCAGACTTCAACATACAGTGTACTCTGCCAATACCGGCATCACTCGGGACCAAATAAAAATGCCGGTTTTGACAGTGCCGGTTTAGGTTTTGGCTTGCCAAAAAAACAGGCAATCAGTCAATCCGTCAGTCAAATCTGGAAGGCAGGACTTAAATGTTGCTACATCATCGGCATTCACACTGGCACTCTCGCCACTGACTTTTATGCTGTATCGTGTTTTCCATGATGTTAACCAGCCATCTGATGAACTTTTTGTTGAAGGGTCAACTCACATCTTGCACGTTTTACCAGCCGAGACATTTTGGCAATACTGACCATTACACTATTGACATTATACGATTTTACCTTAAATACCCTCTAAACAACTAAACTCTTGCTCGTTTTAAAGTCAAACTGCCCACTATTAATTACTCTATGTAAGTGACACGTACCACTCACTAATTAACAAGAAACTGATTGACACTTCCATTTCTGAATAATCTCGGGAGTAACCGCGAATTGTGTTGTTACATCATTTGGACCTAATTGCATCAAAGGGTAGCGCCGTCCTTCATGTGCCGGTTGTAATAGATTCGTTTTCATAACAACTTGTTCGTTGGGACTGAAAAACAATGCCGATATCCTGAGTAGACAGATGCTGATGTTTACAGATGTTTCTAAATGATAATTAAGTGCATTTCTGCCGGACTGAAACTTTGTGTCGATGTAGACAGAGTGCCGGTGTTTACAGAGGCCAATATTGCCAGAGTTCACTGTATACAGGGTATTACCAAACACTGAGTTGATTGATGTAAAGGACTGATTGACAGATGCATCAGGGGTAGACAACTCCTTTACTACTTCCCGTCTTATGGCAGTCTTCGTATTTCTCTGGTCTGATCTCTTTCTGTCAGACACCTGTGGTTTAGTTATACTTGGTGGTGAGGGAGGTGGCGATGCTATATCTAGACCTGAATCTGAAAGCAAGACATTATTGTCTGTAAGCAAGGTGTATTAATGCACCTAAAGACATTATTCTCTATTAAAAGATCTAGTTTGTGATATAATGCAAAAAAAGACCCTTTAAGGGCACTGATAAACAGTTTTTTAAATCATCTATTCTCTATTAAAATGATCTAATACTGCATTTGTTAAAACCATGATCCGGTTATTTCTTCAGTATGCTACCTGATTTGCAAATCCCAATTGCATAATCGATGCTCATGTTGTTGATCACTGGATGGTCTGGTCCAGACTCCATTATTTCCAGACTGGCCATTCAGCTGAAATATTGCTGAGTGCAGTGTAAAACTAAACTCACTCACTAAAGCTTTTTGGTGTTGTATCATTCCTGTTTTCACCATAACAAATTCAGCATTATGCTAATTTTATTCTTATATATATTGTAATAAAAATTCATGTCTAATCTTGGCTTCAAGTAAGAGATAATCAAGCTCTCAGCTTTCAAAGTGATTCCATCGAAGATACCAGCCTCATGCTGCATTTTATTAAGGTGACATACCTTTGTGCAGTCTGCTTCCAAGCTGCAGTATCAAGTATAACAGTAAATTCCAGCACAATTAACGTCAGTCATGTTTACAGTCGTCATCTTAGATATTCTGACATCACATTTGTGTATCATGTTACCCTAGGTCACCTATAAATAGAGCTGTCAAGGTTAGCGTCAGTGCGGCAATTTTGACTTTGACAAGCAAGGTAGGGTTCCAGGGTTACGTCACAGCTAAGTTCTCATTTTCACATTATAAGACATTTTTATTGTATAACTTTTAATTAACTATGCTATTATTAACACTTGGTCTGCTCTCTTAGTATCTAGTTGTGGATAAGTGATTTTTAGGGGGTTATTTTCAACTTTGTTGACATCCGGATTTCGTCTGACAGTTAAGAGAATCCGACAGTCGATCTGCATTCATTCCAACAGAATCGGAATATTCCCGGATCGTATGATTCAAGTTTACAGAGTACAGATACAGTTATCAATCACAAGTTGCAGGGATTTATCGTCAGTGCGAACTATTACTGTTATGCTATTCAATGCTTTGACAGTCGGGGATTGCATTCGCGATCCAGGGGGTCCAGGGTCATTCCGACCTGCTTTGTTTAATTTATCAAGTTACAGTCTCTGCTAAGGGTTTCTTCCTCGTGAGATTAGTGGAATCTTTTGAAGCCGAGATATACGTACTTCACTGCAAGTAAAAATTAGGATTTGTTTTTCTTTCTTACTTGTATCACATTTTGACAGCTGTCGGAGGCGCGGCCTCCTTGGTATTCATTTTGGGTCACGTGACTTCCGGAATGTATTGTTTACATTATCTTGATCCAGTTCTGGTTGCTGCAAGTTCGTACGCTTTTAAAGTTTCGAAGTTTATTGTACAGTTAATTTGTGTTAACAACCCAGGGATCTCTATCACGAGTGGATACAGTACTGCAAGACTACTGCAAGACTACGACAGCCACGAAGACACAGGTTGACGAGCAAGGTATCCAGTCAAGATGACAGTCAGTATCGCTTCATAAATAAACTCGTTATTGGAACTTTATCTACTTGTTGTGTGATCCTTCTGCATTTCGCCAGTTTCGACATTCACTACCTGTCAGGTCCTTGTGATATATTTTCACTAAACCTCTTCTCCGAGCTCCGGTATCTATTTTGTCACATTTTGTGACTGGTGGCAGCATCCATTTTATTTTTGTAGTTTGTCTACTAGTACTTCTCGACTAGTCCTTGGCCGTTCCGTTCCAATATTATGATGTTGCATTGCAAAAGTTATTTGTGATGGTGTACCATAATGTCCATATCGAGTATAAGATGTCTAAAACTCTCAACATACAATACACTCTCCTACCCAGAGTTCCATGCGGCAAGCCAGCTTAGTACCTCTGTCACAGGCCAGAAAGATGTGACGATTCGTCACATCTTGCACCGTCCATTCAATATAATCTACATATTCCTTAACTCTACATATTCCTTACACATCTAATTAAACATCTTTGTTAGAATGGTTTAGTTTCACTGAGAACATATCCTAAAACATGTAACACTATTTCGATTTGCGTAGCGATCCTTTGTTTACATAGGTTGTACGGCTCCACGTGCTGTCATCGAAGCCAACAGAGAGCAAACGATGCAACCAGTTTGATATCTAAATATGTACTGTAATAAAAGTTATTGTCGCAGTTATGGAAGAATATATATGTAACAATGTAAAACATTGTGAAGAGCGTGCCGAAAAGCTTGCGTAAGCCCAGTCTCTTTCTTATTATGAATATGCACTTTTGTTTACACACAAGAGAAAAAGTCCGGTCACATGATATGCAAATTAGACTGTGGCAGTGATTTTATGCGCCGGAATGTGCATACAATACTTCTGGATAAATGTGCTGGTACCAAATGAAATTCCAAGGACATAAATGAAACTTGCAGATCTCCAAAATGAAGAGTTATACCTCAAATGCAATATCATTTCTTCCCATCAAATCAGACAGCTGGGTAGTTGAATCAAGAAGATGGTAAATGTTGTATCACATCCTACCATTGTCTGTGCCCAGCAGATGTCTCAGTGCATCTTCAGACTCCTCATCATCCGATTCCAGGTTAGTGTTATCAGACAAATCTTCATCCTCAATTGTTTCCTCTGTGACAACTGATGGTGGCACTATGTACTTCGACATCTGGAACCCACGTAAAGCTGTCTCCGTTTTCTGGTTTCTCTGGAATCGTAACATGAAACCACAAGTAAGAGTGAGTATGTTTTAATGTCAATATACCTGCCATATTTTTAGAGCAGGGAACACCTAAACTGGGCCTAACATATGAGTTAAGGTGAAATGGGGTTTAACGTCGTACTAAGAATGGCGATACTATGTGTGGCTGCTTGTACTAGCCCAGACTTAAGCTGGTTTTATAGTGATAGCTCACTGAGATGCCATGCCGCAGTTAGGCATGAATACCCCTTTCAGACACAGTATACTGACTCCAAGCCAACCAGTTCTTGTTGTACCCATTAATGCCGAGCACCAGGCAGGGACCAACAAATACCATATTTTAACGTCTTTTGGCATGACGCGGCCGTGAATCGAACCCGGAGCTTCTGCTTTCGGGACGGAGCCTAACCATTGATGGTCATGTGGAAAATCAATCAGTGGTCTTTGACATGGATAAATTCATTATGGATGGTGATCGAGGGGCATGAAATTCTGGCACACTCAAAAGAGGGGGATCTTGTCAAAATTTATCACAACTATATGGTGGAGTGTCATGCAAACATGACACAGTTATATTAGAGAGGAAGGAAGGGCCATGAGAACATGCTGCAAGCATGGAGTGGGGTTGGGAAATAAAAAGATGTTACATAAAATGGAGTGAGGGGGCAGAATATGTTACAGTGCAACTCCACCTTCCCTCATTAATAGATTACCAGTCCCTAAATATAGTCATTAAGATTAAGCTCAAAATGACATTCAATTAGCCATTTAATGAGCATGTGGAATGAGATACTTGGGACTTATCGTGGAAACCGAAATGGTTGCTCACTCCAAGCATCCTCCATGTACCTGTAGAATGTCCATAGTTAGACAAGAGTCCCCTGTGCGGATCTGGAACATATTCTTCACCCCAAATAGCTCCCCCTTGTGGAAGCGGTCACCTTGGATACCGTGGAACAAACGCGTCGCATTCTCACTTGCAACAGCAACATTTCCTAGTTGCTGTGGGAAGGAATGATAAATTCAATCCAAATATACAAAATTAATTGAACCTTACCTGGAGGTGCAGTTTGATTACAATTCTGTTGTGTTCATGTTTGTTCGTTATAATACCATAGTCAAAGAAATATTCAACCAATATAATTATGATTTGTCAGTAATGGAGTCTGGACCAGAGAATCCAGTGATGAACATCATGAGCACTGATCTATGCAATGGACATGATGACATGCATAGACCAAGTCAGTCAGTCTGACCACCCGATCCCCGAGTAGTCTCTCATGACAAGCATTGGTTAGCTGTGTACAGCATGAAGATCACATGAGATGTGCGAGAGGTAAACGCTGGAAAGTTGTACTATAGAAAACATATTTTATGTATGATCATACAAAGTACATCAATTCCATTTTAGGCAATATTGCATAAATTCAAAACAATAAATGAAATAATAAGGTGCATGTTTTAACAAATCAGTTTTATGTTAACACAACGCAAACACATGATTAAATTGACGTCAGATCGTACAAATTTTTTTTATCTGAGTGAGTGAAAAGGTTTTAAGGCGTGGAACAATGTTTCAGTTCTATTTGTTTGTTTGTTGTTTAACGCAGCACTCAGCTATATTTCAGCTATATCAGTTATATCAGTTATATCAGTTATATGAGTCAGCTTGATGATCGAGGAAAGCTGAAAGAGATTCAGATCATTTCAACACTTCAAGCACAGACACTGCTTCAAACGGCTTGGCCTTGTGGGCAACCCTTACACTGGCTACAGTCCTGCATTGCACTGTTGGTGGGTTGGTTTATTGTTTAACAACAGATTCAGCAATATTCCAGCTATATGGAGGCGGTCTGTAAATAATCCAGTCTGGACCAGACAATCCAGTGCATGAGCAATGATGTACACAATTGGGATACAATGACATGTGTCAACCAAGTCAGTGAGCCTGACCACCTGATCCTGTTAGTTGCCTCTTACGACAAGCATGGGTTACTGAAGACCAATTTTAACCCAGATCTTGAAGGGTCTTGCACTGTTGGATTGTTTTAGCTAATGTTATAACGATATCACTAAAAAGTTGAAACTGACAGGAAAACTCAATCAGAATAATAAATATTTCATTTATTATCATATTGATGCCGAAAGAGGTTTGTTTTTGTTGTCGCACTCAAAATATTTCAGCTGTAAGACAGCAGCCCGTAAATAATTAACTATGTACAATCCAGAGGTTGTACGATCCACCCCATCGATAAGAGATGACCAGCAATCAGCAGAGCTAGATCACCCAATCCATCTATTGGTGTTGACCTACTGTTACCAAGAATACCTATGAACCACTTAAACAACATACCTGTTTGTATATTTGACGTAGGTAAATATTTTCTTCTATTGTCCCTACAGAGATGAGGCGATACACATTCACATTCTTTCTCTGACCAATTCTGTATGCTCTGAAATAGGAAGCAAAAAACATTATCAATAAATGTTTGGTTTGTTGTTTAACACCACACTCAGCAATGCTTCAGCTATATGATGTCAGTCTTTAATTAATCATATTCGATCTTTGTTTGAAGCCATAAAGTTTGTATCTTGTCTTCAGAACAAATCTCCATGGACAAGAAAGGACTCAAGGGAGACCACTCACCTGTCTTGAGCTTGGAGGTCATGACTTGGATTCCAGTTGGGGTCAAAGATCACGACCTTGTTGGCACCAGTCAAGTTCAATCCTAAGCCACCAGCTCTGAAAGTATGCATAAATCATAGAAAGATAAATAACCTAGAAAGATGAATAAGAGTATGATAAAACAGACGAAAAATGTATAATGTACATACATTCAATAACTAAAACTAAATTGTACTTTCCTATTGATCCACCAAGCAGCAGTATGACATGGATATCCCTCTCAGTCACAGTGCACTGACTCCCAGGTGTCCATGGTTTATTTTCAACATGTTGACACGCACCATCTTTATATCTCTTGTTATGATGTGGCTGATGCTAGAACCACCAACCTTGCCTCTTTGTACAGGCTCTCAATCCATCATAAGACCAAGAATGTAGCCATTAACAGTAACTAGCTTAAACTAAAGGTGGACCAAATTCGTAAAACATTTTGTGTTACTAACATGATTTAATCAAAAAGACAGTAAGGCAGAGATGCCAACCCTAATTTAACCCAGTTAGTATTTGGCCAAAAAATGATGCAAAAATTAGTATTAACTTTTTGAAAGGATCTTCATATTTAATGAAAAAATATATAGATATTCTAAGAACTTGTTATTAACGTTGTACTCACCTAAATCAGTAGTAAGTATCCACACAGCTGATACTGAATATAATGTGGTTGAAATTTAGTGTGTGTGGTATGTATGCTATTTTATAATTTAATTTAATGTATTTTTTTTAATTCGAATATTTTCACTGCTACCATAGTCGCGTATTTTGTGTTACTTTTTCGTACTGAATACGATAAAATCGTATGAGTTGGCATCTCTGGTAATGGTTGGCATTTCCAAAATCCGCACAGGAGAAACTCAAACTCACTTAGTAGATATCAAACAGACAAAGATGTTAGGGTCCTTGTTGAACTCGCGAACAATATCCATCCTGCGGCGGTTGTTGACGGTGCCGTCGATGCGTCGATACTCATGTCCGTCACTGATGATGTATTGTTCCAGGATGTCAAGCAGCTACAGGTGTGGAAGATGAACACTGATTGTCACAATCCAACGAAAACAGTCCGTGCTCACATGTGCATAAATGGTCCACCATTTTAAAAAGAAAGTGGTGCACAAATTATTGATAGCAATTTGCAACAAAAGGGGTACCAAGAACGAGTATTATCTTCATTGCTTTTCATCTCTAAACCAATCTTATAATTACATTAGTATCATGAATACACAATGCCATTTAGAAAGTGGTCAAATGTAAGATATTGTTATATTTGGGATTACACTTTCTCAGTAAAGTACAGATTCTAGTACTTTTTGTTGGGTTGAGTCCCATCTGGGATTTGATCCCACACCCTCAGAGTCAGGTACCTTATCGCCAGCACACAACGTCAGACGCCTAACCCGCTCAGGCCAGTGGAAGTTACGGTGGCTGAGGGGGTTAGGCGGCTAACTTTGTGAAATAGTCAACAATTAGGGAATTCTTCCCTGGAATTCATTTACAATGATTTTCATTTAACATACAAGAATAAAAATAATGGAATCAAACCCATGCCCACACACCATGTGAGTAAGTGAGCTACAATTTCTAGCTTCACTGAGAGTATTACAGACATATCATGCCTAGCACAAGTTATAAAGACGCAGGATCTGACAAATCCAAGGGAAACAACTCTGCACAAAGGAATTGCTTTACATGTCAGGGTCACCATGCAGCCAAGGTATTTCAGAAGTCTAACAGTAGAAGTCCGTACCCTGGTGGAGTAGGAGAACACCAACACCTTGCTGTGAGTCTTGTGGAACACCGACAGAAGACCCTGGAGAACCTGGGTGAACATATACACTGACTGAGTTTGGTTTTATGCCGCTTTTAGCAATATTCCAGCAACATCTCGGCGGGGGACACCAGAAATGGGCTTAACGCATTGTACCCATGTGGGGATTCAAACCCGGGTCTTCGGCATGACGAGCCAACGCTTTAACCACTAGGCTACCCCACCGCCCTGAACATATACAACAGGGCATCATACAGGAACAAACAGCCTCTTATTACACTGGTACAGCACTGGGCTTTTAATATACGAAGAGAAACACATAAAGGAACACAGGAAAAGTCACGTGTTCCTTTAATATTTTCCAGTTTTCATCACCACAGTACTATTCAAAGCTGGTGATGAAAACTAGAAAATATTTAAGGAACACTTGAATTTTCCTGTGTTCCTTTATTTGTTTCTCTACGTATATTTAAACTCAGTACCAACTATCTATCAGAATGAAACTATGGGGACATCATCATGTTTTTGTCCTAGAGGCTGTTCTGTTATTCCTTTGACATTGAACGTTTTGATACATCTGAAGGTAAGTACAAGCAACAAAAACGTATTCAATGCTCGTATATGTAAACCTTTGAGTTGACAGGCAGTGGTTGCAGAGCATAACATTCATTGTTCCTCCGTTTCCAATGACAACCAGTATGTGCAGTGTTTATGAACAATCCTATTGGCTGATAGCGCTAAGCTTGAAGTGCATACCAGCAAAGGGACCAGTTTAAAAACATTCAGTTATGAATGACAGATAATTTGTTGTTACTTTTATGTTGTTAGTTGTTCTCTAAATCAAATATCTCTATGATGTAAATATTCTCAAGTTTTAAGTTTCCATAACTAGAAATGCTTAACTAGCAAACCTTCATCTTCCCACAGTACTTTGGATCGGACAATGTCCGGAAGGATGCCTCCCTGCTCTGCTCCAGGAACTGAGGGTGGTCCTTGAACGCGATCTTGCACACCTCCTTTGTTCTCTTCAGCTGCTGTGGGCTGGAGTTGGCATGTGGTGTGAGCAGAGCCACGTGATTGGCTGTCTTCAGAAGCAGGTGCATAAAGGAGAACATGACGCTTGTGATGTTGTGACCTTCTGCGGAGACCTTCAACACAGACATGGTGTTTCTGATTACAAATAGGACATACAAATAGGTTCTGAAACATGACTGACTGACTGACTTAGTATGGTTTTACGCCGCTTTTAGCAATATTCCAGCAACATCACGGTGGGGGACACCAGAAATGGGCTTCACACATTGTACCCATGTGGGGATTCGAACCCGGGTCTTCGGCGTGACGAGCCAACGCTTTAACCACTAGGCTACCCCACCGCCCCTCTGAAACAAGAAAACTTATTGAACAAATGTGTTGCCAATAACACAATCATATTTGTCTTTATGTGAATTTTGCCTAAAGTTTGAAGATCAGAATCCTCTTTCACAAAACAATCATAATGTTATGGTCATGTTGTGGTATGGATTGGTTGGTTGTTTAACTCTGTCAATATTGCAGCAAAATAATATTTCCATCTTGTAAATAATGGAGTCTGGACCAGACAATCCAATGATCAACAGTATGAGCATCGATCTACGCAAGTGTAATACAAAGACATGTGTCAACCAAGTCAGCGAGACTGACCACCCTACCCAGTTAGTCACCTGTTAGGACAAGCATGAAGATCAATTCTAACTTGGACTGTAAACCAAAAGTCACTGTGTTCTTTAATCTGATTGGTTGAAAAACATGATCAAATGGTATTCGATTCCTGGAAATTCGCTGCGTAATAATACATTCAAACATTGCTCACACCATTGTATTGTTACGTCGTCAGCTGTGATGACGTCATTCAAATCATATTGTGACGTAAAGTCGGAATGACGTCACAAATGAGCAGTTCCAGATGGTACCATGGGAGACAGCTGAAATGGCCGGCTGATGACATTTCACTGCTGTACCCGTACTCCATGTCAATGAATGCAGACACAAAAACGTGTGTGGACCTTTTGGTTTACTTTTGTGTTTACAATGTCGATAAACATCATGTGTTGGCCAATTTCCAGGTGTTATTGAGTATTTACGCCGTCGGTTCCAAATGAATTCCCGTGCTTCAAATACTCAATAACACCCGGAAATTGGCAAACACATGATGTTTATCTCCTAATTGTCACAGGGTCTTGTTATATTGTCTCCAGGCAATCAAAGTGCTACGATCAATTTATGACAACATGCCCCGGTCCAGTCAAATGGTCCAGTTTAGCATGGAAACCCCATTCAAACACAACACATTGACTCCAAGCAAAAACGTAATTGTGGCATCTCAGACAACTGGTCCACCTGTGTTCCCCTATGTTAATGACAGTGGAAGATGTCGCTTCCAAAAGTCCAGGGACCGTTTCACAAAGCTCTCGTAAGCCTAAGATCTTGTAACTTTTCTCGTAGCATTAGTACCTCCTATGTTACAGTATAGGAGACAGGAATGTTACGAGAAAAGTTTCGAGATCTTAGGCTTACGAGAGCTTTGTGAAACGGGGCCCAGAAGTTCAAAACAAAACCTCTGGGAAACAAACATACAACATCCACAATTATTGTTAGCACATAATAACTGAGAAGGGGGCAGTACAGTATCACTGACAGGGTCTGACAGCTGACTCTACCTTGTAGCAACATTTGCTTCTTGTTCTCGAGCTCTCACAGTCACAAGGGTCGTCCATTCTCAAAACGAGGCTCATGTCAGGGTGACCCAGCACTGCTCTGTACACACTTTCCTGGAGTGGAGTCAACTTACAGAACACCACATTGTCATCTGATGGATAGAGAAGAGTGAGTGAGTGAGTGAATGAGATGAAAACCTTTATCTTTATGTCTTTGAAGGGAGGGAATGAGTGAGTGAATAAAATTTAAAATAAATTGTTTTAAACTCTGAGTAAACTAAGGCTCTGAAAACATTTGTCATGCTATGTTTGGTAATATTTTCAGAACAGATTCAACAGGAAATAGCTGTGCCCAGATATTGATTTTGTAGAAAACATTCTCTGATTGGAGGATCGATATCTGCTTGGTTTAGCACTTAAAGTTCAGCTCGAAAAGGGCAATGTTACAAGTCGTCTTTGACATAATCTAGTGGACACTTTTGCCTCCAGATGATGGTGGTTGGGCAACTTTATTTAGCTGGGAGAAAGTCTCGTTTCATGGTTTTTCACTATTGCAAAAAAATCATCATGTTCCTAGCCCATGTGTAAGTCGGATAACACCCCCTACTGTAGGTAGGTCCGGGTAAGAATTGATCTTCAGTAACCCATGCTTGTCGTAAAAGGCGACTAACGGGATTGGGTGGGCATGCTCACTGACTTGGTTGACACATATCATCGGTTCCCAATTGCACAGATCGATGCTCATGCTGTTGATCACTGGATTGTCTGGTCCAGACTTGATTATTTACAAACCACCGCCATATAGCATGAATATTGCTGAGTGCGGCGTAAAACTAAACTCACTCACTCACTCACCCTAGTGCAGGCGATACAGATTGAATGCTGCTTATTCATGACATACTTATTAACAAATCAGCATGTTGACAAGGTCTCTCTGATTCCTCATTTTGAGAAGCAGCTTACCTTTCTCTGGCAGCTGGTCTGCAATTATCTTTTTGGTTCTTCTGATCATCATGCTTGTCCGCTTGTTGGAGAATTCTTCTCTTTCTGGAACAAACAGGAGAGTTTCAGATAACTGTTTGTTTTAATTGTTGTTTCACTTGTGGTGTTGAGGCTGAGATTGCTGGTTACAATACAGTGAGTAAATGGATTTTACACCTATTGAGTTACATTACTGCTCTTATCATTACAGCTTTGCAAGAACATAAAGAATGTCATGCAGGCATTATTTCACCCATGTCTGAAATTAACCACGTGTGGTTTATAACGAACTTTTATCAATTCATTCGTCCAGAACAATAATTTTTTACATCCCTCAAACTCTTATAATTAATTTGTGAACAGTCCTCCCTTTACAATCTGTTGCAGAAATAAGTAATGCTTAAAGCATGTATAAGACAAAATATTATGGATGTCAACTTCTTCTTTATTGTATACACGTTTCTGGGCTATTCCTTGCCCCTTCGTCAGGTGCTTAAAGCATATAATCCAATTTAACAATAGCTCTTTCAGTCTTCAATTACATTAAACAAACTCCGTGAGCTTTTTCTGCAGCTCTTTCTATTTGAACATGTGACAAAATCTTAATTGTGAGTGAGCTCATATTGTTTTACGCAGCAGACCATCTTGATCAGGAAACATTTAAATTTTCAGTCCGAGCTTCAATGTTTAGGCAAACAAGAACTCATCTAGACTTACTTTTTCTGGCCATGGCCAGTTCCCTCTTTGTGGCACCACGTCCCTGGCCTCGCTCTATGACCTGAACAAAATCTGTCTCAAACTCGTACAGTCTACCCATCACATTCGGCTGGGCCCTGGAACATGGATACACATACCATGTCAGTATAGTGAGATCTGATCAAGTACTTATTCCAATTTCTTAATTCTTTCACAATTGTAGATTAAAACATCTTGGCAAGTATCACAATGGCAGTATCACATTGGTTATGTGGTTCTATGTGTTCCGCGTTAGACTTCCTAACCACTTATAGTATGACCAGAAATTATTGAGAATTTTAGGAATATGTTTAATAGGATTTCAAGTATAAACAATCTTGTCCAGCTATCAAGTGCTTGGTTTCATTCAAGAGAGACAAGTCTGTTAATCCTTTTTCATTAGTTTGTGAAGAGTTATCCCCCTTTGTTTACTTGCTAGCAGACGACATTTTCAGTGATCCTCAGTATGGATGATTTAGAGAAAGGAAGTTGATTTTAGAGTATTATAACAAGGATATCAGATCAGCTAAAGTGATTTCAAGTAGAACAGGCATCCATTTGTCCACTGTTTATCGTGTTTTGAAAAATATTGCAAATGGATATGGCATTGAGCACCAGGGAGGCGAGGTAGGCCCAGAAAATTGACTGTCGGTGACAGGAGGCGGCTTAGGTATTCTTGTTTCTAAAAACAAACGAAGGAGTTTAGAAAACTTAAGGCTGGATATGATTGATAGAGGAACTGTGGCTGTCTGTAAGGAGACAATTAGAACTGAGCTGAAAGCAATGGGCTGGCAGAAAAGTCGAGGAATTCCATCACCGATCATGAAACCTGAACAAAAGGAGCGAAGGTTGAACTGGTGCTTACAGCATAGAAATCTAAAATGGGACAATGTGATTTTCTCAGATGAAAGTTCTGTGTGGCTGTTTCCTAATACACTGAAATTCTGGACCAAACAAACTGAAAAACCTTTGTATCAGCGCCCAAAGTACAGTCCGAAATTTAACGTGTGGGGTGGCATATTTGTGTTAGGGGCAACGCCCCTCTGTGTATTTGAAGGGAATATGAACAGTGAGCGGTACACAGATATTCTCGAGGGACATTTACTTCCATCTGCTCAAGTGTTCTATGGAATTTTTTGGATTTTCCAGCAGGACAACGAACCAAAACATCGTTCAAAGCATTCACAGGCATGGTTTCGGACCCAAAATATGACATTATTAGACTGGCCAAGCTATAGCCCTGACCTAAATCCAATAGAAAATGTTTGGGGACTTATGAAGGAAAGTGTCAAAAAGACAAATCTGACAAATATTGCTGAAATGAAAGAAGAGGTGGTCCGATATTGGGACAGCATGGACAACGACTTTCTAACTTCTTTGCTCAGTAGTATGCCCCGCTGCATTGAAGCCTGCATTGCTGCCCATGGTGACTTGACAAAATACTAACTGTTCACCTGTCTTTGAATCTGGAATTACGTTCTGCTAATATTCACATTTAATACGTGAGTAATGAGTGAAAAAAATAACAAATTTACAATATTTAAATTCTCAATAATTTCAGGTTGTACTGTACCTCCAGCTTGTGGTATAAGACCTAACACAGGATGCATAAAAACCTTGGTCCTTGGAACTAAGAAGAGGAAACTAATTTTTGTAAGAGCCAAGTAATAAATACAGATCGGGTTTAAAAGAGCAATGTTATGGGAATGCATCAAAACAAGCTGAGATTAAGCCTCCTGTAAACGTATACCAGCTATAAGATGACATTCTGTAAGAGTGAGTGAGTGAGTGAGTAAGTTTGGTTTTACGCTGCTTTTAGCAATATTCAAGCAATATCGCGGTGGAGGACACCACAAATTGGCTTCACACATTGTACCCATGTGGGGAATCGAACCCGGATCTTCAGCGTGACGAGCGAACGCTTTAACCGCTAGGCTACCCCACCGTCCCACATTCCGTAAGAAAAAGTCCAGACCAGAAAATCCTTTGATAGACGTCATGAGCACTGATCTACACAAATGGGTAAGATGACATGCATCAACCAAGTCTGCAAATCTGACAGGCGAATCCCAAGACACATCTTACAACTATGCTAAAGTTATCCTTTTCGATCAGCAGAACCAAAGGCCTTATTGAGCCACTATTCTGGCTAGTTGTACAAGTGTGTGTGTATGTAGTGTTTAACACTGCACTTGATAATATTCCAGTAATATGACTGCTGCCATGTAAATAATCAAGTCTAGACTAAACGATCCAATACTATGCAATACATCAACAAACAACAAACAAGTCTCAGCATCTGAATACCCCATCTTACACAGCACAGGATGCTGGGAACCAGTTCTACTCTGAGTTCCCACGGTACGCCAGTGAAGATTAGGTTCATCTGCATCCCTGGTCACTCCTAACTGTACCAGTACTTACCAGTCCAGGATAGACCAGAGTTCCGTCATGTTGTTCTGTAGTGCAGTTCCAGTGAGACCATAGCGCTTCTTTGTGTGCAGACAACGCAGGGCTTGAGTTGTCTGTGCTTTAAGACCCTGTAGTGGGAACATCAAACATGTGTAATCACCTATTCTATCCGTCATTTGTTCAACGTATCTAGAAACTGATTCCCATATACCTGTCTGGCCCAAAAAGTTTGAATCCCAAATAGTCTGAACAAAGCATTATTTCCAGTGCTAAAGGATTTCACTGACTGATTTTAAAGAACATTCCTTCTGAAAGGTTTAGGAGGTTTAAGTGAGTGAGTGAGTTTAGTTTTACGCTGCACTCAGCAATATGGCGGCAGTCTGTAAATAATCGAGTCTGGACCAGACAATCCAGTGATCAACAGCACGAGCATCGATCTGCACAATTGGGAACCGATGACATGTGTCAACCAAGTCAGCGAGCCTGACCACCCGATCCCGTTAGTCGCCTCTTATGACAAGCATGGGTTACTGAAGATCAATTCTAACCTGGATCTTCACGGGTCTGAGGAGGTTCAAACCTACTACCGATACTGGAATACAGCTGAGTGCCACGTAAAATTAAAGCCAAAGTGAAACCTCAAAACAAAACTGGCTTTTTAAGTTCCCAATCCCCAAAACAAACGGATGAAGATCCTTGCTTTGACTAACCAGACATCTTTCAGGCATCTTACATGTCAACCTGTTTAGCAGTCTGTCTGACTCAATATGTGACTTGGATAGACCAAAACCACTCTAAGACTCCTTGATCTGACTGATACCCAAGTGAAGAAAAGAACATGCATGTCTTCAGCCTCTTCTCTCACATGACTATGTACTGAGTGAAACACATGTCCCTTCCACCTACCTTGATCCTGTGCACCTCATCCACAATCACAGCTTCCCAGTCAACAGAGTTCAACAGCTCCTGCAACATGAAGAGAACACCTGATCAGCTGTAAAATACACAAAAAAAGAAATCACTAGGGTGAAACGTTACACTCTTACCACGGTGCAGTACATATTGCGGTACAGGGCCTTTGGTTTGATCTGTTTTGGTTCGGTATATGAGAACGTACTTCAGTCTAGCAAAAAAACAATGCATATATGTTGACAAATGATTTGTTTCCTAGACATTTTAGAAAAGATTTTAAAAGGTTAATAAAATGACAATATGAAAACCAATTTTGGGATTGCATTACAGTGTACTAAACTGAAGGCAAAATACCGCGGCATACCATTTCACCCCTAAAAATTACCAGCACAAAATTACTATCATATTGAATATACATAATTGTGTATAATTACCCAATGTATCCGTTTCATTATCAAGGATACTTATGTGACCTTCTGGTATCAATACAATCTCAATACAATGTGATGTTACCGTGGTTGGATATAAATGAATGAGGGCAGTTGACGTTCATGTCTCAACTGACCATGTTATCTCTGAATGTTTCAAATGTTGTCACGACAACCTCCAGCTTTCCTTTCTTCACTTCAGCCAAGCAAGTCTTCTTGTCGGAACCATGAAACTTGCTGATGGTAGAAATAATATAAGCTTAAAACCTTGTTGGAAGAAAGGATTAAATCAGCATTGTATATCAGGATGTCTGGGTACTATCAGGAAATTGGTGTTGAGAGAACAAATATTAGTGAACAAACATGTGACTGAAAGCATAAGCACTCTTGGGTCCAATGACATCCAGTCAGCAAAATCTCAAAGACTGATCACCTGCCACCCATTTTAATCAAATATCACCCCAAGTGCAGTGCACCAGCATCCTCTGCTATTCTAGCCCTCTATCCTTCAAGTGTTTCTTAAAAGCAGGCACCTTAAAATCAAACTTGTTGACATATTGCTATTGTGTTAAATGCCCTTGTTGTCTTAATGCAAGGCACAGGGGAGATGACTCAGCTGACCTTGCTGTATAGAAAATGGGGAGATAACCCTTGACTGAACTTGCTATATATAGACAAGGGGAGAAAACCATTGGTTGACCTTGCTGTACTGAAAAAGGGCGATAATCTTGATTGAACTTGCTGTATTTAAAGGGGAGAAACCATTAGCTGACCTTGCTGTAAAGTATCCCCATGTGTCCAGTTCATCCAGCCAGTTGTACAAGACGCTGCCAGGGCCGATGATGAGGAAGGGTTTGTAGTCCATGTCAGTGTATTGGTCTGACGAATCTGACAACTGTTGTCGCAAAAAGATTTCCTCATAGTGAAGATCAAATGTGTTGACAAATGGAAACATGCACTCCAGTTTCACTTTCAAGTAGCAGACAAATGGCATAGAATGAGTGAGTGAGTGAGTTTAGTTTTACGCTGCACACAGCAATATTCCAGCTATATGGCAGCTTTCTGTAAATATTTGAGTCTGGACAAGACAACCCAGTGATCAACAGCACGAGCATCGATCTAACACAATTGGGGACTGCACTCGCCGCACTCAGCAATATTCCAGCTATATCGCGACGGTCTGTACATAATCGAGTCTGGACCAAACCATCCAGTGAGCAACATGATGATCACCGATCTACGCAATTGGGAACCGTTGATATTTGTCATCCAAGTCAACGAGGCTGACCACTCGATCCTGTTAGTCGCCTCTTACGACAAGCATTGGTTACTGAAGATCAATTCTAACCCGGATCTTCACTGGTCAATGGAATAGAAAAATTGAGATTCTACTTCCCCTCACCAAAACGAATTCAACTGTAAGTACACTCATACAGGTATCATTATGAAATCACTGCTCCTAATTTTTCAATGTACACATTGTATTTCAGGTGTCACTGTGTTCAATACACTGTAACAAACTAGTCAAAGAGTATTTGATGCAAACCAATAAATGCTGTCATATTCCATCGTGAGATGCACAAACACATTTCTTCATGTCCCTATTGCACTGCAACCCTACATAAATTTTGTTGAGTATACATATTGTTACTAACCTAACAGTTACCATAGTTACCATGTTACATTGATGTAGCATTCAAGCTCACCTCTCTGATAAATTTAGGCTTCTGTCTCATGACGTCCATCCTGTTTCCCTGCTTGTGCAACAACGCAGCCAGAAGTCCTATCACCTTCATAGACAGAGACACTTGTGAACACAAAACTAGAACGGCGTTCTGCCTTGAGCTTCTCAAACAATCTTTTCTGAAGGTGAGGTGAGGTTAGGTGAAATTGGGTTGAACTTCGTACTTGAGAATATTTCGCTCATATGTGACGTGCATGCATGTGTATGTGAGGCTGCTTGTACTAGCCCAGACTTAAGCTGGTTCTATAGTGCTAGCCCACTGAGATACCATGACGCAGTGAAGAATGAATACCCCACTCAGACACATTATACTGACTCCGAGCCGACCAGTCCTTGTTGTACCCATTAATACCAAGAGCCAGGCAGGGACCAACAAGTACCATATTTTAACGTCTTTTGGTATAACGCGGTCAGGGATCGAACCCGCGACCTTTCACTCTCCGGGCGGACACTCTAACCACTACACCATGGAGGCAGTCTCTTTTCTGAAGAATCTACTTATGATGACACACTGAAGTACTGAGTGAGTATGGTTTTACACAGCTTTCAGAAATAGTAAAGCAATATAATATCAGGAGAAATGGGCTTCACATATTGTACCCATGAGGGGTGTCACACCTGTGTCTTAAGCGTGAGTGAGTATGGTTTTGCGCTGCTATAGCAATATTCCAGCAACATCATGGCGGGGGACACCAGAAATGGGCTTCACACATTGTACTCATGTGGGAAATCGAACCCGGGTCTTCAGCGTGATGAGTGTACGCTTTTAAACACTAGGCTACCCCACTGCCAATACACTAAACCAATCGGAACCTGTCCAATCCATACAAACTGTCAATATCCAGTCAAAAGTTCTGCCAAGTTTATTTTATTATTTTGCAATATATTTCACTTGATTAAATGTGGTACATGTGAAACTGATTCTACCAAAATCATAACCATGATAACGGTTGGCATGTCTGTGGAATGTTTCCATGACTACAGCTGATGTACCTGCACAGTTTTGCCGAGTCCCATGTCGTCACCGAGTATAGCACCTCTACCTTCTCTGTAATGTGAGTACAGGAACTTGATGCCTTCCCGCTGGTAGTCTCGAAGATACTGGTTGATGGTTGCTGGCACCTAGAGTTATTCATTGAAAATATTACACTTTATATATGAGGACTGGGGTTGAAATGTATTCCTACATTTGTTATAATATATAACAAGTTTTATGGATAACAACTTCTTTATTTTCTCTTGATTTGTTATATATTGTACGTCTCAACTTCTAAAATGCCACTCAAACAAGTTACATTTGTTATGTTTAGCATGTTTATATTGGTAAGAGAACATTTTGTTGACGTTCTCAAATGTTTAAGAGTGAGTAAGTGAGTGAGTGAGTTTAGTTTTACGCCGCACTCAGCAATATTCCAGCTATATGGCAGCAGGATTGTTTAAGACATTTTGACAACTGTTATATCATCATATAGCACTCCAATCAGTATGCACTGAGAGTGAGTGAGACAGCGAGTGAGTGAGTGAGGTTTTAAGCCACTTTTAGCATCATTCCAAAAATATGGTGACAGACACTGAAATCGGCATAACGAGGGAATATACCGTAACCAAGAGGCTACTCCACTTCCCAACTTCTAGTTTATGATTTATTTACTTGCCTTGATCTATTCAGATGAATCTTTTCTGAACAAACTACATATGACATACTAAAAAGAAGGCTGAGTATCATATATACACCAACACTCCTTTAAAATACTTTCCAGTGAAACATATTATACATTCTAACATTGAGAAAGCGCCAAGATGTAAATATGAGTGATAACAAGCATTGTCACTAAGGTGACATAATCCCCCGCCGCAAATTATCAAATCAAACTTTAAAAGTAATGAAAGTGAAGGTCATAATTTAAGATAAAGTTAAATGTCAACAAAAACATGACCAGTCAACCTCTCTTGATATCTTGCTCTGTAGTTGTTCAAACACACAAATATTTTCAAGACTCACTTTGACCTTGACATGAATGTCTTAGAGTATGCAATATGCAAAAAGTAATAAAGAAATTGCTTATTGGAAAACATTCAAGGGAAGTCTTGAAAGTCTATGAAGAAAATCCAGTGAACTGTTCTTGAGATATCTCGCTGACAATCTTAACATGCAGTTTAACATGCTGAAATCTTCAAAGTGTCACTGTGACCTTGAAAATTAAGTGAAGGTCACCAAAATCGACTGGAACTTGCACCTTCCCCAGATGAAGCTTGGTGTCATATATGAAGAAAGTCCATTGAATGGTTCTTGAGATATCTCACTGACAATCTTTACATGTAGGTTAACATGCTGAAATCTTCAAAGTGTCGCAGTGACCTTGAAAATTAAGTGAAGGTCACCAAAATCGACTGGGCCCTTCGCCTTCCCTTGATAAAGCTTGACGTTGAATATGGAGAAAATCCAGAGAACGGTTCTTGAGGTATCTCGCTGACAAGCTAACATGCAGCTTAACATGCTGAAATCTTCAATGTGTCGCCATGACCTTGAAAATTAGGTGAAGGTCACCAAAATCGACTGGGCCCTGCACCTTCCCTAGATAAAGCTTGGTGTTGAATATGAAGAAAATCCAGTGAATGGTTCTTGAGATATCTTGCTGACAAGGGTAAAACGTTAAAGTCCCCTTGTGACCTTGAAAATGAAGGTCAAGGTAACCACACCTGACTGGGACCTTCCTTTTACTGTGATGAATCAAGGTACCAAATATGAAAAGAATCCAATCAACGGTTCTTAAGATATTCCAATTCGTACGTACAGACGGACGGAGCCTAATACTATATCCCCCACTTCTCGCTTAATGCGCGGCGGGGGATAACAATGCTAAGCCATGCATGTTGGGGAGCACTGTTTGAAGGATAAGAAAGGTAGGACACTTTATGGATGACAACTTCTTTATTATATCATCATGTAAGGCTCACAAGCCCTCCTCTATCACAAACAAAGTACTTAGACCAGCATAGGATATTGTTGTAAGGACTCAGAACACAGAAACATATTTGAACATAGTGACTCACCTGGACACATTGTATCACATGGACATAGTGACTCACCTGGACACAGTGACTCACCTGGACATACCGACTCACCTGGACACAGTGACTCACATGGGTACATTGATTCACCTGGACATAGTGACTCACATGGGTACATTGATTCACCTGGACACAGGGACTCACCTGGGTACATTGATTCACCTGGACAAAGTGACTTACCTGGGTACATTGATTCACCTGGACACAGGGACTCACCTGGGTACATTGATTCACCTGGACACAGTGACTCACCTGGGTACATTGATTCACCTGGACACAGTGACTCACCTGGGTACATTGATTCACCTGGACACAGGGACTCACCTGGGTACATTGATTCACCTGGACACAGTGACTCACCTGGGTACATTGATTCTCCTGGACACAGTGACTCACCTGGGTCCATTGATTCACCTGGACACAGGGACTCCCATGGGTACATTGACTCACCTCAACACAGGGACTCACATGGGTACATTGATTCACCTGGACATAGTGACTCACATGGGTACATTGATTCACCTCAACAAAGGGGACTCACCTGGGTACATTGATTCACCTGAACACAGTGACTCCCATGGGTACATTGATTCACCTGGACAAAGTGACTCACCTGGGTACATTGATTCACCTGGACAAAGTGACTCACATGGGTACATTGATTCACCTGGACACAGGGACTCACCTGGGTCCGTTGATTCACCTGGACACAGGGACTCACCTGGGTACATTGATTCACCTGGACACAGTGACTCACATGGGTCCATTGATTCACCTGGACATAGTGACTCACCTGGGTACATTGATTCACCTGGACACAGGGACTCACCTGGGTACATTGATTCACCTGGACAAAGTGACTCACATGGGTACATTGATTCACCTGGACACAGGGACTCACCTGGGTACATTGATTCACCTGGACAAAGTGACTCACATGGGTACATTGATTCACCTGGACACAGTGACTCACCTGGGTACATTGATTCACCTGGACACAGTGACTCACCTGGGTACATTGATTCACCTGGACACAGTGACTCACCTGGGTCCATTGATTCACCTGGACACAGGGACTTACCTGGGTACATTGACTCACCTCAACACAGGGACTCACCTGGGTACATTGATTCACCTCAACAAAGGGGACTCACCTGGGTACATTGATTCACCTGAACACAGTGACTCCCATGGGTACACTGATTCACCTGGACACAGTGACTCACCTGGGTACATTGATTCACCTGGACAAAGTGACTCACCTGGGTACATTGATTCACCTGGACAAAGTGACTCACCTGGGTACATTGATTCACCTGGACACAGGACTCACCTGGGTACATTGATTCACCTGGACACAGTGACTCACATGGGTACATTGATTCACCTCAACACAGGGACTCCCATGGGTACATTGATTCACCTGGACACAGTGACTCACATGGGTACATTGATTCACCTGGACATAGTGACTCACCTGGGTACATTGATTCACCTGGACACAGGGACTCACCTGGGTACATTGATTCACCTGGACAAAGTGACTCACATGGGTACATTGATTCACCTGGACACAGTGACTCACCTGGGTACATTGATTCACCTGGACACAGGGACTCACCTGGGTACATTGATTCACCTGGACACAGTGACTCACCTGGGTACATTGATTCTCCTGGACACAGTGACTCACCTGGGTCCATTGATTCACCTGGACACAGGGACTCCCATGGGTACATTGACTCACCTCAACACAGGGACTCACATGGGTACATTGATTCACCTGGACATAGTGACTCACATGGGTACATTGATTCACCTCAACAAAGGGGACTCACCTGGGTACATTGATTCACCTGAACACAGTGACTCCCATGGGTACATTGATTCACCTGGACAAAGTGACTCACCTGGGTATATTGATTCACCTGGACAAAGTGACTCACCTGGGTACATTGATTCACCTGGACACAGGGACTCACCTGGGTCCATTGATTCACCTGGACACAGGGACTCACCTGGGTACATTGATTCACCTGGACACAGTGACTCACATGGGTCCATTGATTCACCTGGACATAGTGACTCACCTGGGTACATTGATTCACCTCAACACAGGGACTCACCTGGGTACATTGATTCACCTGGACAAAGTGACTCACATGGGTACATTGATTCACCTGGACACAGTGACTCACCTGGGTACATTGATTCACCTGGACACAGTGACTCACCTGGGTACATTGATTCTCCTGGACACAGTGACTCACATGGGTACATTGATTCACCTGGACACAGGGACTCACCTGGGTCCATTGATTCACCTGGACACAGGGACTCACCTGGGTACATTGACTCACCTCAACAAAGGGGACTCACCTGGGTACATTGATTCACCTGGACACAGTGACTCACATGGGTACACTGATTCACCTGGACACAGTGACTCACCTGGGTACATTGATTCACCTGGACAAAGTGACTCACCTGGGTACATTGATTCACCTGGACACAGGGACTCACCTGGGTACATTGACTCACCTGGACACAGTGACTCACGTGGGTACATTGACTCACATGGATACATTGACTCACCCGGACAGTCACTCACCTGGTCACGTGGACTCACCTGGACACAGTGACTCCCCTGAACACAGGGACTCACCTGGGCACACTGACTAAACTGGACACAGAGCATCACCTGCGTACATTGACTCACCTAGACACAGTGCCTCACCTGAACACAGTGACTCACATGAGTACATTGACTCACCTGAGGACATGCACTCACCTGGGCACATAGACTCACCTGAACAGTGACTCTCCTGAGCACAGTGGCTCACCTGAGGACATGCACTCACCTGGACACAGTGACTCACCTGCGCATATATACTCACCTAGTGACTCACCTGGACCCAGCGACTCACCTGTACTACTGGTGTCTCCCCGTGCTCAGACAACAGGAATGGTACTTTACTAGCCGACAGGGTAAAGGAAAATTTCGGCTTCTCCATATCATCCTCAGTGAACCCTGGTGAAGATACAACCAATCTGCTTGTATGATAAATACAGAATTATCCTAAAAACATGTCTACTCATTAGAATATACAAAACAATACATGGAACCCTATAGAGAAAAATATATTGAAAACTCAAACAAAATCATTATGTGAATGATAACATGTAGTTACTCAATGGTGAAAGAGGTTATCTACTACTTTCAAATATCATTCCCATATTGGTTAAGTTACATCCAAGAATCAAAATAGGTACAGGCTTACCTGAGAATTCATCCTCATTCCGTATGCCAGTTGTCGTCCTGTTACTTTTCTTTACAGAACTGACATCTGGTCTGGCTGTCCCTGTGTCTTCAATCTGTATTGAGCTTGTGCTGGCTTCTTGTGAATCATGGACACTAAAATACATGGCAGCCATTTGCGAATTTGGGAATGCATCCACAGCTCAGCCCGATAATGTTATTACCTGCCTTTGCTGGCTCCGCATTCTCACAGTAGCCAATCAGCTAGGTCGCCGTTACAACCGAGCTTGCCAGTGTCAACAAAGATAGCGGTCGCAATTATGCTGCCAAGTTTAATCGGTCAGATAAAAGAAGCGAAAGTCAGTTGTGATTGGTACGCTCAACTTCCCAACCTGTTTGGATAAAAAGCCAGCCAAGGGAGGTAATAAAATCATGGGGCTGAGCCCTAGATGCATCTGGGTGAAATGGAGATTTATCGTAACGTATACCCTGGAGATTATTGAGGATGAGGAGCACCAGACCCTTTTGAACATTAGTCATATGTGTTTTGTGTGTCAAAAAGGCAGAATCATGTCAATAGACCAAAGAAACATTTTCTCATAAACTGCATCCTTCCAGTGTGTTGAAAAAAACCTATTGTGGTATGACAGAGAAAATATTAAGAAAATATGAAAGAAAGCACAAACATTTTTTATATTCAGTGTTTTGTTGCTCCCCACATAGGTACAATGTGTAAACCCTTTCTGGTGTCCACCAGTTGATTAATATGGCACTCAGCAATATTCCAGCTATATGGCGGCCGTCTGTAACTAATTGAGTCTGGACCAGACAATCCAGTGATCAACAGCATAAGCATCGATCTCGAAATTGGGATACAATGACATGTGTCAAGCAAGTCAGCTAGCCTGACCACCAGATCCCGTTAGTTGCCTCTTGCGACAAGCATAGGTTGCTGACGACCAATTCTAACCTAGATCTTCACAGGTCTGGTGTCCACCAATATCATATTGTACAATAATGCTAAAAGGGCCATAAATCCCACACATTTACCGTACGCCACTTCCTCAATACATTGGTCACTGGTTAAGGTCACTTCTGTCCAATGGATTTCGAGTAGATCCTTCATAACTACAAAGTGTTTGGGGTATCCAAGTAGATGTTCTCTGGCAGCTAAATCATCGAGTCATTTCTTTCTAAATGTTTTGCACATAGATCTCACATGCATGTAAAACAGTACGGCAGCCTAGCAGACAATTATCATTTTTGGTTTGCAAAACCACGAAACGTCTTTAGAAGTAATTAAATGGTGTTTGTTTGATGCTTTTATCCAGTTACTAGTGCCTTGAAACAGGGGCTATTGTATCAATATGTAATTTTTAGAGTAAAATTGATATTTTATACTTATCCTGACTCATGCTCTTTTGCTTGTCTTCTTCTTCTTGCGAACATAGTGGAACACTTGTATCTCCTTATTTGAAGCTCCCTTCAAAATAAAATCACTAATTGGTACTCACCACGAGTTGCTCCCCTTTGTCTCCCCTGGCGGGAAAAGGTGTCGCCACCCTCTGGCCATGTGCTCCACTCTCTCCTGATTTAGCGAGCCCAACACTTGAATTTACAGGGAAATCCAAAGTGTTATGTGGGGAGGATGGGAGGGCTAACCTCATGAGTCAGGATAAGTATAAAATATCAATTTTACTCTAAAATTACATATTTTTCCTTATCCTGACTCATGCTCTTTTGCTTGTAGCATCCTCTGGAGCGGAGGTGGGTAACAGAATACTTTGGATTTATAATTAGTGATTTTGTATAGATATGCTGTAATATCCCCTCACGGGAACTTCATGAAGTCTTAGATTTAGGATGTATCCTGTATAAAGAAAACCATAGGTTATATAAAAGCCATTAAAGGGAATTACATTATGAATATATTGAACAATACATATAAATTATATATATATATATATAGGTGACTCTGATAGAGGCACTGAAATTGACTATATCAAGTATATGCTTAAGGTAGAATACTTAAGCTGAACATATATACATAGCCCTAAAACTCCTTAGAGTTATAAGCTAGATGAGTATGTATAAAATACATATTAATCTTGTGAGGCTAATATTTTAGCGCCTCACGAGGGACTGTCAGTTGCTGGCGAGGACCAGTGGTCGAAATGGTGAATGCCAGAGACATCTTCTGTAGTGATGTCTCTTAGGTAGTGATTAGCAAATACCATGTTAGATTTCCAATAGCATCCTTCCATAATGCGTGTTCAAGGAACAGTTACCGTGTAGAGGCGAGGGTAGAGGCCCAGTGCCCTGATCTCATGTGGATTTGATGCTGTTGGTGGGTCCAAGCCTGCTGCCTTGTAGGCACGGAGAATGACAGTCCTTATCCAAATAGATATTGTGGTCCGTGACACTTCTGTTTGATTAAGTAGTGGCGATAATGGGATGAATAAGCGTTTGAGAAATCTTCTCCTTGTTTTGGATAAATCAGTAAATAAACTTTGAGGGCTCTTACGGACACAGTGATAGGTCTTGTGTATCTTGTGATCCGAGAATAGAGGATAGCGCCGGGATGTGGAATAATCTGTCTGGTTGACCTGGCAGTTGATTCTTTGCAATGAAATCCCATCTTAATCGAGGTGCGCTGTGTTATGATTGTCATCAAACTGTATCCTCTCGTAATCCAGAGCGTGAATTTCAGACATTCTTGCTGCTGTGGCTAGCGATAGCAGAAACAATGTTTTCTGTGAGAGAAATTCAAAGTTTGTCGATTCAAGGGTTCATAGACCTCACTCGTGAGGTGTTGTAACACTACATTCAGATCCCAAGCTGGAAGTGGAACTTCCGCTTTTGGTCCTCAATCGAAAAGCTTCGTAGTAAGGCCAGTAACTCTGGAGATCTTGTCAATTTGACACCCGTTCTCATGGTGATTACAGAGCTAAAGCGGCAAGATATGTTGATATCGTTGAACCTTTTAAATGTTTGTTTTGGCGTAGGTAACACAAATAGTCTGCCACTTGAGGTTGTGAAGCCTCTCTTGCTGTAAACCCTTTCTTTGTTGCATAATTTTGAAACTGTGCCACTTGTCGCGTGTACAAATTCACGAGTTGAGTAGCGTAAAAGGCAAAGCGTGACTGCTTTTGCCGCCCTGGCAGAATATCCTCTCTTGTTTAAACACATTTGTATACAGTCCATACGTGTAGTTGGAACATTGCTGGGTTTCCGTGCACTTGTTTGGTGTGAGGATGAATTAACAGGTTTCTTGGCTTGGGTAGCTCCAGTGTTGGTTGACCGATTTCTTGAATTAGTATGGGAAACCACGTTCTGGCTGGCCGGTAGTAGTAGCGACCAAAGTGAGTTGTAGGCTCTGTGTTTGTCTGATTTTCTGTAATACTTGAGGTATTATTGCTGGCGGCGAAACGCGTGTCGCGTTGAGGCCTTCCCATGATAGACTTAGAGCGTCCGTTGCCCAAGCTTGGGGTCTGGGACTGGTGACCACGAATGTCGGTAGCTGATTGTTGAATCGGCGTGGCGAATAGGTCTATTATGCGGCGCTCCTAATTGCTTGATTATCTGTGCAAAAATTTCCGGTTGATCATCCACTCTGTCGGTGATGGTAGATGAGGCCGAGAGAGGCGTCTGCTAGTATATTTCTGGCTCGGGAATGTGCACTGCTTTGACATGTAGATTTAGATCTTGTATTAAATCGAACAGTTGAAAGCTTAGGTTCAAAAGGTTCATCGATCTCGTTGAGCCTTGCTTGTTTATGTAGAACGCCACTGTCGAATTGTCTGTATGGATCATTAGGCGCATTTTGTAGAAATGTGCTCCAATGTAGAATAAGCGTTGATTACAGCTTTCATTTCTAGACTGTTTATATGGAGTTTGCATTCTTGCTGATTCCATAACCCTGATATCGTGTGGTTGGTGAGATGAGCTCCCCAACCTTGGAGTAATAGCGTCTACATACAGATGGGTTTTGTATTCCTGCTCTGCTAAACAAATCCCTTCGCAGACATTCGATTTCTTGGTCCACCATAGTAGATGTGGTCTGAGATGTTTTCGGTAGACTGAATGGTTGTACATCGTTGAGATGTCGTTGATGAGACCTGTAGGGGGCGTAACTGTAATCTGCCTGTGACAGTCATGTCTTGGGCTGATGTGAGAAGACCTAGTAGGCTCTGCCATTGTCGCGAGTGGTAGCGGAGAGTAGAGCTGGTGGAATGGTCTGTTGTATCTTGAGCCAACGGTCTTCTGGTACCATAATACGGTTCGCGATTTGTGATGAATCGAATACCTAGGAACTGTAGGTCTTGCGATGGTACTAGGTCCGACTTGCGTAAAGTTTACTAACCAACCTAGTTGTGTTAGTAGCTTTATGATGTAATTTAACTGTAGTTTGAGGCGCGGTGGATCTTGATCTACTTGTATCCGTCGTCGAGGTAAAGCGCACTCGTAGCCCTTGGCGATGTAGAAATTTGATAATCGGTTTAAGTTATCCTCGTGAATAGCCAGGGGCTGATGATATTCGAATGGGAATTACTTTCCACTGGTAATGTAGCCCTTCTAGAGTAAATCGTGGGTATTTCCTGGAATCGGGATGAATGGGGATGTGCAAGTAGGCATCCTGTAGATCTATGCTGCCCATGTAGTCCATAGGACCCGAATCATCTGGCGTAACTGAGGTAAATGTATCATCGCGAGAAACTTCGATGGTTTTCGCGTAGATAGTTCTTGTTGAAAAAGCTCATGTTGTAGATGAGTCTGTATTTCTCCGTGGAGTTTTTCTTGGGAACTAGGAAAACTGGGGAGTAGAAACCTGGTTCGGCGTTTGCTTGATCTATTACTTCTATGGCCTGTTTGGATAGGAGTGATGAGACAGCCTCTTTATCTTTGGTAGTTGTTAAAGCTTGTAAATCGAACTTGGGGGTTTGATTGTCAGCGGAGGCTTGTCCTGTAGGGATCACGAAATCCGTGTTGAATAATGTTGGAGGCGTAAGGATCTTGCAGTATTCCCCAGTTTTCCCAGTGTAGTTGGAGGCGTCCACCCACTTGAGCTGGTTGTACTGGAGCGGCTGGGGTGGAAGACTCCAGTCGTTCGAACCTGTGTTTCAGCGTCTATAATTGCGGGAACCTCTGGGTGTCCTGCCTCTTCCTGATCCTCCTCTATAGTTGCCATATGGGCTGACGAAAAAGAATCTTTACCTCTAGAGCTGGCTATCTTCCTGTCTCTTGCTCTTTGTAGGCCCGTGAACTTAGATCTGCCTGAGTATCTTTGTGAAGTCTGACGAATGGCGCTGGCTAGTGTGTCCATCGATCTAATCATAAGGACTTCCCTGGAATCCTTAGAGACTTCCTTAGCGACCTTGTCGATTTCTCCGTCAAAGATGGATGTTGTCGACCACGGGGCTGTATAAAGTGGGGCTGTAAAGTTCTCCCCAATTACAGGAGGCGAGGAGGCCTTGACTGACGAGCTAAGGTCAGTGCTGCTGAAACAGATGTAAGATGATCCGTTAAAAACTGCTGATCTTTCTTTTGCATAAGTAAGGCAGAATAAATCATTCTATCATCTTCCGTCATTGGAATCCGAATCTAGTAATAAGAGTCTCATTGATCGAGTCCTAGATCTATTTAACCCAAAGAACATCACGTCTCGTCATGGTTTCTATATGAGCCAACTTAGATCATCCATCTTGTAAATCTTGTTCTTTACATAAGCTGATGATCTTATAGTTCTCATCGATGTCCTGGAGCCTTGTAGAAGGAGTCCATGTTATCGTGGAGAACTTCTTGGCTTGAAAGTTGGGTAGATGTGGTATCTGAACTTTCTCGTAGCTTTCTGGAAAGCTGCATCTAGATTCTGTGGCACTGCATAATCCAGGTCGATCGGGGTAGAGTGATTGCATCTGGATCATCTTCCTTCATCAAATCGTCCTGAGCTGTATTGCCACTTTTAGATGGTGATGTGAGATCTAGGTTATTGACCATCCAATACCGTATCTCTGCATCAGAAAATATGATTCCTCCATCATCCTCAAAACCATCATCATTAATAAATTGTAGATGCTCTTCGGGACTGCGTGTAGCTATCTGAATATCTGATGAGGTTTGTGGCGATCTAGTTGACTTGTGCGCCGCTCTATGTGGAGATCTGATGGGTGATCGACCTGGTGAAGAGCGGAGTGGAGATGCGTCTATGGGATGATCTTCTGGAGACTTGTGAGGTGAATGTTGATAGCCGGCGGCTCTTGACGCAGTCCCTCGATGTTCTTCTAGACGATGAAGATCTGGAATCATATGTCTTTCGCGAATGCCTTCGCGAAGCTTCATTTGCGTCCGGTCCGGGGGATCGATGATATGACCTTCGCGAAGGCTTCCGTGATGTCTGATGGTCTGAGTCCATATCTAGAGATGAAATCGAAGATGGTGATGATCTCTCCCGCCATCGCGAAGGCCTTCGCGAAGGCTGTACATCTAGGTCCTTCGTCAAGGTGGTGCGGGACTTCCTTCGCGAAGGTGACATCGTCTTGGCTGCTACGTTGACGGGGGGTGCCTCTGGGGTGCTGTCTACGTTGGAGCCTTCGCGAAGGCTCGGACCCTGCTTGCGCAGTTTGTAGTGGTCCTCCATGATGTTCATAATCTGCCGCATCATGTCTTCTGGGATGATCTGTGACGAAGTCGCCGGCGTCTTTTCTGCGATGGGGTTCACATCAATGGCGTCTGGCGTCGGTGTAGAGGCATCAGGCTGCATGGAGATCTCTGCAGAAGTCACAGTCGCTGACACCGGTCGCTTCTTCTGCCGTAAGTCGGGATGATTATCGGCTGATCATCGTAGAGGCCCAACTCTGCTGCTGGAGCGATCTCGGCTGAAAGTTCTTGCTGTCTTCGTAGATTTCCCCTTTGGAAGTCTGCGCTGCCCTGGGTGTCCTCAATCTGCGTTGAGACGACGATGAGGCCCTCTTAGACTTAGTCTGCAATGGCGGGATGTCTGGGGAGGCCGGTCGCTTTCTTCGAGTAACGGACTGGCGTCCCATCGTTCCTCTGCCGCAGGGGTCTCTAGCAGAACACCAGGCGGAGAGGGTCGATCGCTAGCAGCTGACTGGAAGGAATATCTGGACTCTCTGCCATGTTTTGCCCTTGTTTCATGCGTGATCTATCTGCAGCGCGCCTTAAGACGCAAAGATGATATTTATTAAATGCAGAATGAGATAAATTAATGCAGTAACTGCAACGTGAATTAAACGCACACGGGCGTAGAACAACTAGGGCATATTACATGTGGATCGGAGGCAGAAAAGCGTAATCTACAAATCGCATAGATTTTCATGAACGTAAAGCTAGCTGAACAATCACTAATACACGTGAATAAACAGTAGAAATAATGATAATTAATCAATACAAATAGTAAAGGATACTAGCTATACCTCTATAGTAACCTATGAGAGGTAAAAACTAAGAGATTATCAAAGGATATGTGTGTAAGGAGACACAAGGCGCTCTCACATCCTGCTCACTGGGCGAAGAAGGAGAGAGTGAAGCACATGGCCAGAGGGTGGCGACACCTTTTCCCGCCAGGGGAGACAAAGGGGAGCAACTCGTGGTGAGTACCAATTAGTGATTTTATTTTGAAGGGAGCTTCAAATAAGGAGATACAAGTGTTCCACTATGTTCGCAAGAAGAAGAAGACAAGCAAAAGAGCATGAGTCAGGATAAGGAAAAATATTATCTATTATCAGTTTAATACTCAACACCGTGCCAGCCATTTTAACCATATTCAACATGGGTGTATTTCATAGAACTATTCCTACCCAGTATTTTGATTCTTGAGAGTATCTTTATTTTTCTTCCTTCCTCCGATGGCTACAACTGTTTTCTTCTTGCCATGAGACTTTATCTGGGAGCCCTTTGCACTTGACAGACTCATCTTCCATTCTGAAACTTTGCCCTTTGTTTTAGGTGCAGGTGACCTCCAGTCTTCATCACTGTCATGGTCAACAGTGTTGAATTTACCCCTAGAAATAGAAACAAAAGAAGCCAATATACTTACAATTGAGAGATATGTTTCTTCAGTGTAAGTAAACTTAGGCTCAGTATTATTTGTTACACTGCTATACTGAGTCTAACAAACCCTAGTAGAAGGTTGCGTCAGCTAAGCTTTGAGCGACCTATGACCGTCCAATCGAATGCAAGATGGACGAATGGATTTAATCAATCAGACAACGGCTACTATTTAGGGTTCAGCTGGACTTACAAAACGGTTTTTGGATTTCTCTTCCCTGGTCGCTGACACTGATCTCTCAACAAACGAAAATCTGCATAAAACACAGATATTTGACCTGCAGTATACACAATTAGGGGTTTCTGATGACATGGTTACTATTAGCTTATATTTCTGCAAGATGCCATCCTGGAATATTGACAAAAAATGCTATTTTCAGCAACTATTTACTCGCTGTTGTGAATAATGCGTCCTCCATATGTGTAACACTCGGAAGCGATTGTGTGGAAAATAGCATTTGGAATCATTCGGTTTTCAAGGTAAATGTTCAAACAGTATGTGCGAATGTTAACTTTTGTGATTTGGTAAACAGTGTTCTGGTTGGTCAATTCAAAAGGTTAGCTGATGTGACCTTCTACTGGGGTTTGTTGGACTCAGTATAGCAGTGTAACGAATAATACTGAGACTAAGTTTACTTAGACTGATGTTACTTGTGTGTTTAACAGATTTATTATAAATGAGAATATTTCAGCTAAGGCTTCTTTAAAAATCTTGGGTAAGTTGAAACAAGTGAAAGGCTTTATCCTTTTAGTGCAGAAACAAACCACAGCTTACTGGCCCCTACGAAGATCCAGATTAGAACTGATCTTCAGCAACCCATGCTTGTCGCAAGAGGCGACTAACAGGATCAGGTGGTCAGGCTTGCTGACTTGGTTGACACATGTAATTGTATCCCAGTCCCAAAATTGATTATTTCAGACCGCCGCCATATAGCTGGAATATTGCTAAGTGCGGCGTGAAAGTAAACTCACTCACTTACTCCTGGTCAGTGTACACTGGACAGGATGGGGTATTGTGAGTCCCATAAACTGATTCCTGTCAATATCAATATTATCACTGTCAATATTGATGCTGAGAGTATGTTATTTCCCAAATGTGTGCAGCGACCAAACATTTTAAACACATATAAATCGTCTCTCAGTAGCACTAACAATTTCCCTTAGGAGATAAACAGGCACCCTGAAAAACGAGCATGAATCTCATCATGTTTTTCAAAGTCTTGTTCTTTAATATGAACACATGAAAATTATAACATCCTTTCTATAATAAACTGAAGATGAATGTGGATGATCTGGTAACTAGATTCAGGACTTCATGAATTGAGGTTTTTGTCATAAAAATGAGAAAATACATAAATACTCACTCAAGTCTTAAATATTCCTCGTTTCCACATAGCGGCTTAAACAAGCTCTTCTGAAGGTCCTCAACATCTACAAAGAAGGTGGTATCTCAGTGCTGTGGTTGATCCACTTTAATTATAATGAATGGGATTGTCCATGATTGGCAAGTAGCCAGCAAGACAGACCGAGGACACCAACACAACCAGACCAAATGCTATTAGCATGAAGTGATTGAGTTTGGTTTCACGCCGCTTTGAGCAATATACCTGGAATACCACAGCGAGGGACACCAGAAATGGGCTTCACACATTGTACCCATGTGGGGAATCAAACCTGATTCTTTAGTGTGACGTGCGAACGCTTAAACCCTTAAGGCTACCCCACCGCCCCTGATTGACAAGACACCGACACAACCAGACCAGATGTTATTAGTTTTAAGAAGATGAAGAGGTTGGGTGATTGTTGAACGCCATATTATGTAATATTCCAGCTATATGGCGGCGGTCTGTAAATAATCGAGTCTGGATTAGACAATCCAGTGATAAACAGCATGACCATCGATGTACACAATTGGGATATGATGACATGTGTCAAGTAAGTCAGTGAGCCTTTCCAGCAGATCCAGTTAGTCGCCTCTTACGACAAGCATGGGTTACTGGAGACCAATTCTAACCGGGATCTTCACAACATTTTGTTAAAAGATTGCCAGGTTATTGCCCCACTTACCTGCATTAATAAAGTCACCCTTACCTGTATTACTAATGTTTTGTCCCCTCTTTTCCTTAAAGAAACTAAGAAAGTAAATGCCCAAAACAAGAACATTGCTTCCAAAATGTTACACAGACACTGTTCCTGGTTTTTGTATGCATTCAAACCAAGCAAGTGGCCAGGAAATGAAACATGTCTCCTATCTTTTTCATTATTTAAAAAACAAATATAAGAAGGACAGTTTCCAGTCTACCTACTGATTTTCAGTTCCACAGTCTGTGCCCAAATACTCGAGAGACTACAAGCTCCGGACATGACTCTTAGCACTGTTTTCAGTAGACTTTAGAGTTATTGTGTGGGTTAGTATTATCTGAGTTTACCAATTTGATTAGTATTTGGCTTGACTCGACTTTTGACTAGTCGTAAACTAGTTCCATGGCTCACCTTCTTCTGCAGAGTCCACATCAATTTTCCTCCATGCATACTTCGGCTTGGTTGTTTGGAGGCTGGTGATAGGCACTTCTTCATTTTCATCTGAGTCATACTCATCAAACTTTACCACAGCAAAGACTCCCTTTCTGTTCCTACGGTTAATCTCTTTGATGCATGCTCTGTACAGTTCCCCATCGCCAGAATATGGCGCCAGACATTTCTCACCTCGTGTCCAAACTGTCAAAATATAACGTTTAGGTGAGGTGAGGTGAAATTGGGTTTAACGTCGTGCTTGAGAATATTAGCCCAGACTTAAGCTGGTTTTATAGTGCTAGCCCACCATGCCGCAGTGAAGAATGAATACCCCACTCAGACACATTATACTGACTCCGAGCCGACCAGTCTTTGTTGTACCCATTAATGCCGAGTGCCCGGCAGGGACCAACAAGTACCATATTTTAACATCTTTTGGTATGACGCGGTCGGGGATCGAACCTGCGACCTTCCGCTCTCCGGGCGGACGCTCTAACCACTACACCACAGAGGCAGTCGAATCCAGTTATAGAAGAACTAGATTGTTACTTTACACATAGATAAAATCATTTGCCAAGAATATAGTATTAGAAACATGACTTTGAACCAACATATATAATCAGCAAGGATTAAAGTCATCATCATCATAAGATTGATTTACCTTTCTGCTTACATCCTCCGCCCCCTTCCTCATCACTGCTGTGGGGCATGATCTCTTGGCTCACTTTTTAACCCATTTTGCTGCTTCTGCAGTCATAAATAAAAAAATATTTATAGTTAAGTCATGTTTGGCTAAAATATCATGCAAATCTCACTCAGTTAATACATGAAACTTCTTGAGGAAAAATGTATGTCCTAACATACATAAGCAGTGGGTTCATTTCCCTTTTGAAGCTAAGCAGTACTGGCACCTAAAAGAGGGGAAAAGTCATTATTTTGTGCAAAATCAGGATTTCTTTTTTAAAGTTACATTGGAGTAAATTTAGAGGTGCTCTGTTTCATTAGAAGAGTTAAGGCAAAATACTGGCATCTGAGCAGTTCATGATCCCTCTCTGCATAGATATATTTAAAGAAAAGTATTAGTGATACCAATATTTTTGTGACAAACTATAGAATATTTTTTTAAAATTCTAGTCATATTTTGAAAGGTTTTAAAATTTGGGCACAAATGCAACAACACATTTCCAAGTTTTCGAAAAAACATTCAATTTTATGATAATATGCAAGTAATGGACTTTTCTTTCTATGACTTTTCTAAATGTGCCATCACAGAATGTATTTGACAACATGTAATTCCAGTGCGTTGGGAAAGACTAGCAAAATAACCTAAGGTGATTTGGGTTTGAAGCTTATTCGATTTTAGCCTTAAGAACCAGAAAATTTGTCTAGACCGACTTTATAGACAGTTATAAGAGCCAGCCGTTTGCCTCAGGTTAACTTTAGTTATTTGTATTAACTGAGCATGACATCGTACTTGTAAGGAGGCTTTGAAAACCTGGTGCTAGTGTGACCTGTCATATATCTTACATTTGCTATCTTTGCCTTAACGCCGCGATCGTATCAGATTTCCTTGAGTGTAATAGTCCATTTTCAAGACATTGCCGAAATTTACAATGGGAGCATGGATTATACATTGATATCTGTATTGATTATTAGTTGCCATTTGCCAAAAGACACCATCCAATTAACTATTAAACAGTTTAAAATATCGCTTATTACTAAAGCAAAGAGATCATTGCATAGAAATGACCAATATTTGTCAAGTATGTTTTTTATATGATTATAAAATATGAAAACAATTATTTCTCCTGATTTCTAATACGTAGAATACTATTGGTTTAAATTCTAGATGTGAACCAATCGTAATCTTCGTACTGACTATCCAAGGCATGTGGTCCAAAAATTTAGTTTCCGGTTGTTGATAATGATGGTGGACATTGCTGTTATTTTGTGAACATTTGATTGATCTAGGACACTTTTATTTAATGGTGAGTACAATCAAAATGTATGTAAAACGTAGTTCATTCATTCGTCTTGCAAATGATGTTTTTTCTGGTCAACTGGGAAGAACCATGTTTTGTTGAAACCCTTTCTTTTGTCACTCAGTACGTATTTCCTTCTCTTGTCATATGGGTTGTAATGTCGGTCAGACAGTAATTTGTCTTGAATGACAATGCATGTTACATGCTATGGCAATGAAGTTTAGTAAGGCTAGTGATGTACACTTTACAAACTTAGATACTCCAATTAAGATAATGAACAGTTAAGTGTTTTTATTCATTTTAGTCTTAATTCAATAAAATTTGTTAAGCAATTTGTTTGAAGAGGAGGTTGGCCTCTTTTACTTGAGGGTTTATCAGACTGTTAGGTCTTATTTTCAGTAAAATTTGATCATGTTTATGAGTAGTGAGACAACATCCCTGTTATGTTTTATCTCCAAGTCTTGTACACCCAAACTTATCTATCTTGTTGTACTTAAACATGAAATGACAAACCATACATATATTATCTATGTAGATCACCACCTTTAGAAAACAGTACCATACTTTCTTGGGAGGATGTTCTCTAGTGTATGTCATGTTTCAAAGACAACTTAGTGGATAGCTTCAAGACCACTCAAGTATCTGTGAACTAAAGTAATGAGTCAGAATGCCTATCTGTAACTTTTGTGAGCTAAGCTAAACTTAGTTCAAATTTACCTAGACTTGTTGAAGTTGTGATGAAATTATACAGAAATGAACATGACAGGATACTTACAGGAAAGTTACAGATAGGCATTCTGACTCATTACTTTAGTCCACAGATACTTGAGTGATCTTGAAGCTATTTGGGACACCTACCCTATTCCGTAATCCACAAGATACCAAGTGGTAGAGGAATGAGCTGATATGGTATGAATATCAAATGCTGAATTCAGAGTATGTATACATGACAAGGTAGTAATAATTCATTGTGTGATTTTGTCACAGAAACTTGTGGGAGGAAACACTGTAAGACAACATTGATCACAGTAAGAATCAAGGTAGGGTAAGCAATTGGGTGATTCAGTCTTCAAATCATTACTGAAGAACTGTAGCAAGTAAGAGTGGCTTTGGTGCAAATTCCATGACATTTTCCAGAATCCAAAGCATTTACCATCAAACTACTTCACCCTCGTTGATATTTTAGTAAGAAGAAGAAATGTAACTTGAAATGTGCAAGCAATGAAATAAATAAGAATTCACGGTTACTGATATAATAACAGTAACAGAGGGAGGTCAAACAAGCCCCTCCCCCTCCCCCACTCACAGACCACACACACACACCACCTCTACCACTATGCAACTCATAAAGCCTCTCATCCATCCTGTCATTACAAATCATATTGATTTATTGCAAAAAGATGTTTGTTACATAAAAAAAGAATTACCTAATAAATAAATGTCCGAATTCACATGAATTCAGTTGAAACAGAAAAAGTGTTCAATAGAAAATAGAAATGCTTTCATCCATGTTCATGAACAGCTACATACATGTACTTTAAAACTCAGTACCTCATGCTATGTTTAGCAACTCTCAACATCTTTTAGCTTATTGAGTCAGTTTGCTTGTGATTCAATGTGAAGATAAGATATCACTGAGCGTGCTGAGAGGAGCTTATTCAAACTCAATGACATCAGAGGGCATATTTTTTCTGAATCTTCTCTGTGTAGAGGGTGTAAGGTGAGATACTTGTCTCCCTGTCAATAAATAGATATAGATAGAAGGAATATATTTCTGGAACCAACATGTACAACTGATCACATTCAATTCTGTTTGTTAAACACAACAGTGATGTAATGCAAATATTTCTTGTTGACAACTGGGAGATGTTATGGATCTGGGGCCACAGAGATTGATATTTAGTTCTAGCACTGTGTTTTGTTTCCCTCATCAAGAGGGGCGGTGGGGTAGCCTAGTGGTTAAAGCGTTGGCTCGTCACGCCGAAGACCCGGTTCGATTCCCCACATGGGTACAATGTGTTAAGCCCATTTCTGGTGTCCCCAGCCGTGATATTGCTGGAATATTGCTAAAAGCGGCGTAAAACTAAACTCAGTCAGTCAGTCCCTCATCAAGCTCAAATGAAATGGATTTTTTTTCAGATAAAAACAATATTTCCTTAATGTATACGTAACAGTCATGCACTGAATACGAAGTTGCTAACATTGTTACATAAATGACATACCATTGCTAATCAGTTAACCTAGAGCACGTTTTTGAGATAAGCTTCGATATCGAAAACACACTATCATCTGTTTAGTATACCATATGTATCAAGCCTCCTTTGACCTGAACATTTAGTGATTTACTGATGGAAGTGTTGACTTTGTCATCAATAGGGCACTAACAATGTACTAACAATGCTTTGGTTATATAGATTGTAATCTTTGATCAGTATCTTGTATGATGCATTCATGTGCTCCATATGAGTTATTGAAGTCCCAGATTTGGCCTGTTTTAATGAGTATTTGAGATCTGTTCCACTGTTGCAAATTCTCAAAGATACAATGAGCTACTGAGTCAAGTTGCTTTATTTTCCATAAAGACATTTGAGTCATCACACTAAAACGATTTATCTTTTTTCAGATTTGGAATGGAATGAAAAAATCCGAAAATGGCTGACATAGCAGAGGTGCCGAAGTCAGATGCTCCTACCCGAAAGAGTAAGCGGAAGGCTGCAAGTAAGGCAATGGAAGAACTCATGCCAGCTGATGGCAACAAAGATGATGACAAAGAAACGGATAAGCCAGATTCTCCATCCCGATCAACCTCATCTCCAGACCCTAACTGTGCCATCTGTCTCAGCAAGCTGGAGAACAAGTCTTTCACTGACAGCTGCTTCCACATGTTCTGCTTCATGTGTCTCCTGGAATGGTCCAAGATCAAGGCAGAATGCCCATTGTGCAAACAGCCTTTCAAGAGTATAATTCACAATGTCCGCTCTTATGATGACTATGATCAGTACCACCTTGAAGTCGACGCAGTAGGGACCTTTGGTAGCCCCAGCGGACGCCGTTTTCGTTACCGGACAACGTTGACCCAAGATCATGTTTTCGGTTTCCGCCCAAGAAGAAATTCTCAACATCCTGACATTGGAAGCCGTTTGCCTACCACGATTACGACTCGTCAAAATTGGCGTCGGCAGAGAGAAGCTGCTACATCAGAATTCAGACGACGTGTTTACATCAACGGAATGCGAGTGGTAGGAATTAGAGATTCAAGTGGAAGATCTCGGAATATATCACCTGAATTCTTTGCCTCAAACCCAGCTACATCCCATCGCCTAGTGCCCTGGTTGAACAGGGAGTTGAATGCTTTGCTCTACAATCATGAGGAACATGTGCAATTTGTTCTAGAATTGATCATGGATTTGATTAAAAGGTTCCCTATTCAGAGTGAAGAATTCTTTCAGCATGTGTTTCCATTTATTAGCAGACACACGAGACACTTCATGCATGAATTTGAAAGCTTTGCAAAGTCCCCCTTCTGTATTTCTTCATATGATCAAAAGGCCATCTATGAGCAAAAACCAGAGTCAGTATCAGACTCAGATTCGGTTCATTCTGATGGAAATGACAGCGATGTGATGATAGTGTCCCCAACTTATTGTCCAACATCCCCGAGTTATGTCCCTAATCCAGCAAGACGAAGACGTGACCCTGGGGCTGTTAGACGCCACCATCCTCGGTCAGAGATAACTCCGTACTCTGTCAGTCTCAGGGATTTATTGGAGGAAGATGATGACCATGTTACATCCCACTCAGGCTGGGAGTCTCCTATTGCTGGTCCTTCTTGGCACTTGACTCCTGATACTAGCAATGCCCTAGCAGTTCCTGGAAGCTCCAGTTCACAGCCAGGACCAATCTATCAATTTCTTAATAACATAGCACGAAGGAAGCGGTCAAAAGTGAAGGTGGAAGGTGCCACTGGAATTAATGTAGATTCTGAGACGAATTTGGTTGAGTCGGATTCAGATTCTGGTAGTGAAGTGGTATGTACTGGCTATGACAAGCCCTGGCAGGAAAGGACTCCAGTTGTTGTTTCAACAGATACAGAAGAAGAACGTATGATAGAAAAGGCAGAGAAGCTTAAGAGAAAGAAAGACCAGTCCAGGAGACCAGAAGATTCCAAGAAAAGTAGGAGGAGGTCAAGAAGTCCATCTCATTCAAGATCACGAAGAAGGAGAAGGTCGAGGTCATCATCTTCTCGATCTAATCGCAGAAGAAGTAGATCCTGTTCCACGTCAAGACATCGACATCGTCAAAGATCGACATCTTCTCGATATCGCAGTAGGTCAAGGTCAGAGTCAAGACATCAACGATATAGGTCTCCTTCACCATCCACTAGGTCAAGATACAGAAGAAGGAATAGATCCAGATCTCTTGTTTATGAGGATGCATTTGGCTACTCAAGACGTACAACTCATTCTCCGGAAACAAACAGTGTGATACATTCAGACTCTCGAAGGAAGAAGAAAAAGGACCGTCACAGAAACTCAAGGTACAGTGACTCCTCATCTAGGTCAAGGTCAAAATCCTCTGAGATATATCACAGAAGTAGACATAATAAATCAAAAAGTTCCAGAAGACATAGACGGTCAAGAAGTTCTAGTGTTGAAGTCTTAACAAGCAGACATAGACACAAAAAACATCATAAGAAGCATAAAAGGAGCCGAGACAGTGATAAAGAGAAAGGTGCTTCTAATAATGTCCAGTACAAAATAGTGAAGGATAAAACTGATGGAAAATCTTCCAAAGACCCACTCTTGTCTATTACCATTAAAAGAGATAAGTCTGAAGATGCACCTGTTGTCTCAAGCACTGTTGATGCAGCTCCGGTTGTTTATCCTGAAATAGATATCCCTGATGATATAGTCATCAGAACAGAACCAGTTAGTCCTCAGCGTACAGCTGAAACATCAAATGAGACAGTGACACAGACAAGCGAGGAAAGCACAAGCTCCTCACAGCAGGTTCCCATTAGTACAAGCTCCACACCTCTGACACACAACCAGACAGGTTCATCCTCTCAGAAGAAACCAGCAACTCCTAAAGATGGCTCTGACAGAAAGAAGGAAGATTCTGACTCCTCTACTGAACGTGTGGAAGTCAAGAGAAAGTCATTCAAAAAACATCCATCTGGACACAAGAAAAGCAGGAGGCAGTTGCCACGTCTTCCTGATCCTTCCACAAGCACTGTTACCAGTAGCACAAGTGTTTCCCAAGTGTCTGACCGGAGGATCCCAGTACTGGATGCTATGGCTCACTTGTTCCAAGGATTAAGTAACCAGGGCATTTCTCAAACTCCACAGTCTGATTTGAGATCAGTTATCCCTGGGATGATGTCGAACTTCTTTGATACCAATTTGTTGTATGGATATCCTGCAACCGATTGGTCCAGCTTGTCAAACTTCCTACCAAGACCTCCTGCTCAAGTGACCTCATCTGACCACCCAGTGATGGTGAGTTCCAGTGATGATAGTGATGTTGTTTTAGAATCTGTAGATAACAGCGCCACACATGCTGTGTCATCTAGCAGCAATTCTCTCCGAGACCAGGGCCTCCAGGACTTGATGAGTGTCAACTTCATGGACAGGATTCCTGTTCTCTGTGATGAGATACATAGTCATAAGAGTATTGAAGTCCAAGAGGAAATCAACGTTGTGAATTCGGATAGTGATACCATCATTGAGGCTAGTTCTACTGGAAGACCAATAGCCTCTGATGCTGTAATGGAGGTCATTGACAGTGATGATGAACCTAAGGATCCCGCCACACCGGAGAGGACAGATACAACTTCCAAGAATGATGAGTCCAATGACACAGACAATGTTGGAAAAGACCTCCCTGGTAGGACTGGGGACACTTCACAGACAGAAATAATTTCAGCTGCTTTAACAGAAGCACTACCTGTTCAACAAGATTCAAATTCAAATCATACATGCTCTATGAATGCAAGCTCCTCAACAGTAAACACTTCTGATCTTGACACTGAGAAGAATGAGATGGTTGCTAGGGACTCCTGTGCATCAGAAGTCCCAGATGACTCTGCAATGAATAGTAGCAACATCAATGAAAGTATAAGCCAAAATGTGTCAACCTCTGGAGAAGAATCCATTGATGTTGGCATGGAGTTACCACCAGGATGTTCAGCTGACCTAGTTCCAGTTAATGATAGAAATGGAACTGCAACTGACCACAGATCAGAAGAATCAATGGACATTGATGTTGTTGGAGATTCTGACGCTGGAATGAGAACTGACATAGCATTTGGTAATTTCAGAGATGCTTCTTCAAATGGAAATGGTTCTCAACAGCCTAATGCTAGTGAACAGATAGACATGGTGTCTCAGTTAATGAATAGTGGACAACACAGTGCTGACAGTACTGGACATGTAGAAGACTGTATCAGTAGTTCTCCTCCTGAGCCTTACCCACTTAATGTGGGTGAAAGTGATAAAGTAAGCTCACATTTGCCTAACAATTCTCCCCAGCAAGACAATGAGCAGCTGTCATCTGATAGCAGGTCATCAGGTTCTGTGGAAGCTGAAGGCAACTTTGAAATCAGTTCTGCAGGTAACAGAACCAGTGCCAGACGTGACCGTTCTCTTGACGATGGTGAAGTTGTCTCATCTGAAAACGGTGACTCGCTGCCAGGTCCTGCTCCTCAGGTGATTGAAGGTGTGAGTGAAATTTCCTCGGACGAGGATGAGGTGCTTGTTCAGAGGTATCCTCAAGTCATTGCAGATGCTAGTGATATATCATCAGAGGAGAGTGATTTCGGGGAGGGCACTCAACCAACATCTAGTTCTGTGTCAGGATCGTCTAAACTAAATCCTCAAGTGATTGGGGACAATACAGATTCTTCGGATGAGGGTGAGATTTCTTCAGATGATGATGTCCAGCCTCAAGTGATAGAGGATGTCAGCAATGTGTCATCAGAGTCCGGTGACTGCAGTAGCAGACATGATTCAGAGAATGAAATAACCCAGTTTCAAACTGGCAGGTCAACCACTGTTCAAACTTCATCAACAGCAAGCATTTCAAGAGGGTTGAATGGGACCACAGCTGTGGATTCAAGACTTAAAAATAGTGATAATGATGACAGTAGTTCGGGAGAACTAAGTGATAATAGTGATGATGAACAGGTTTATGATGATATTTCATCATTAGAGAACTTTGACTCGCCAGCAAGTCCAGTCAGTCAGCCTTTGGTGACAAGAGACTTAGAGGACTCGCTGAGTGAAGGAGAAATAGTATCAGACTGAATGAATGTGCTGTCTGATCTTACGTCTTTCCCCACATGCACACATATTGTTATAGATCATTCATGGTTAGTTTGCATTTAAATAGCCAACAAGGATCTTTCATGTGAACCTGCAAACTTGTACATAAGATTATATTTAACGATATGGCGTCATAGATTAGGACTGTTTTAATTTCTTTATTTTGCATGTTTAGTAGCAAAGATTGTTTTGTGTAGTCAGGCTAAGAATGCAGAAATAGGTGTGGTTGTGAGTAAACTAATTTATGGTGTGGTTGATTCAGTTCTTGCAAGTGTTTACACACATGGGTGGGGGAAGACATACCACCAACGTCACTGATCCCTGGGCTATATTAAGCCAGATTCAAAACATATAGCAGCAAATCTCAAGGGCCTCCGCTTATTCTGAACACTGCCAGTCATTCTTGGTTTATGAATGAGTTTCTGTGACACAGTATGGTTTGCATGTCTGTCATGTATTCTTATAACAGACATACTGTTCAAGGCGTTAATCTCACTAACTTTACATAGCCACATTGGGTTAATGACACAATTTTACAATTCTAGATTTTGATGATTTACCATTTCTAAAAGCATTGGCGTCACAAGTCATTATTTTTCAAAAACGTTTATGTATTCTTATTATGTTCAGTGTGGCAGTGTAATATGTATAACCAAGACTAGTTGTATTGTGCTATGGTAATAAGGATTTAGGGGGCCACATAACTAATCAGGGGCGGTGGGGTAGCCTAGTGGTTAAAGCGTTCACTCGTCACGCCGAAGACCAGGGTTCGATTCCCCAGATGTGTACAATGTGTGAAGCCAAATGACCTGATTTTTACTTTCAAGAATAAAAAGAGACTTGGTGAAAAGTCACAAAAAATTCTGCAATCCTATCCTAAGGCCAGACCAATTTTATTTCTTATTTTGCAGATCCTCTGGTCATATTTTTTCAAAAATATGAAAAAAGGAAAACAATTCCCCACTCAAAAATTCAAATCCTAATGTTTGTATTGGTAAAAAATGTAAACATACAAGAAACTTTTTTCGATTGTTTTTTGCCCCATATACACTTCATAGATTGCCAAAAGTAAAATACTTTTAGTATTTTGAAGGAATATTACTTTGACTGGTGATTTCTTTAAAAAAAAATTCCTTCCTGCCATCAGGTTTTCTGAGGACAAAAATGTGTGAAACAAGAAATAAAACTGGTCTGGCCTAAAGAACATTTTTCAACCAATCAGATTAGCAGTCATAGCAGTCAGTTCCCAGTCTTCAGTCTATGTCCAGATATTGCATCTAGTCCTGAGTGGAGACATTGTCTCTATGCAAAAATAGTAGAACTGATATGTAAAAGGTAGATGTTTTTCTAGGTAACTTTGAAGATATTGTTGATGAAAACAACCAGGTTATGTTTTTCATAGAAAATGCCAAATGGAATATGCTGTTCCACTTTTGATACAATATTATTATCTCACTGTGATGCACAAAACTGATTCTAATTGTGTCGAGTTTATGTTGAAATAATGTATCTGATAGTCCCTATCAAAGGTTGTAGTGTATTTTGATGTATCGGTTAACAGTGTAACAGTGTGTTTGTTGCTTGATGCAGCTCTGAGCACTGTTCCAGACATGTGAAGTAGTCATTTTCCTTTATGGCTCTGGTAGGGTAGTCTAGTGGTTAAAGCATCTGCTCGTCACACCAAACACAAGGGTTCGATTACCAACATGGGTACAATGTGTGTCCCCGCAATGATAATGCTGGAATATTGCTAAAAGTGGTGTAAAGCCATTCTCACTCACTTAAGACTCAGGTGTCACATTCAAGGTCATGTTGTACAATGGTATTTCATTTGACTCTTGAATTGAAGGTTTATATATTATAAGCTGTGTTTTGAAATAATCAGTATCAACTAGATTGATATACAACATAAAATGTAACTTACTTGAGAGGCATTTAGAAGTTGGAGCACAAAGGAAGGATAACAATATATATAAGGCCAGACCAATTTTATTTCTTGTTTTATGGATCCGACAGTCGTATTTTTTCAAGAATAAGATAAAAAAAATTAAAATTAATTTTCCCCGCTCAAAAAATACAATCCTAATGTTTGTATTGGCCAAAAATGTAAACTTACAAGAAAAAAGTTTTTAGATTGTTTTTTGCCCCATATACACTTCATAAATTGCCAAAAGTAAAATACTTTTAGTATTTCGAAGGAATTATTACTTTGTCTGGTGATATTCGTTTTTCTTTTTTCCCATCTGCCTTTAGTTTTTTTTTTAGGACAAAAATCGTAAAGCAAGAAATAAAATAAAGAATATATAAATAAATGAAAAAAGTTATTCATCCTTATATTCTTATCCTTCCTTAACATAAATGTGTTGCAGACAAAGTAGTGTTTGACCACCTTGAATCATATTAAATACAATAAGACTGTCAATTTTCTAAGTATTGTAGTGGTGCAGAGGTATGCTGTTTACTAGCTCCTCTTTCGTGTTTTTAGCACATTTTCGCATCTGTTATCATTTACATATACGCAATATTTGTCATTTTGAAAATCTGGTGCACAGTGTAAATGATTCTTTGCCACCTCCCACTGAGGGGTTGATATGAGTAGTCCAACATAAAGTTTCGTTATAAAGATAACTGCATGGTTCCGCTGTAGTTGTAGTACATATGTCTGCTTTCTTTAGAGCTTAGTTTTGTTCCGTCTATTCAGCAGCATACAACCAAACTGGTACATTTGTAACACATCCACCACTTCCACACAATGATAAAAAAGAATTCTCTTCGAAACTGAGATAAGTCCAGTTCATTCACAATTAGAGTCAGACCCATGATTCTGTCATCCACATCCCCCACTGTTTTGAAGGGCATGCGAGTTACAGGTTTTTTTGTAATTTGCTGTGCAGAGTTGCTTCCCTTTTCTGCCATGACCTTAGGGCTGGAATAGGTTTGTGGCCAAGATTTTCCCTTACTATGATCCTTGATCTGCCAGTAATATACGTATGTTTCACTATGTGGTAAATGTCTCAGTCTGTCTTTTGCTTTCCACATTAACATGTCATGACATACCATATTCGTGTAATAATCACCCTGAAACTCTGAACATTCAAAACAGTAGTCATTAAAACAATACATACATTATAAACATTTCTCTTTGAAGTTTCAGACAGTGACATGCATGTATATTATTTTGCTTTCAGGGCATTTAGTAGTATCACAAACACGTGTTGATATTATGTTTTATGTTATTTTGAGCCTCGGGTAGTGTTGCACTTCAGTTGATACCATGGTTACCAGAATGTGTTTGTGTTTGGGCTTGTACAGCTGTTATGTAGAGTGTAATATTTGTACATATGTGTATATTCAGAATTCTTGTTGTAATGTTAATCAGGGATGATCCTCTTAACCATGTTAATCAACAATACCAAAAATGTCAAATAAATACCAGTGATATGAATGCAAGGAATGACGTTGTTGTTTGCAAAGCCACATGACTTCAGACGAAACCCATGCATATCTGGTTAGAATTGGGTTTCAGCAACCCATGCTTGCCGTAAGAGGTGACAAATGGGATTGAATGGCCAGGGTTTCTCACTTGGTTGACATATGTTGTATAGATTGCCAATTCCAGACTCAATTATTTACAGACCATCGTCATATAGCTGGAATATTGCTGAGAGCATTGTTAAACAACGACAATACTTCAGGTTATTGCACGACATCTCAAGGCCATATTGTTTACTTTAGACAAATGCAGCATGGGACACTTGACAATGTGGCTCCGTTCAGGAGAATGCACCCATGAAGATCCGGGTTAGAATTGGTCTTCAGTAACCCATGCTTGTTTTAAGGGCGACTAATGGGACTGGGTGGTCAGGCTCACTGACTTCGTTGACGCGTCATCGTATCCCAGCTATGTAGATTGATGCTCATGCTGTTGATCACTGGATTGTCTGGTCCAGACTCGATTATTTTCAATCGGTCTATTTACAGATCGTCGCCATATAGCTGGAATATTGCTGAGTTCAGTGTTAAACAACAAACAAACCAAACCTTGCACAAAGAAAACAACAATCACCATAGCACTTGCAGATTTAATTGATGAAATACATGACAAATTGTGCAACCATGAGGAATGTAGACACATAGCATACTGTAGCTGACAGCAGGATAGCTTCCTTCAAGCTGCACATCATTTCTTAGAACTTATCACTTAAGTTGCTGACATCCTCTTACAATAATTCCATCATACATGGCACCGGTAACAGTGCTATATCTCAAACTTCATTCTTTCACATTTTCCCTCAGTTTTGTCTAATTCTTGTTTGTGTATTTGCTTCACTCAAGTGTCTTGACAATGTGTATTTTGTATCAACTGGTTTGCAGATTTACAGAGTAAAAATCAGGAATGTGTGAAAAAAATAATCTTTCTGAAAATATTTTTTTCAAACAAGCATGTTAATCATACTTGAGTCAAAAAAACACTGTTTCTTTTCCTGCATTTCTTAGAATAGTGGTTATTGTCCATAATTTGTCAATAATGGTGTCAGTGAAACTATCAAAGCTATTTTAGCACTGCCCTCAAATAAGCCATCATTACGATGACAATATGTATCATGCTACAATTTCATTCATACATCAAATATGAATAGAATTCAGCAACATCATTTGCAGGTTGTTACTTTCATAGACCAACTGACGCTAATGGACTTTTCAATCAGTAATCAGATACATATCTTATGTTTATTGCAATCTGATTGAAAATTATTGACTGAATTGAACACTTCAATGTTACGTAGCTTCTGACTGCCATTTTAGTGGCATACATTACATACTGCACATTGAGTTCTGTTACATTATTGAACTACAAATGATAAAATTCTAACAATTCAGCACAATCTTTAAATAAAGTTATGATCAATACTTTGCTGTCAATTTCTGATTATATATGATAAAATCAAAGATTTGTCCTTGGTAATACTTAAACTTTACTAAATGTAAATAAGCCATGTAAATGCAACAAACAAACAGCATTTCATCTATTTCACACAAATAAATACAATGGATGATGGACTGTGTCTATCTGTCTTTTGACAACAATTATGTACATGCACATCGACCTGCCGTCAACAGAACAGCTTCACCAACTAACAAAGACTGCATTAATGAGATATATCATTTCATAACACACATAATATATGTGACAGGTGTCACGGAACTTCCCTTATCAGAATATTGTCTCCATAATCCTAAAGTACATTATATTACTTTTCTATATGACTTGGCTATAGATCTGCCTTGAATGTGTTGTTATTTGTTCGATCACTATTCCTTCAGTTGAAAAGGAACAACTATACTGAACGTCAAGAAAGCACATCATGTTTTCAAGCATCAGACCAGGGTATGAAACTCCCGAAACTTTCAGCCAGTCCACAGGGCTGGTTAGATGTAAAACTTGCCAGCCCTGACCAAAACTTACCTGCCCACAAATTATCTTCATATATACATGTCGAAATTTTAACCCGACTGTCGGGCAGGTGAATTTGAGAATCTGGCAGTCCGTGTTGAAAATAACCCCGTGCCAAGCAATCGGGCAGGCAGGTATTTCGAACACTGATCAGATATAACCTGTTCTTGTGCTCAAGTCCATGTCCAAACACACATTTGAGCCTGATGATTCATTTTTGGTTGGATTATTTCTTGTCCAAATCCAAAGAACAACTTAGTTTGATTTTTGTGGCCATTTTGCCAGATTTTACCCCAAACATGATTATGCGTTTGCAAAGTGTTTCAATACGAGTTGTTTAAAACACACACCGCTTTCTCAATAAACAATCTAGGAATTTGCATTATCTTATATAAAACAAACATATAAATAGATTCTGACACATAAAGTACATATCATTCTCTTTCAGGATACTTAAAATCAGTTGTACCATAATGGCCTCCATTTTGTTCTGAGTACCCGTGTGGCATACAAGGACTGAACATATGGTGTTCAGCGATGAGCTTATAGGACTTTACATTGACACTGTTGACAATTCCAAGGATGCCCAGACAATTGGAAGTAGCTTCTCACTGGGTACGTAGCTGGTAGTCTCCGTTCTGGGTGATGTAACGCACCCAAGGTAGTGCCTGATACCCGCTCTTCTCAATGATCTTCAGGTAACGAACCTGCAACAGATACACAATTCTGCTGAACACATAAACAAAGTACACCATTCCAAAAGTGTTAGAGGTCAGGGTTCAAGGGCATTTTTGAGTTTCATTTTCAAATCCAGATAGAACATGATGGGATTACACTAATATTTGTTTTCATAGATGTGAAGTCAAATTTGTGTGTTGGAACATGCGTGCACCTGTCTGTCTGTGTCTAATTCTCATTTCTCTTCAATTATTATGTTTAGTGAAAAATGTAAGAGAAAGTTAGGTTCCTTTCTATTTAGTCTGCAATCTTGATTTGGTAAAAGAACCATAACAAATTGGGAAATAGTCAGTTGCAAACCTTTTCCCAATTCACTATGGTGGCATTCCAAAAGACACAGTATTTTTATTGAGACTTAATGCCATCACTGTAACGTACCTGAATTCCTGATACAGTGAAGTAAGGAATCTCAAACTTGACGTTGATTGGAGGTCGACCTTCAAGGTCTTCACTCATCACACTGGGTAGACCAAAGTGGGCTCTCATCAGATACTCCTTACCACCCTGGAGAACAAAGGTTATTGCTGCTGTGTTTTAACTGTATCATGTGTATGGAACTATATCAATTTAATGAAAAACTGTTAGAGCAATATTTCAAACATGACAAACGATAACTAAACGATCTTGACACAAATGGCTGACGATATATTCGCACAAAACGGGCGTGGTCGAAGCAAGCCCTCTGGTTGGTCAACGCTGCTAAATCTGCACATTCTTTATACATTCTTGGGAATTTTTACTTTCATCGACTGCTTGACTTGGAAGAAATGTAAGATTTTTTTTCCAGCAATGGCTACTCAAAAGAAAGCATCATTTGTAAATGTCTCCTTAACAAACATCAACCAACCAGAGGGCTTGCTTCGACCACACCCCCGTTTTGTGCGATATATCGTCAGCCATTTGTGTCAAGATCTTACAATAAAGAACTGGTATGTGTCATGAGTGGTGTTCGATAGGCCAATCATCCACGATTATGTTTACATGAAGTTTTAATCGATTGCATGCGATGGTAGCATAGCGATCGGCAAAGCAGGCGGGTGGGATACACCGAAGTGTCCGGCCATGTCATAATGTATTGTACTGTGAAACATTTCGAGTCGGGGGTCATCTCAAAAACAATATTTTTTTAATCATTAATCCTCGCAAAGACACGAGGGCCTGTGAACCTGACCAGGTCATTTCTTTGCTTTCTGATTGTTGTGCACAGTCAGCAATATTCCAACTATATGATGGCGGTCTGTAAATAATCGTGTATAGACCAGCCAATCCAGTGATTGACATCCTGAGCATCGATCTGCGCACACGATGACACGTGTCAACCAAGTCAGCGAGTCTGACCACCCGACTCCCTTAGTCACCTCTTACGACAAACATGGGTTGCTGAAGACCAATTCTAACCCGGATCTTCACGGGTCACAGTCAGCATGTGAAGACTGAAACATTTAGTACACATTTACATTGTCTGTCCAAATCAAGGTGATCTTTTGTACACCTGTTGTTTACTCACCGGGAACGACTTGATGCTCCAGACTACACTGCTTATTTCTGGAGAGTATTTACAACTTCCGACAGATGTCTTAAACTTGGGGGAATCTGCATCAGTTGGCACCGGAATTATGATCTCAACATTATTGGCTGTGGACCTCCTCTTGAACTGACTCTTGGCCTGGAAGGATCATAATATATAGATCATGGTAGACTAGCACAAAATACTACAACAAACTCCCACAGCCTAACATAGGCCTACAACAGTCATAGAGTTAAGAAATACAGTTCGCTCTACCACCATGTATAGTGTAATAAAGCACACTTTCGCCCTGAACTATTATAGTTAAAGTACGAGGACGCTTTTGCATCTGAGTGCTTTAACGTTATAATAGTGTGCTTTATTACACTATACATGGTGGTAGAGCGTAACTGCAGTTCTTTCTAAGATGCCAAGTTTAATACATTCTAAGGATAATTACGATTAATTTAAGGCAGAAAACAAACGACGGTGTCGGGTGACCTAAATTAAGAATCCTTGCACAGGGCTAACTGGCGCGCTGTTCTATTGATGTGTCTGCCCCTACGTTAAGATCGAACGTTACCAGAAAAACAAATGATAACATTTTGATGACGGTTTACGTTCGGATTAAATATCTTCTCTGAATTATTTTAATTACGTCTGTGATTTACGTAAATCATATGGGGCAATATGAACGTCGCATTTCTACTACCAACGTACGTTTAGATCAGTACATCCAGATGAAGCTGAGTAGTCAAGCAACATTCCACGATTGGATTGTGGGAATGTAAACATTGTGAACGTTACCGTATCGCTGAAAACGTGAGTTGAATTGAGACATTTTAACCATTGGAAAACATAAACGTAATGTTTCCACCAGTGATGTTAGCTGGGTGAAGCAACAGCAAACAAAGAAATGGGATGCAAGTAGTATACTGTAGGAGGCTGTACGAGACGATGACAACTGACATGCATCGTGACGTCGCTTTCATTGTGACGTAATGCAAAATTGTTCGATTACGAGGGGGCAGACTAGAATGGCGCAGTGACGCCAATACATTGTGATGTAGTGCAAAAAGTGCACATTATGGTCTGATAAAGTACTGTCGGTGCCTTTGATCTTTCACTGAAGCATCTTAGAATTTAGATTGTGTAGTGCAAGTAAATCCATAGTGTTGGTTATGGCTCATAATATGCAAATCGATAAACAGAGTTCAGTAATGAATCAATAATCAGCTGTAATCAAAAACCCTATCACAAAACTCTCATGTCACAATCTAAGACTGTACAAACAAAACAAATAATAAATAAATATTGATAAATACCATTATCAAGATGACCATGGGTACTTCCTGTTGAGACACACACTAGTATGTTGTTAACTGCTAGTCAGTGAGTGAGTGAGTTTAGTTTTACGCCGCACTCAGCAATATTCCAGGTGTATGGCGGCGGTCTGTAAATAATCGAGTCTGGACCAGGCAATCCCATGACTGATATCATGAGCATCGATCTACGCAATTGGGAACCGATGACATGTGTCAACCAGGTCAGCGCCGTTTTTAGCAATCTGACCACCCGAATCGAACCGGACTTCGGCGTGGCTAACGCTTTAACCACTAGGCTACCCCACCGCCGGTCGCCTCTTACGACAAGCATGGGTTACTGAAGATCACTATTCTAACCCGGACCCTCACGGGTCTGCTAGTCAGATTACATTGGCAGGCAAGTTACAAACGAGACCGTTAATCCTGTTTAACACCACTGTACCTGTATTTCAGTCATATCTCAGAGTGCCAGCTGGCTTCAGGACTCCAAAGAGGGAGTAAACTAATCTGAATCACCTAGTGGCATATTTATTGAATAGAAAAGTCCTCTGTGACAACATGACAATACAGGTGCATGTTTACCTTGATCATGTATTCCACCCTGCTGTGGGCATGTCTCTCAATCACGGACTCCACCCAGATCAGCGGCTTCACCTGCAACAACACAATACATTAACAACAGCAGAGAACTGGTTAAAGAGACTGACTGAGTTTGGTTTTACGCCGCTTTTAGCAATATTCCAGCAACATCACGGGCGGGGGACACCAGAAATGGGCTTCAAGCATTGTGCCCATGTGGGGATTCGAACCGGGTCTTCGGCGTGACGAGCCAACGCTTTAACCATTAGGCTACCCCATCGCCCCTGGTTAAAGAGAGATAATACTTGTACCAATTGCCATAAGCAAGAATTGGAGTTAGTAGATCTTCTGAGACCTAGAGATGCAACACTGAAGGAAAATTTGGGAATATTTTGAGGCCCTCTCCATGCGAAAAAAATCAGCTTATGATGCTCATTTGAAAATATTACTGTTTAAACTGCAATTTCTGATGATATGAATGACTGTCTCAGCTTAACAGATGCAAAATTAGAAACAGAAATCATTGTGAATAACCGAGGTGTTCACAGAGAATGTTGTAAGGCAAAATAATGACGCTCTCTATAACAGTGTATACTCTTACGACAAGCATAGGTTGCTGAAGACCAATTCTAACCTCAATCTTCACGGGTTCATAACAAATATGAAAGTCAGTTGGCAACTATTCAATTATTATGTTAAATAAACAAATAAATATTGAGCTGAACAACAGTGTAACACATTAACCAAAAAGTTATTGCAGATGACCCAAGCTTTAGTCTTTGCAATAATCTGTACTTTTGGAGCTTTAGTCTTTGCAAAAATCTGTAATTTTAGTGTAAACCCAAATCCACAAGTGTGACTCAAGGGACATAACTCTGCAAACAACTTCAGACACACATGCCATGTTTGCACTCATTTGAGAGAGTATGGTTTTACATCGCTTTTAGCAATATTCCAGCAATATCACGGCGGGGGATACCAGAAATGGGCTTCACATGTTGTAGGACTCATTTGAAGTTGGGGTCAACAGACATTATGCTTGAATAAACTACCAACCACTCACAACATGCAGATAGGAGTTGTATACACAGCAGACATTAGTTGGGCATCAGACAATACATACTGAGCACTTGATGTAACATGTAAATAACATCTCTACAAAGACTAAAGATGCAGGTCAGTTAGACTTACATGGGTGTTGAGCCTGTAGGACATGAGCTCGAACTCTCCATCTGGCGGGATGAAGGAGATGGTTCTATCATTTTCAAATCTAGACAGTCTCACACACTGATGGAACTTGACGTCCTCTAGTTCCACCGACTTGCTCTTCCCTCCTGCAAGAGATGACATCAAGTTCTCACATCTAGATCATAGTACATCTATCTTTACAAAAACATTCTCAACATCTTGCTGTATCATTTATAATGACAGCAATTAGTACTTCAGAGAAAATAATTCCATTGCATTGAATACTTATTATAGCGTGACTTTGTAAAATACTTTATCCTGATTAATGATCTGTTGGGATTTACAATAACCACCTTGGATTGAATGTGCTGATTTTAATTTTGCATAACAGTGGAATCTTGTATTACAAAAAAAGAATATCCATAAATCATCTACAAATTCTTACATCTACAGTTAACACAATATGTTTCTCTCAATAAAAACAATGACAATGAAAACATCTTTTTTTGACAATTGACAATATGCTTAATGCTCTAAAAGTAACATGACTCTATGCTGAAAACAGAATGCTCATCTCCTGCATACATAATTGTCTCCAGTACACTATCATTCCTTGTATATTCAAACAGCTGTGAGAAAGACTGGCACTGAAAAGCAAACAATGCAACAGATTCATACACAATCCAGGAGAATCCAGGTCAAAAGATGCCAGTTCATCTTTCAACCAATCAGACTGCAGCTTACATTCATATTTGTTTGTCTGTTGCTTGAGTGAGTGAGTGAGTGAGTGAGTGAGTGAGTTTAGTTTTACGCCACTTTAAGCAATATTCCAGCAATATCATGGTAGGGGACACCAGAACTGGGCTTCACACATTGTACCCTTGTGGGGAATAGAACCCGGGTCTTCGTCGTCATGACGAGCAAATGTTTTAACCACCAGGCAACCCCACCACCCCCTGTTGCTTGAAACTGCATCAGCAGTTTTTCAGGCATTTCATGGCAACCTGTAAAAGATTGATTCTGGACCAACAATCTTGTCATGATATACATGCACGGTGCTGAATACGACGACATGCAATCAGATAACACACCAAGTCTTGCAACCTGATCCATTTGGTCGCAGTAAGTTGCTAGGGACCAATTCTACCCTGGAATTCCTATGGGTAAATGTTAAAAAAGAAAAGTGAGTGAGTGAGTATGGTTTAAAGCCGCTTTTAGCAATATTCCAGCAATATCATGGCGGGGGACACAGTAAAATGGGCTTCACACATTGTACCCATGTGGGGAATTGAACCCTGGTCTTCGGTGTGACGAGTGAACACTTTAACCACTAGGCTACTCCACAGCCCCTAAGAAAGAAAAGATGAGTGGCAGTATGTGACCAAGACCAGGGATAGAAATGCAATTTTGTCTAAGGATGACATAGGGCACCCAACAGTAAATATTTGAAACAAAATTATGCTACCAACTGCTGAAAAAAGAGAAACTTCATCATCATGATAAACAATAATTATTATCAAATCTATAAAAACACAAATTTAAATCAGCATTACTCACTGCCTGTACTTTCAAACAAAACTTTATCGTTGAGGCCGAGTCGTAGTTCAGGCATTCCAGACAGAAACACCCTCATTTTGATTGCTCCCACTATCTCACTCCGTAACACGTTGCCGTTGGCACTCACCTGTGTAGAGAGAGAAATCTGTCTTAGCACATCTTACACATCACTCTAACTGCAGACAGGAAGGTGTTTTAACTTTATTTCATACTACTTATCACCAGATAGGGATGATATATAACACTGTTACAGAACTTGAGGACAGCAACTGGAGTACATTATCTGTGTATTCTACAAATGAATCTGAATAAGGTCCAGCTGCATGGCAATGTGGGATGCTATTTGTATGACATCTCCAAGCATCCAATCACATACTTCAGGACAACACTCCATATGCTTTGACTATGACATGTTGAGAGCGAGTGAGTGCGTTTTAGTTCTACACTGCTTTTAGCAATATTTCACCAGTATCACTGCAGGGGACACCAGAAATGGGCTTCACACATTGTACCCATGTGGGGAATCTTTGGCATGACGAACAAATGCTTAAACCACTAGGCTACCCCACCACCCCTAGTAGGATAGAATAGAATATGTTGAGAACGATATTGTTAAGCCAAGTAAACTCCAGATTATTGCACAGGATACCTACAAGAAGATTAACAGATTCTATGACATCAAGAAAGACTTCATTCTTCCTGTATTTGACTCCTTCCGACCGCCACGACACAGCATTAGTGACCGCCATGGGTGGACGAGGAGCGATCTCTAACTTGTGACTATCTTGGGTGATGTATCTGTAACACACACGTGAAATACACATCTATGATACTGACATCTATTATTACTCACTGGCATATACATGATACATAAATATGACAAATTGTCAACTCTTAAAGGCATTATCCATCCAGGCACTCTCAGGGGCCGATCTTTAGCACATGCAACACATTTTAACAATTTGGATTAATTGCAATTGTTTAATTCAGATTATCATTCATACTGGTAGTATTTACACATAGTCCTGCAGAGATGACTTGCAGCTCACTGACCAATAAATGAAAAGGATTCAGCACAAAGCATGGCAAAAACATGTCAAAGTAAACAATTATTTGAGACACTAAGGACTTATCTATAGACTACTTGTTCATTAACAACACCATTTTCAAAATTTGCTTCCCAATGGCATTTCCATCAGTTTAAGTAAACTTAGGCTCAGTATTATTCGTTACACTGCTGACGCAACCTTCCACTAGGTTTTGTTAGACTCAGTATAGCAGTGTAACGAATAATACTGAGCCTAAGTTTACTTAAACTGGCATTTCCATTCAAAACCGAGAAACATCCCCACATAAACTACTCTAAACTTTAGATAAAATCATCAGCTTATTTGTTCTTGAACTTTTCCCATCTATATGCATATGCACTTAATGTGACCCTCAGATTGTTGACAATTCTGTAACAGTTACATACTGGCCTATCAGGATCAGTTGTCAGGATCGCCGACTTGGTTGACACAGTCATGTCATCATATCCCAGTTGCTTCGATCAATGCTTATGCTGTTGATCACTGGATTGTCTGGTCCAGACTGGATTATTTACAAACACCATATCAGGAATGAATAATGCTGAGTTAATTTTTGTTACACAAGAAAGCAGCCAACTTCTGACTTTTAGCAATATGCCAGCAATATCACGGCGGGGGACACCAGAAATTGGGTGTCACACATTGTACCCATGTGGGGAATCGAACCCAGGTCTTCAATGTGACGAGCGATTGCTCTAAATACTAGACTACCCCACTGATCCGAGATAAATGGACCAAGAATATTCATGATGCGCTCATGTGGAACAGAACAGGGGGGTCTGTGAAATACTGATCTCCGATGTTACAATGGCCTTGACTCAAAGTGATAGGTGGTATAGTTCTCTTTAAAATATCTTGTGGGACCTTGAACTTTTATAGGGAGGACCATGAGCATTTTCCACCACATCCATAGCTAGGCACAAGTGGTGAGTGAGTTTGGCCCTGAAAGAGTATATGCATGAGGGTCATATTGTTAAGATGTACAACTGTGTTTTTAATGTAATATTTGTGAAGCTAATATGAAAATATACTTGGTTTTAGCTAAGATATGGATACAAAGGGCCCTGAAAATGCATAATGGTTTGAGATGTTTGTGTTTAGATTAGGTAACGTGAGAGAAGGGAGGATGTGACATGGCCAACCAACGATGCATGATAGCTGAGGTAAACAACAGCCACATTGCAGGTAAACGACGCAGACTGGAGGACTATGACTGCCAGGTGAACGATTCCTGTGACAACAACAGCAACGGAATGATTTCAGGTACTATTTAATTTAGCAAGACTAGATTTACTGTTGCCATGGTTACGGGCTATATCTTCCCAAAGGAGTACCAGTAAATGTTTTAAGCTGTAAAATTAGGGGATGGACCAGAAACAGGATGTTATAGTTAGAACGTGACTCCAAGGTTGAAAATGTGAAACCTCTAGCTCAGGAAAAGTCCTCAAGAGTCATTTTGCAGCTGTCTAAATGAGAGAAATACCAGGAAGAATAGCTAATATCTGGACACCTTATAGTGAAACACTACAGGGGTTGCGCTACAAAATGAATTTTACAACAGGCGGTCTGTAAATAATCGAGTCTGGACCAGACAATCAGTGATCAACAGCATGAACATTGATCTACACAATTGGGATACAATGACATTTGTCAACGCAGTCAGCGAGCCTGACCACCAGATCCCTAGACTAATGCTTAGTCTCTGAATATAAATAATTTTGATAATAACAAACAAGCCCATTTAAATTGAAAAGGAGCCCCAGGGAGACCAGAGATTCAGACACTAAGAACATCTGCACTGGGGCTACACGTGCTGGGGTCATTACCAATTAGAAGTCACATCATACAACCATCAGATAATGGTATAAGTGACAGGCATATTTATTGGCCCTAGTGTTAAGCCCTGTCCATCTCTATGCTGTCATCACCTCATGTGGGCCAGTCAAGCCTAACATTTTACTGTTAGGAAACTTGCAGCCCACAATGTCACTTGGAGACTAGATGACCAAGGTGTAAGAAGATCTATCTGGAACACCAACAAAATTATTTATGAATTTGAACTTATCTCCAAATTCAAAAGTTTCCATTTGTATAATATGCGAACAGGATATAGATAACCCCCTGTTTTGAAACAAACTGTTCAATGGAAGTGAAAAGACCAGCGTCTGTCTTATCCTTGAAGATGTTCTGGGTATTTCTAGATACTACATCATGCTCACTAGATCCTGTTAATCGCCTCTTACGACAAGCATGGGTTACTGAAGATCAGTATTCAAACCTGGATGTTCACAGGTGGCGGGTGGGCCAGAAGAACATAGGGAGGATGCACTGTAGGAATACTAAAGAATAATCTGAAGAGAATCATGAAAGATTTATTGTCAACACTTACCATATTTGTATCTCAAGGGGCAGTGTTTCATCATTACCCATGAATATTTAATTTTACTGAGCTGATAAAATAAGTCATGGATGTCAGATAAAACCGACTCCATGCATACAACAAAGTAAGCCTGTGGTGAGTATCTACAGGACTACCTGCCCCCATGGTTAGTCACGTGGTTTATTGTTTTATGTTTCGGTCTCACATTTTTTTGGGCCTTGCTTGATTGAGCCTCACAGGTGATTGAGGGTACACAACAAACCCATGTAGCATTGATTCAGGGGTTTAAAGATGTATTCTATATTATTATTATTATTAACATTATTATCAACATGATGTGACTATTATGTATGTTTTACCAGGAAACAACCATTTCTTCCCGATCCGTCGCAGCAATTGTGTGTTCCACACCGAAGAGTGGAATTCAACAGGAACAGCCTTGTTTAAGCCACTTTTCGAGGATCTGCTAATAAACTCACTCAAACACGATCAGATCAGTTGTGGAGAGGGGGACTTTTTCATAGCCGATGATCAAGGGAGCTACTCACAGACTGTCCCAGGTATGATGATCCAGTGGACTGATAGCATTGTGGTCAAAACATTTCCTGGTAGGGCTCAACGAGTCCATTTCTTGGACTCGAGAACTCAAGAGGTCAGACTCAACTCGGACCTGAGTACTCGAAATTCATACCTTTCAAGCAAACCATAGCGCACCTGGCACAACATAACACAATACGTTGATTGTTTGATTACTATTGAAGTTGGTAACTTAGTAATACACATATATTACAGTTTGAGGCATGACATGTGTTCCGATCATACAAGCTATCACTTCATTCCAACTTGATATTGTCATGTGACTTACAGTTTCCATTGTAAAAGTATTGTAAAATCAAAGACTACAAAATAATAAGACCCATACACTTGATTTCGCATATTGATTGATTTAGTTTCATGGGAATTTCAATTGTCAACAAAATAGTTGCCTAAACATTTTAAGAAGTGAAATCTCAACGATGTATAATAACAGAAGTTAATGGCTGCTCATGGTCAGCACATCGTACAGACAGTCTGACAACGTAACCCAATTAGAGTTATCTCCCCTTACTGAGTCCTCAAGTCCAGTTAAACCTGACTCATGCTCGAGTACTCGAGGACCCGTGGAAGCCCTTTTTCCCTGGTCACAACGAAAACATGATTGACTTCCACAAGACAATCAGTCTAGTCAATCACTAGACTGTCTGATCCAGTCTTAAACATTTACAGGCTACTGTCATCAGCTACTGTCATCAGCTACTGTCATCGCATCATAAAGTTGAAATACTGCTGAGTGCAGCATTAAACAAAATACAGACAACCCCCTAGCATAATACAGCAGGAATATTGCTGAAAGTGGTGTATATGCCAACTCACTCCTCAGTTCATCTTAAGTCATTTTATCTATTCAATTGGATATGAACATTTATTGAATAACTAGGTTGTCAGGAAAGCGTACAATGTCATTTCCTTTTTTAAGATTATGTTTCATTTAAATGTAAAAAGGTTCATGGCAGTAGAAATATGTTTTAGTATATCACTGTGTTAACATGCATGAGAATTTATTGTTTTATATTAAATTGCCACATATCAGAATCCAAAGTTGACTTTGAATAGGTTTCTCATGATAGGTTTTTTGATAAACAGGAAAGGAGGTTTGTCTCTTTTGTATTATTTGTTTGTTACCTATCTGTAACTTTGATTTTGAAAGATTGTTACTTGATTGTGTTGATGATGCCATTAGAATTATATAATTATACTAGAGACAAGTCACTGAGATATAAGAAATTTTGGAAACAGTCTTTGTCTGTTATCTCTTTGAATGAATCTATAAACACTGTACGTTATTGTGTAATAAACTGTCCTGAATCAACAAGATGTAGATTAACCCATTTCTTAGAGGTTGTGGGTAAAAACTACTGGTTAAATGATGCTCAGATTTAGGTCATGTAATCAATACTGTCGGACCATGACTAGCCTGAAATAAGTTTAGTTTTATGCTCCTTGTAGCAATATTCCAGCAATATCAGGGCAGAGAACACTAGAAATCGGCTTGACACATTTTACCCATGTGGGGAATCGGACCCAGGTCTTTGGCGTGACAAACGAACGCTTTAACCACAAGACTACCCCATTATCTGCTTGATTGATGAATAATATGAAAAGTATGATACTTTATGGATAACAACTTCTTTATTATGTTATGAGGCTACCATTACATAGTGAGCATAAGAAAAGCCAGACTAGTACATGAGTTGTCTCCCTTTGATTGCACGTTTTAAGGGTATTATATGAGTTGTCTCCCCTAGCTCAGGTCCTCCAAATATATTATACACAGCTACACTGTGTCGAGTGCTCCACCATATCAGCTATGTTACATGCATCTCTCCCGTAGGTCGGGTCCTGCATCTGTGGAAGTACGACAAACTGGAGAAGAAGCTGTACATTTCTAGATCCTTCCTCTTCACCAACCTACAGGTAACAGCAAACACAGCAAGCCATGACATTGCTCTGTACAACATCTAGTATTTGTGACCGCCTCCGTGGTGTAGTGTTTAGAGTGTCCACCCGGAGAGCGGAAGGTCGCTGGTTCAATACCCGGCTGCATCATCCAAAGAGACATTAAAATATGGTACTTGTTGGTCCCTGCCTGGTGCTCGGCATTAATGGGTACAAGGACTGCTCAGAGTCTGTATAATGTGTGTGAGTGGGGTATTCATGCTTAACTGCGGCATTGTATCACAGTGAGCTAGCACTATAAAACCAGCTTAAGCCTGGACTAGTACAAGCAGACACATATACACATGTATGCACGTCGTCATGTAAGCGAAATATTCTTAAGTCCGACATTAAATCACGCATTTTGTATTTGTGCTTTTTTTCTGCCTCAGAGTCTCTGAAACACATTATTTCCATTTTTGTCCTGACCCTTAATTCTAAACGCAAAACTGAATCATTTCTTGGAGATTGGATATTTTACTCAGTGATGCTCCCTTTCAGTGTGATAGGAGTTACCTTGGTTCTATTACAATTATATACTTTCACAAGCTAAGGGTTAGTCTGTGCTTGTTTGTGATGGTTATTTTATCCCTTCTGACAGGAATACATGACTGTCCAACAGTTTCTGCAAAGGTTGTGACTTTGACATCAGAGCCCTCAGCAGCAACAGCAACAGCAGCATCAGCAGCAAAATAGGGATGTATGACGTTACCTTTTGCCTTGTGGACTAGTCTGTACAGACCATAATAATGGTGATAATTACAACTGCATGTCAGTTATGGATGGCATGTGTCATTCTCCAATCACTGGCTCAAAACTACACATCACTTGAGAGAACCCATATCCAGCATACTGAGGGGAGCCCCAATTGGACATTGGACAATTTCTTTGGCAAATAATCCATTGCCTGAGAAAATGTTGGGTTAGAAAGGAAAAGCATGGACCTGGGACATGATTTTTTTAGTCAGTGTTCTGGCCACACTGGCAAAATGTCTTTGCTGTCTCACCAAGACAGCCGTGAAATTGTGAGGCATGTTGATTAACAGCCCTTGGCTGGAATACGAGTTTATTTATATGAACTAGTTGATTATATGTTCTTTGAAAGGATGCATGAAGCATTTAATTTTCAAATATTACCAAAGTACATCCGCCAAGAGCAGCCAAACTTAGGATTATGTACACGCTTTGTACTCAAGTAGCCTCACAAACAACAGAGAAAGACACAATAATTAGAATGTGGCAATTTGCCAGGTATTTTACTCATTGTGATACAAACATTTTGGGGTCTTTGTTTTTAGTTTTTACGCCCCATTGAAAATGTGGGTTTTTATCGTAACAACCCAGACTTGACTGGGACTGTGTCTGGTATGCTATGTGTGTGGCCATTTCGAATTGTGTACTCACATTCTCCATGGTTTGGTTGCTCTGCCTGATTTCATTGGTGGATCTGTACCACGGTTAAGGATGGCAGTAAGTGAAGGCGAGAATAGATGGATGTCCATAAATTCTTGCCTTTCACTTTATGTGTATCACTTCTAAATGCTTTTCAAAGACTTTACGAGTAAGTGCTTTGTTTTGGACAATGAAGGAATCTTGATGTAATGGCAGAGTGTCCTCAGTTTAAACTGTTGATCGAATGAAAGGACCAGGCATTTAGCATCCAATCAAAGACTGACCACTAGATATCTGTTATAGTCCAAATATACCTTGTCCAAGCAATGGATAAAAATGATTAGTTTTCCTTTTTTTTCATATTTCATTTGTTCAGAAATGAGTTTAGGCCAGACCTTTTTGTTTCTGGTTTGGCAGGTGGAAAAAATAACTGACTAAGACACTTCAGATTTTTGTCAGTTTGCAGAATTTGCAGAAAGCAGTGTTTGACAACTCACTGCATTCACAAGAAAACTGTTTGAAATAAAACATACCAGTAAATTTGTATTTCACAGAGAAACATATAAATGGTGCTTGTTAGATATATTAGATTTATATCTTTTCATTATTTTTATGATATGGATTCATTGGACCAGTTCTTAAGTGAAGTTTCATTCTCAAATAAGTGTACCCTGTGATATGTTTTTGACTGTTTCATAATATACAAACAGAGACCATTTGTTTCCTATTGTAATAAAACCATGCTGCATATAAACAGATAATACATATTTACTTACATAAATATAAAAAATACATGACATAATATGTCACATACTTTAGATATACATCATATCATCGTATTTTGTTCTTATTCATGCGATCCTGACTTCAGAATGTGCGACCCGTGAAAGTCCGGGTTAGAATGGATCTTCAGTAGCCCATGCTTGTCGTAAGAGGCGACTAAGGGGATCTCTTGGTAAGGCTCAGTGACTTGATTGACAAATGTCATCGGTTCCCAATTACGCAGATCGATTCTCGTACTGTTGATCACTGGATTGTCTGGTCCAGACTTGATTATTTACAGATCGCCGCCATATAGCTGGAATATTGCTGAACAGAACTCACTCACTCAGAATGTGGGATCACCCCTGCTTGTACTTAACCAGCTATGTACCTCCGCAGGATGACACTTCAACTGACCATTGCTTGTACAACAAGTCCAAAGATATTTTTCAGAGTTTCTATTTTATGTGATTTTCTTTGAGAAATTGTCTCCCCTTTCCATTCCTCTGAAGCCTGTGTCTTAAAGGGGCAGTGTTGACAGTTTTCTGAGGATCCACAATCCCACTGTGTGGAGTTGCCTCCCTTAGATTTGTCATAATCCTGTCTCTCGTCATCATAGTGAGTCGAGTCATCCTGATAATAATCATTGATTTGACGGTAACATATCTGTGCTCTTGGGTTTCCACAAAGGTGTTACCCACTTCTATCAATTCATGTTTTCCTCTCATATCGAGCATGGTTTTTTCATCTTATGTTTATTTGACATGTGTGAAATTCAGAGTCAGCAGAAATATTGCTTTCACAAATAGTTGACTGGTTTTGAAAGCAGTACTGCTTAAAACCAAAATGTATCTCAAGGGGTTTTGAAACAAACTGAAGATTACTAGTCAAAAGGGCTTTAAAATCAGTGTGGTATTTTTTTTTTATAATTTCATCTGTCATATTATTTAGATTTACCTTTATTACAAAATTATCACCTAATATTTCATATCATAACACTTGGTATTTTGTGAAATTGTATTTGTGAAATTTCAATAGGAGAATTAAAATCTTTCCAACCAAATCTCAGCGTTTTGCACTTTATCAAACAATATAGTCCACATGTGGTGAAGTTAAAAATATCTGATTAAGTGTGTTTGGTATAACATTTGAATGAGTTTTTGTAGGTAGTTTTGTTGAAGCTATATATTTTTTAATGGAAACTTCACAATTAGACCTTATAAATACAATTCAGCCATTTGTATGCGCTCAAATTTCCCAAGTATATCAATGAAATAAGTAATAGTTCGATCTTGTACCACGTAAACTTATTGTCTTTCATCCCAACATCCAACCAAATAGAACATAGAGTGTGGCATTTAAACAACAAACAAACACATAGAAATTAACTGAATTTTGTCATCAGAATTTATCTGTGGAATCTCTCCACTCCAGATCTGAGAAGCCACCTTTGAAATCATCTGTTGTTTTCAGAGCTTATTAATAATGGTATATATTCCCAGATAGGTATCATATACAGTGGAACACTATTGCATCTAAGCGGAAGGGACCGGTGTAAATAGTTCGAGGCATCCAAGTATCAACACAATCACACAAAAAATGACTAAATATGCAGAGACTGAGATTTTACTTTGAAACAACCCAAGTTTAACATTACAGTGGTTAGATCCATGTCACTGAAGTCTTTATGAATGTTTGAATGACGTAAACTTTGTCGAAGGGAGTTTTTATAACTTGTATTCCTGAATTAAGTTTTCTTTAAATAGTCACCATCCCTATGATTCAAATTCAAGTACTGCATGATGTTTAATTTGTTTGAAACTGATTTTTTTTTTAAATCATGCTAAGGAAATCTTGGAAAATATTATTTAAACTGTGTAGTGAAATGTTTTTTCCAGTTATGAATTGGGCATTAGCTGCAATGTGCAATTCATATTAATACCACTTGTCTGTTAAGTTTATGAAAGAAATGTCTGTTCACTGCTAGATGTTAAGAGAAACATGCATACATGAAACTGACGAGATGCTGATTGAATCCAGTTGTTTATAGGTAGAACAAAACCAGCTAATATTTTATATACTTTACATAGTATTAAATATTTCATGCTATATGTATTTCGAGAAGAAAGTCAAAAGAGATCTCCGTACTTCGCCTTCAAGGCATATTTTTTCTCACTTCACACAGATTAACAATCGGAAGATTTAACTTGGGAAGGATATTTAGTGTGTCTCTCTGACTAACTATTCAGGTAGACTAACATTTAGTCTCTAAAATGAACATATTTTACAGAAAAAAAAGGTTTTCATAATTATATTCATGAAATGTAATAAAAAGGAACCCAGAGACTTTCTTCATTTCCTGAAACTGTGGTTATCTAGACTTGCCACACATTCTAGACTTGCATGGGCTGCATTGGGTATATTTGTTTCAGGTCTGTGTGACTGACTACTATTAGGGTGTTTTTATTCCTTGTTTGCACCACAGTGGTTTGTTGTGATCATCCTTGTACGTTGATGGCAGTGGGCTTATAGCAGTATTCTGGATTAGTTTGAGGAACAGTTATCAATTTATAATTGGAACTGGTTTCCATGCATAATACATACAGCTATTTTAGATATAGTTCATGTATGCTGAAGAGATTCATGTTTTAATTTGTTCATTTTAAAATTATTAATGGTATAAGTGATTTAATGGTTTGTACATAATACAGTATGTGTGCATCATGTATTGACAGCTTTGTAAGAATAATTGGAATGAAGGTAAAACATGTATTTTTGAAAATAAATATTGTACAATTAAGTTTGTGTTTGGTCAACACTGTTGATGTTTTTGTTTCAAGTGACATAGAGTAGACCAGTGTAAAGTGTGTGTTCTCTTATCTTTTCTGTGACAGAGATGACTTGTGGTGATTGGTCCCACGTGACAGAGATGAATCTTGTGGTGATTGGGGGCTTTCTGTTTGTACATCAAACTTAAACAGATGATGTGAATTTAATTTCTTACATCCACCCGCTGAAACCCATTAAGTGACTTCCACCTGTGTTTGGTGTTCTGATTATTTATTTTTCCCTGAATTTCTTATGATCCTCTTCCACTGTTTTTGATGATTATTTATGTTTGTACATGTTTGTACTTAAACAGATCACTTGATTGGGTCCACAATGCCTCCAGAAGGGGTATTCACGCTTCACGACTATCCCTTGTCACCTCAGTCTCGGTCCACTACACAATGACTGTTGTCTGGGACCATTCATAATTTATGGCTAGGAGGGGTGACGATCATTTTATGGAGCAGCATGTACAATGTGAATGTCCCCCACCCCTGCTTATGTGATGTACAAAATCAATGACCACCACACACACACACAACACCTCCCTAGAACAAAATCAGTGACACACACACACACCCCTTTAAATCATAATCATAACCAACAGCAGCAGAGGTGTCATTGGTCATGAAGTGAGTTAGTTTAGTTTTATGCTGCTTTTAACATAGAGTGTGTGCTTTAAGTGAGTCTAAACTTTTGATGGGTAGTATATGACTGAGTGTGTGAGTGAATATTGGTTAACGCCGTATCATCCATTTTGCAGCTATGACCTGCGACCCACCTTGCATGTATTATAAGATACCAGTTGCAATCTGTTTCCTGAATAATTTGCATGAATATCACACTTTTTGCCGGGTTAAGTGCACCCGAGGCTGTATCTGAGCTTATGAGTGAGATTAGTTTTACGCCGCTTTTAGCAGTTTTCTAGCAATATCACGGCGGGGGACACCAGAAATGGGCTTCACACATTGTACCCATATGGGGAATCGAACCCGGGTCTTCGGCGTGACGAGCGAACGCTTTAACCACTAGGCTACCCCACCATGTATGCCGTCTTTTAACCCTTTAGATTACTGGGCCCCGTTCCTCAAAGCAATCGTAGCGCTACGACAGTCGTAATTCTATGTTAAAGTATGGGAGTTACGATCACCTTAGCGCTTCGATCGCTTTGAGGAAACTGATGCACGTACGAAGTTCGTTTAGAGTGGCTAGTGGTTGTTCACGGTGAGAATAAGGAGAAATCGTGTCGATCGGCCAATTCAGTCGGACGTTGTGTTAGTCAATAATGTCGAATTGGCAAAGAAACGTCTATGTGAGGGAGGAGGGAGTAAAGCATGATTAAGTAATGCTACAACTGCCAAATGTGAACCCGGACAGAAAAAGTTTCAGGTAAATACATATTTTAATATACCTGAGACGCTGTGTGCGAATACTTAGTCCTAGATCAGATGCTAGAAAAGTCCCTATCTTTCAGGATCTCTCAGCAGCAGTAAAAGGGTTATCCAGTAATAAGTATGACACCTCCCACCCTCCAGAAATTCTTGTTGATATGGAACAAGCCACAGAATGTATCAGGTTACTACAACAAACAAGGGTTACCCCATTGTTGAAACAGTGTCCACATGTTCATAGACCATCTTCATGAGTATTAACCGCATGGTTTAATGGACGGTGACAAGCAGTGGTGTTCAGCATGGTAAAGATATGCATTGTGGGTGATAAGCCCGGGTGTGTCATATTACCTGATCTTGATGCTATCTGTACATTTGGCCTAGAGGTATACTGTAATTTGACACTACTTGAGGTCGTTACAAACAGCAAACACGGGTTTGGCTGCTTTATATGAAACTTTCTAGGACACTGACAGGTCAGGACCCATCCTGCCCTTCTACTGAATCACGTCATCTTGTTCTGTTGCTCTCTGATACATGGTTGGCCCACTATCAACCCAATTTAACTGCCTGTTCGACATACCCTTTCACGCTTCAGGTCGTTCGTCTCTTTGGTTTAGATTGCCAACTCAAGCCCTAATTAAGAGCTGGGACTGAAAGTGTGGACATAATTTGTCCTTGTGTCCGCCTGGGGCTCATACATCTCTTCCGGATGAGTGCAGATTTTCAGCCCACAGAACGAAACTCGCCACAATCTCGCACCGACATCCCCACCCTCACGATCCGTGAAGATGAGGGAATTGATCTTCAGTAACCCATGCTTGTCGTGAGGGGCGGCAGACGGGATTGGGTGGTCAGGCTCGCTGACTTGGTTGACACATGTCATTATATCCCAATTGCGTAGATCGCTGCTCACGCTGTTGATCAATGGGTTGTCTGGTCCAGACTCGATTATTTACAGACCGCCGCCATGAAACTGGAATATTGCTGAGTGCGGCGTAAAACTAAACTCACTCAACCCCCCACGTTCACACTGCAGGCCGCGATTCCGCAAAGCGATCTCGGCGCGAGGCGGACGTAATTCCGATACTTAGCATTGGCTTACGATCACAGTATCGCCAGGACCGCTTGCGAATCTGGGCCCAGCCTTTACGGAAGGGTGCTGGAGTGATGCATGTCACAAAACAAAGAGACAACGTATGCAGACTGTACAATTATAGTTACAGTTCTTTTCCAACAGTTAGTGACGGTTCATAATTTATGGCAAGTGGGGGTGATGATGACTTTGATGCAGAAGCATGTACAATGTGAATGCCCCAACCCAAAAAAAACAAAAATAAAATTACGCACAAAGTAAGTCCCCCTTTAAATCAATCATCACCACCACCACCCACACACACAAAGCACCACCACACCCCACCCCCACCCGACCCCCACACCCCACACACACCCCTAACAGTATATTCTTCACAGAAAATTATGGCTTTAAGTGACACCTGAATGCCACGGTGTATCTCCATTGATCGGTTTAAAAACAACTTTCCATATAACATAAAATGTTGTTGTTTTGTTCTTGTGCAATTGTTTCATTGAAATTAACAATGTCATCCTTGCGGAACTCATTAAAAACCCTTCCTGGTATTGTATTAATCTAGAATAGGAACGGAACAGCAACAGGAAACCGATGTGTCCTATTCGAACACTTATGTGACGTCACTCTATTGTTTGCTATGTCCATCATTTATGAGTAATGGACAATTAGCTATCAGTGAATCGTTATCCGGACTCAACGTTTCAATAAACATATGACAAGTCATTAAATTAGGACCTTACGAAATTATACATTATATAATGAACAGGCATCGGTAGCAAAAAGCACGCATCGTACAAAAGCACCCGTCCAGTACAAAGTACAAATAGTTCTGGTTCATTTTTCAAATACCTGAACAATATTAGGTGCAAAATCTGAACGAAGGGAAGGATACTATCACAGTTCTGCATTCCTAAATGATAATGGACAGTGTTTTGCCATACTTTGCTTATAACTTAGGAATATAGGAATGTCCTCTGCTGAAGTACTGTCAGCAAACATGACTCTCGCGCAGGAAAGAGTTCTCTTGAGACAAGGTCGCCTAAGTAGACAGTCACTAGGATGAGTCATGAATAGACGAGTTGGGTACGAACGGATGCTAACGAAGGCTCCCAACTACTAAACAAGTTCCTCTGTTGGTACAGGACGCAAGCCTAACGGTTTTATACCCCTATTGGTAATCTGGCCATTGCTTCTCATATCGTAATAGCCAGCTTTGGCGCAGGTTGGCGACTGAGCCGGAGCCAGCTTCCGCTTATAGGTAAGACAGGAGCCCAGTAAAAGGACTTAGTCGCTATGAGGTCACCTGGCTAAATTGTGACGTCATGCTATTGTCCGTCATTGTCGAGGCTAGCTAACGAAGCCCCATGACACAGATCTACGTTTGCCAAGATTAATATTTTGAGAACGACTCCAGTTATCTGCACACGAGGTAGGTGCATGAATTGTATTTTCCGAAGGGGTTAATCAATGTGACATCATCTAGCTCTCAAAGTTTCTATTTATTTTGTAACATGTTTTTTTCTATATTATTTCTGGGACAAACCCACCATTTTATGCACCTGTTTTGAGGAATAGGACAGATTTGTTTTCTTTTCTAGCCCAAACGACGTGCAATATGCCAGTGGTAAGACGACTCTCTGAGTGTGAGGGGTTTGATTCCGAAGTGGCTGAGTGTCTAGCTCCAACACAGCCGAAGGGTATGTGATATTAAAAATATTAAATTTGATATTAAAAACTGAATGTCATTTTCGAATAATCCTCATCCGTCACAAATTACTGAGTGAGTGTCGTTTTACGCCGCTTTTAGCACTATTCCAGGTTCATCACGGTAGGGGACACCAGAAATGGGCTCACACATTGTACCTATGTGGTTAATCGAAACACGGTTTGCAGCGTGACGAGCGGACGCTTTTTTCACTAAGTTACCCGATCATTCCTTCACAAATTATAGGGGTGGTGGGGTAGCCTAGTGGTTAAAGCGTCAGCTTGTCACGTCAAAGACCCGTGTTCGATTCTCCACATGGGTACAATGTGTGAAACCCATTTCTGGTGTCCCCCGCCGTGATATTGCTGGAATATTGCTAAAAGCAGCGTAAAACTAAAACTCACTCACTCTTTCACTCACAATTTAATGTGAATGTGTTGAGACAGTGTCGGAGTATAAGTATCTGGGAACCTTCATTGACTCTAAGCTGAACTGGAATTCTAACACTGAAGCCCTATAAAACAAGTGTCAGCAACGTCTTCATCTCATGCGTACACTGAGATCTTTTAATGTTAACCCATCTGTGATGTCATCATTTTGTGAAGCATTTATTTAGAGTATTTTAACATTTTCCTTCCATTGTTGGTACGGGTCTCTCAGTTCATCTCAAATGTAAAATAGACAAAATTGTTAACATTGCAAGTAAAATAGCTTGAGTCAGATTTGAATGTTTATCATCAATATATGAGCGGCAAATCGTGAATCAAGCTGTGAATCAATATCTGACCCAACTCACTACATAAATTGGAACACAACCTCCTCCCTTCAGGCCGCCGCTACAAAAGTTCCAATTGTGAAAACTAAGAGAACCCGTACATCCTTTATTCCAAGTACCATATCTCTTTTAAACAAATGTGAAGATACCTAATTCATTGAATTTATGTAAATATGTTTTGTATCTCCCTGATGTGTCAGTAGCTCTGCTGATGTAGCACAAATTCCTGAAAAAAAACCCATTAAAGTACTATTCTATTCTATCCTATTTCTATTCTATTATAAGGCCTTTCATATGGAATGTCGTACCTTATGGAAGCGCATACTGAACTGGTACACATTTGTTTCAGAGTTCCACGATTCGGTTCCAAACTTTATCACAATCAAACCAACTCCCATCCGTCCCGATCCACCATTCCAGTGGGACTGCAGTACTGAGGACGACACTCAACTATCCAAGAAACACGAGCTCCGCGTGCAACTGATGGCTGCCCTAGCCGAGGTAGATACTCTCTCCGCTCTGACCTCCAAGAGGCTCGATTCTGTTCCAGATGTCTGGATCTGAATAACCTACATCTGCAGACACAAGTCGGACAACTGTCGGGTGAAATTGCCTCCCTACAGGAACAGGTTCAACGCTTGGTGGAGGAGGTGGACATGTTGAAAGGGATTGGACAACGGGCACATCCAGGACAGGGTGAAGGTGTTGGTCTTGCTCACAAGCCAGTGGCCTTACAGACACTATCCTTTGGTCGGACCGGCCAAGTACAGAATGTTATGTCTGATGGCCAGGGACAAGTTGTTTCCAAGACCCCAGCTCCCACAAAGTTATCTGCCATCAAGAAAGGACTTGTCAACAAGCTCGGCACATGTGATAGAAAACAGTAACAGGAAACATAATGTACAGAAATCTGTATCTTTCTTTAGCGGTTTAGGCAAAATGTTCGGGAGACACAGATCGTAACAATGTATGTCAAGTCGGTATTTGCATTAAACCTTATCATACCTAAGATGACGTGTGTCTATATTTCCATTAATTGCCGCTTATTTAGTACACGCACTTAGCCAATTGAACCTGTGAAGATCCGGGTGGCCAGGATGGAGAGGGGGTCAGGGTGAACTCCCGATGGAGAGAGGTGGTCAGGCTGGAGATATTTGGCCAGGGTGGAGAGAGGTGGCCAGGGTGGAGATATTTTGGCCAGGGTGGTCAGGGTGGAGATTTGGCCAGGGTGGAGAGAGGTGAAACCAGGGTGGAGATATTTGGCCTGCGTGGAGAGGGATGGCCAGGGTGGAGAGACGAGGTCAGGATGTGGAGAGGGGGGCAGGGTGGACAGAGGTGGTGGTCAGCGGAGAGAGGTGGTCAGGGTGGTGAGAGGTGGTCAGGGCAGGGAGAGAGGGTCAGGGCGGAGAAAGGGGGGTCAGGGCGGAGAGAGGTGGTCAGGGTGGTGAGAGTTGGTCAGGGCGGAGAGAGGGGTCAGGGCGGAGACAGGTGGTCAGGGTGGAGAGAGGTGGTGAGAGCGGAGAGAGGTGGTCAGGGTGGTGAGAGATGGTCAGGGCGGAGAGAGGTGGTCAGGGTGGAGAGAGGGGTCAGGGCGGAGACAGGTGGTCAGGGTGGAGAGAGGCGGTGAGAGCGGAGAGAGGTGGTCAGGGTGGTGAGAGGTGGTCAGGGTGGTGAGAGGTGGTCAGGACGGAGAGAGGGGTCAGGGTGGTGAGAGGTGGTCAGGGTGGTGAGAGGGGTCAGGGTGGAGAGAGGTGGTCAGGGTGGAGAGAGGTGGTGAGAGCGGAGAGAGGTGGTCAGGGTGGAGAGAGGTGGTCAGGGTGGAGAGAGGTGGTCAGGGTGGTGAGAGGGGGTCAGGGCGGAGAGAGGTGGTCAGGGTGGAGAGAGTTGGTCAGGGCGGAGAGAGGGGGATCAGGGCGGAGACAGGTGGGTCAGGAGTGGAGAGAGGTGAGTCAGGGTGGAGAGGTGGTCAGGGTGGTGAGAGGGTCAGGGCGGAGACAGGTGGTCAGGGTGGAGAGAGGTGGTCAGGGTGGAGAGAGAGGTGGTCAGGGCGGAGAGAGGGTCAGGGGCGGAGAGAGGTGGTCAGGGTGGAGAGAGAGAGTTGGTCAGGGCGGAGAGGAGGGGTCAGGGCGGAGACAGGTGGTCAGGAGGAGAGGTGGTCAGGTGGTGAGAGGGGTCAGGGCGGAGAGAGAGGTGGTCAGAGGTGGGAGAGGTGGTCAGGGCGGAGAGAGGGGTCAGGGCGGAGACAGGTGGTCAGGGTGGAGAGAGGTGGTCAGGGTGGAGAGAGGTGGTCAGGGTGGTGAGAGGGGTCAGGGCGGAGAGAGGTGGTCAGGGTGGAGAGAGGTGGTCAGGTCGGAGAGAGGTGGCCAAGAAGGAGAGATGACAGGCAAACAGAGAGGCTGTAGTGAAGGGCTGGAGATAGATGGACAGGGAAGGGTAGAGACAGCTGATACGGTCGGGAAAGAATTAGGTGGCGACATGTAAATTGTTTGGAGAGGAGACTACAAATGTGACACACATAGAATGAGAGTGTCGACACTATACACACTGAACAAACCGGAATCATGAATATTTTAGAGCTGTTTTATCTTAATGAAGACAAAGCACACAATTACATAAAATATTTACCTGAATATTCAATAAGCATAACCTTTTTTCCCCCTCAGCAAAGTTTAAACGATTATCCATGTGACGCATAATTACCCATTAACACAATTTGTGCGTGTACAGGCAAATAAGCATGTGTTTATCTGATTTCCCCTAAAAAGAAAATATTTCAAATACCAAAGCAAATACCGTGTAACGAGAACAAGGTATTATTGCGACTCGGTATTCGCCCAAATGACAAATATGGGTAACATAAGCCCGTTTCTACTATTTGATTACACAAGTCCACCCAGCATGTGGTAGGCATTCGTCAGAGCTACCCAACCCATCGTCACTGACGTCGTACACACGCCTGATAGGATCATTCACCGGCCTTGTTCACTCACTCGATACTCCACAACGCAGATTGTTGAAAATGACGCCGGGTGCAGTGTGTGTGACGCTGCTTCACCTCGCCTTGTTGAATAGGTAGTACTACCTGTGTTAAATCATGCAGGGCTGAAGCCCCCTGTAATGCATACACCTCTCCTTGATGAACAGGATTAACTCCTATGTTAAATCATGTAAGGCTAATTCACCTGCAATGTACAGTGCCCGATCTGTAACGCGAGTAAGTACAACTGCACGCTATCGTGATTTCGTTCCGGATTATTTCAGACTGCGATCTCGTTCAAGTGGGTCGTCCCAGAAGGAAAGTCTACAATAATTCTCCACGAATTTCCATTATGGCATGGACCTTTTTAGCTATGCGCTATGGATTTAGTAACCCTGTTGTTGATTCTGTCAGGAGCCTTCTGTGTGATGTGGATTTACCAAAAATGGAGAGATGCATCTCTGAAGCCTCTACCCCCCGGGCCCAGGGGCATGGGGACGTTTTTCAATTTCGTGAATGCTGTTTCCAACTTTACTCTCCACTTCCATGCTGACCGCTGGGCGAGTCAGTATGGGGACATTGTGTCTGTGGGACTGTTTGGCCAGAACATTGTCTTCATTAACGAGGGGAAGTTAATGAAGAGGCTTTTCTGCGACGATTCCCTCAAAATGGTCACGAATGATAGACCGAGCTCTTTCGCTTCAAGGTTCGTTTTCAAGGACCAGAATATTGGACTTAGTTCCTTGGGTAAACATCACACAAGAATGAGGAAAATATTTCATGGTTCCTTGAAACTGTACGGGGATGGCGTCCAGGGTTTTGAAGATACGATTATTGAAGAGCTTCGTCGCGTTGTCATGGAAATAAAGTCGAACGAAGAAGTACCACTGGATGAAGTAATATCAAACTTTTTGCTGAATGTAATACACATTCTCGTAAGTATTGTTTCTGTTTTAGATCCTTCTGTAGCACTGTGTCCGGACTCCAGATTGTCTCACAAGCTCAGGGGTGGTGGGGTAGCCTAGTGGTTAATACGTTCGCTCGTCACGCCAAAGACCCGGGTTCGATTCCCCATATGGGTACAATGTGTGAAGCCCATTTCTGGTGTCCCCCGCCGTGATATTGCTAGAAAACTGCTAAAAGCGGCGTAAAACTAATCTCACTCATAAGCTCAGATACAGCCTCGGGTGCACTTAACCCGGCAAAAAGTGTGATATTAATGCAAATTATTCAGGAAACAGATTGCAACTGGTATCTTATAATACATGCAACGGTGGGTCGCAGGTCATAGCTGCAAAATGGCTGATACGGCGTTAACCAATATTCACTCACACACTCAATCATATACTACCCATCAAAAGTTTAGACTCACTTAAAGCACACACTCTATGTTATGTTGTTATGCTGTGTGTGTGTGTGTGTGTGTGTGTGTGTGTGTATGTAAGGTTACATCGAAGATTTCTAACTTAGGGGAACCAACAGCAAACCTTATGCAGATGAACTGCATGAGGATCATGCATCAGATTGCTGAAACGCATGTGCAAATATCATGCATGTGAACAGCTACGTTTTGGTGTAAAGTTTTATTACGAATTCGAGTTTCATCATTTATTGAACTCATGACAATTTTTTTTTTTTCAACGTTTCGAATTTGTTTTACAATACATCAGTTCATGTGTAAACAGTGCCTTAAACAGTATGGAATATTTTGCAAAATCTAGTTTTGAACAGTTGACTGAAGTAAGTGGCTACATTTACACTGGTGAGTCTAAACTTTTGATGGGTAGTATATATGCGTAACGTGTGTTTCCTTTTACAAGGAAGTATGGAGGTATCGTGATGAGTCAGTATGTAACACGGTTGTAGCCAGTTGTAGTGAGCCTCTATCGAGGGTAAGGGACCAAGGTTCATGGCCCATGTGTGGCGAGGTGGCTGTGATGCAATAAAGATTTATATCTCCTTAATCCCTACTCCGCCGGTGTGGACAGGTTTCCCAACGTTATCAAGCCCTCTGAACATCCGGCCCTAGAACAGGACCCTTTGGGAAGAAATTAGTCTGTCTCACAGTCCCTGAACCACATTATTTTCCCTACTGCCAAGCCCTCTCTACAGTGCTAAAGCCCTAAATAAAGCAAGTCTAGATTTCCTCAAGTTTAGGAATCTCTGGTCTCCCTAGGGCTCCTTTTCAATATAAATGGGCTTGTTTGTTACTATCAAAATTATATATATTCAGAGACTAAGCCTTAGTCTAGGAAGAAATGATCAAGTGTATTTACTGTACTTTAATTTTGCAATTCTTATCTCCGTTAATCAGGACACCATTCCCACACCTATGTTGCCAAGCTAACATCAGAGTAGTTTACACATTATCTCGTCCTGTACAAGAACAAATACAGTCGCACCAACATTGTTTAGTCCCGACGGTATTGATTCAACTGAAATATACATGTGAAATACGGTAATTTGAAATCTGGGTCCCGAGTCACAAAGCGTTCGTAACATTACGACCTGTCGTAATTTGAGTTTATCATAGGCTTACGAATGACGTAGTGCTACGAACGTTTTATGGACCGGGACCCATATGTCTTTGCAGTCTAAGTAAACTGATAACTTTGTAACCTAAGCAGCGCCAGAATGGATACCATGTCTCGGAAAGTTTAATAGCCGAAGAGGTCACCACGCTGTTAAAGATTCCGATCGTCACGGGTGGTCAGGTTCGATTCTGAAATTGGTGTTCCCTGCAGTGATTCTGCTGGAAATTATCTAAAAGCACCGCAAAACTATATCTACTGACTCGCTCTGAGCGTGTGATCTCATATATGGTATTTAAACATTGTAGGTTTCTCTGCTGGAATGTCCCCGCCTTTGCTTTAGTCTCACCAGAAGCGAAATGAAACCAACCTCACTCACTCACCGATTTGTCCACTCACCCACCTCTACTCATTCGTTCACTCACTCACCCAGTCATTTATTCATTCACTCATTCATCCATTCGTTCACTCTCCCCTCTACTCACTCGTTCACTCACTCACTCAGTCATTTATTCATTCACTCACTCATCCATTCGTCCACTCACTCACCTCTACTCACTCACCCACTCATTCATTTATCCACTCACTCATCAATACGTCCGCTCAGTCACCCCTACTCACTCACCCACTCATTCATTTATTCACTCACTCATCCATTCGTCCGCTCACTCATCCCTACTCACTCACACCTACTCACTCGTTCACTCACTCGATCACCCACTCATATTCATTCACTTATCCATTCGTCGGCTCACTCACTACTCACTAACTCATCCCTGCTCACTCGTTCACTCACTAATTCACATTCATTCACTCACTCATCCATTCGTCCGCTCACTCACCCCTACTCCCATTCGTCCAACTACTAACCATATGGTTTATTTTGTGTCCCGGTTTGAAGGCTGAACTCCTGTAAACGTATATAACATTGAGTGATTGTGACTTCCTCCACACTTATTGTGTATGATCACAGTGATTGTATAATGATTATACCGTGCATCTAGTGCGGTCTAGTTTTCCAACGAGTATTGTTGACATCAATCAAATGGTAGAGTTTCTGGCAGTTGTGCATTCCACCAATAACTTCATAGATCAGTTGTGTAGATTACAGATGTGTCGAGAAAACTGAGTGGCGCGAAATACCAAATGTCGGTGGTACCGCTTGGATTACTTGAAACATCTGAACGAAAGGTTACGGTGCAGTGTGTCGTTCGAGCGTCCCAATCTGATTGGCAGGGGTTCCCAGATCGGTGTCACTCCATGATTCAGACGCCCCAGTTTTCAAATACCTTAGACAAATGTAAAGCAAGGTTGAATGCACAGCATTTTTTTTCTATCTAGACAAGTGGACGGGTCCATTATCAAAACAGGTGAGCTGTCTGAATACTGGGATGTCTGATAATGGGTATCATGCACCTCCATGTCAAGGATACATACCAGTGTAATATATTGACATGGGGTATAGTGAACCCGTACAGGAGACCGGAAAAAATCGTCTTCTGGGCGATCTTTGATGAAAACGTCCATTTACGAGTCATATAATGGAACAATGTAATATGGTCACCATGGTTTCTTCTTGCTTCGCACTGCAAAAAGATATAAGCACTTAGGAAACATGTTCCTGGCTATTCGGTTACTTCCGTTTATATACCGGAACGGAAGTTTTAGCACCCTACTGCGTAGGGCTTCAACGGAGTCCATTTTTTGGACTCGAGTACTCGAGGGGTGAGACTCGACTCGGACCCGAGTACTCGAAATTCATACCTTTCAAGCAAACGATAGCGTGAATTGCATGACGTGTTCCGATCACACAAGTGAACACTTACTTCTTTCCGACTTCATATCGTCATGTGAACTAACATTTCCTATTGGTCAGAATCAATATTTGGATGTTTACTTGACAAATGTTTTTTTCTTCTTACTTCTTGTACTGCCTTCAAAACGCAGTGATACACCGCACAGTCGGCATTTGGTTATTTTGCTCTTTTCACTATCCAGATCAAGATACGCCCATACATTTGATTTTTTATCTTTCTCCATGTCTATCAATTGTCAAGATAGTTACCTAATCATTTTAAGAAGTGAAATCTCAAACGATGTATAATATTTACTCTCATCTGCAGACTTGTAGCAACTAATACCATACAGCCACACCGTGTGAGGAGTAAACTATTTAATCTAGGTGTTAATGAAACCATTATCAGATTGGTTAAAGATTCAGGGTACATAGAACTCTCGGTACGTCAGTGTCAATGGCTATCAATCTTCTTTTCTCTCAACCTCTACTGGAGATCCACATGGCTGTGTTCCTTCATCCGTACTCTTCGTTTCGTATACCAATGACTGTTACTTGTCAATGTATGACTTGTTTACTGTGAAATTCGCAGATGACGCCACTGTTACTGGCCTAATTTCTGATTCTGAACATTATTATCGTCAAGGCATTGACAAAACCGTAATGACAGTTTTTTATCAAACCTTTATTCAAAGTGTGTTGACCTACAATGTTCTATGTTGGTATGGGGATCTGTCTCATCGCAACAAAAACAAACTTTTCAAAATTGTTAATACTGCTTGCAAAATTTCTGGAGTGTCTTTCGAGTATATTCCCTTTATCTATGAGCGCCAGATTGTCAAAAAGGCAGCTAAAATTAGATTTGATAGTTGACATATTTGATCTCATCATTTTGATCTACTTCCTTCTGGACGCTGCTGTCGATTACCTTTCCCACAAACAAACAGAGCTCGATAGTCTTTCATACCATCAAGTATTCGTGAATGCAACAAATATTTTGAATCACCATCATGTGATTAGAACTAGAATTATTCAGCCTCTTTACCTATGTGGTTAATTGAATTATATCATGTCAGTTTTATTTGTAATAGCATTTGTTTTGAGCATGTAATTATTGTGTATATTTTTGTGAACTGTGTATATATTCATTTTGAGACAGTTTGGATGTATCAGAATTTCCTCCGGGATAATAAAGTTATATCTTATCTTAATATTAGACGTTAACGGCCGCTCGTGCTTAGCACATGGCAGACAGTCTGTCAACGTCAAATAATTCGAGTTATCTCCTCTTTTCGAGTCCTCGAGTCCTTGAAAATGGACTCGAGTCCAGCTGAACCCGACTCGTCCTCGAGTACTCGAGTACCCGTGGAAGCCCTACTACTGCGTGGTATTCAACCCTACTTTACATGACAGACTATACAGCTCAAGGCTAAACATGACCACTCTCTCTCGCCTCTTCCTTTTCTTCTCTCTCTATGTCTCTTACATCATGAGAGTGTGAGAGCGAGAGATGGGGTGGGGGGGAGTGTGTATGTGTTTTGGTCTCTCTCTCTCTCTCTCTCTCTCTCTCTCTCTCTCTCTCTCTCTCTCTCTCTCTCTCTCTCTCTCTCTCTCTCTCTCTCTCTCTCTCTCTCTCTCTCTCTCTCTCTCTCTCTCTCTCTCTCTCTCTCTCATGATGTAAGAGACATCCCTCTTTGAAATAATGGCTATGGGTCTCGGGTAGATGTAATCAACCAGTATCCCTTGCTGTCAGTTATTGATAAATACGCGAACATAAAAGGTCAGGTAAGGTATTACGTCCTGAGTTTACAAACACAATACAAATTAATGGAATAGATACTTACAATCATTAATTTCTAAGAAAGTTATGTTACAAATGCTGGCACGTGCATGCATTAGAGGGACAGTTTACAGAGCATACAAGTGGGGGCACTTTCCGTGTTTTTCCCACAACTTAAAATGTTACTTCGTTTCGTTTTTGTTGTGTGTTGTGTGTTGTCTGCTACGCTGCACCCCGGGAACCATGCTGCTCAAAGAGTTGGGTAAGCGTAGCGCCCCTTTGAAAAAGGGAGATTACTCCGACAGATGACGATGGACTGCCACGAAAACATTATCACATGTGAAGGCTTTTGTTATGTTGACTTTATGTAGTGACGTCACAGTCTTAAAACGTGTTTCAATGAGAACGGTATTGGTTGTTGTCACTACAACATTAATAGCACGTTTGGGGCTTAATATATTTATGAGTATTTTCGAGGAAAACAATGTTCATGTACCGTATATGATGGATTAATATGATGTTTTGAGAATGACATGTGATAAAGATGTTTCACACCTGTGAGTTTTGGGATTGTAAAATCCTGTACAAGCAATATATATATCCTGTGTTAGGAATACAATGTATGTATTTAGCTGGCCAAGGCTCACTAAACACGATGTTATTTACTTGTGTAGGCCAGTTTACCACCCATAAGTTGGCAACCTCTTTGCACTAGATGTTAAGTTTTAAAAAGAGTGTCCGGGTTTTGAGCAAACCCATTTTTAGTGTGAGTGTAAGGCACACGGGGAAGAACTATAAGCCAGGGCCTAGATTTTCGAAGCTCTCTTAGCGCTAAGATAGCCGTAAGTGCTATACATTAACATTAACTTACGACTATCTTAGCGCTAAGAGAGCTTCGAAAATCTAGGCCCAGTTTCTGCTTTCGGTTAAAATTCTACGTAGATGTAATGTTTAGAAAGAACAGACTCGCAGGTTTCATACTTCTACTACTTCTTCTTCTTTTTCTTCTTCTTTACTACTACTGCTCCTGCTGCTGCTGCTACTACTACTACTACCATATTCACTCACTCACTTATTGACAAGGAGTATGATCAGTTTCTCCACCCGGAGCACAGCTCTTCTCACACTCTAATAATGCAGAAGGAAGCGGTGTTTTGGAGTGTCCCAGGTTACTTGAGCTGTTGGTGAGTATATCCAGTCTAACTGTACCAGCATCAATCGAAACCTCCTTGCTGCATTCGTGTGTTACAATCTATAAACATAGTTACAATTGTTATGTATAGGGCCGACTCGTAACGAACATTTACCTATTGCCTATCCATAGCTGACCGATGAACGTCCAGAAGATGACGGTTCTACAGTTCGGCAGATGAAAGAATACAACACGCCATCAACAGGTTGTTTGGACTGGAAGTGGATCAACCACTGACCATTATGCCATTCCTGCGCTACCTACCGGGACCTCTCAAAACGAAGTGCGACAAGGCGAAATCTTGTATAGAAACACTGTACGCATCGATATATGAGAACGTGAAGGTGACCTGGATAATTAATCACGATTTTTAACTTTGAATAAACTTTTTCTTGAGGTTATTGAGAGGCATATAGAAGTTGATATTCAAGTATAAGACAACATATTATGGATGTCAACTTTTATTCTATACACGACATTTCTGGGCTTTTCCTTGCCCCTTCGTCAGGTGAATGACCTTTACGAAGGGGCAAGGAAAAGCCCAGAAACTTGAATAAAGAAAGTTCTTGAGAGGCATTTAGAAGTTGGTGTTCAAGTAATACGCAAATATTATGGATGACAACTTCTTTATTGTATGTCATAACGTTTCTGGGCTATTCCTTGCCCCTTCGTCAGGAGAATTGTGAATAAGAAGAATATAGAATAAAGAAGAAGTTGACATCCATAATATTTTGTCTTAAACTTTTTCTTTTTTCCTATTTGAAATATTAGGATATTAGGTTTTTCTATTATGAATTATGTTTCGTTACGTTATACTAGATTTGCTAGATAAAAAGTCGTCTCTTAAGTGATAGGTGAATATGATCTAACACCATGACGACGTGTGAAGAAAACACGAAGTGATGCAGGTATTAGACGTTCACCGCATTGTTGACGTCCATGAACACGTTGTTAAAACGGGCAAAATGAATCTGGGTGAACCAGGATTTGAGGCCACTATCATAGGATCCGGGAACTCTGAAGGCGCTCAGCTCTCTTTCCCCACAAATTCACCCTTCAGAATGTAGGCTGTTATGGTTCAAAAGCATCTCCTCAAGAATACGCTCTCTGGATAGTTAAATATGTTGTTGGTGTTTTGTTTTTTGTAAGAACGCGACACCGAAAGAAATTTATCATTTACGTGAATTACCATGTGAAAAAAATGTAATTTTAGCTGCACTTTAAATGTTAGGTCATTGAATGGCACTTGGAAGTGATACACACGAGGGAGAGAATTTTATGGATGTCAACCTCTTTAATATGAGGAACACAACGTTTCGGAGTATAACCTTCATCAAACGTTGTGTTTCCTCATTAAAGGAAGATGACCTTTCCACACTTGAAATATGTATAGGGAACTAAAGAGGACATCAAGGCTGCGCTCAACGATGTATGACGATATGTATGTTTCTGAGTGTGCCTCAACGATGTATGACGATATGTATGTTTCTGAGTGTGCCTCAACGATGTATGACGATATGTATGTTACTGCGTGTGCCTCAACGATGTATGACGATATGTATGTTTCTGAGTGTGCCTCAACGATGTATGACGATATGTATGTTTCTGAGTGTGCCTCAACGATGTATGACGATATGTATGTTTCTGAGTGTGGTTCAACGATGTATGACGATATGTATGTTTCTGAGTGTGCCTCAACGGTGTATGACGATATGTATGTTTCTGAGTGTGCCTCAACGGTGTATGACGATATGTATGTTTCTGAGTGTGCCTCAACGGTGTATGACGATATGTATGTTTCTGAGTGTGTGCCTCAACGGTGTATGACGATATGTATGTTTCTGAGTGTGCCTCAACGGTGTATGACGATATGTATGTTTCAAGTGTGCCTCAACGTGTATTACGATATGTATGTTTCTGAGTGTGCCTCAACGGTGCATGACGATATGTATGTTTCTGTGACGAGTGTGCCTCAACGGTGTATGACGATATGTATGTTTCTGAGTGTGCCTCAACGGTGCATGACGATATGTATGTTTCTGAGTGTGCCTCAACGGTGTATGACGATATGTATGTTTCTGAGTGTGCCTCAACGGTGTATGACGATATGTATGTTTCTGAGTGTGCCTCAACGGTGTATGACGATATGTATGTTTCTAAGTGTGCCTCAACGATGCATGACGATATGTATGTTTCTGAGTGTGCCTCAACGATGTATGACGATATGTATGTTTCTGAGTGTGCCTCAACGATGCATGACGATATGTATGTTTCTGAGTGTGCCTCAACGATGTATGACGATATGTATGTTTCTGAGTGTGCCTCAACGGTGTATGACGATATGTATGTTTCTGAGTGTGTGCCTCAACGATATGTATGACGATATGTATGTATGACGATATGTATGTTTCTGGTGTGCCTCCTCAACGGTGCATGACGATATGTATGTTTCTGAGTGTGCCTCAACGGTGTATGACGATATGTATGTTTCTGAGTGTGCCTCAACGGTGCATGACGATATGTATGTTTCTGAGTGTGCCTCAACGGTGTATGACGATATGTATGTTTCTGAGTGTGCCTCAACGGTGCATGACGATATGTATGTTTCTGAGTGTGCCTCAACGGTGCCTCAGCGATTGTATGACGATATGTATTACGATATGTATGTTTCTGAGTGTGCCTCAACGGTGCATGACGATATGTATGTTTCTGAGTGTGCCTCAACGGTGTATGACGATATGTATGTTTCTGAGTGTGCCTCAACGGTGTATTACGATATGTATGTTTCTGAGTGTGCCTCAACGGTGTATGACGATATGTATGTTTCTGAGTGTGCCTCAACGATGCATGACGATATGTATGTTTCTGAGTGTGCCTCAACGGTGTATGACGATATGTATGTTTCTGAGTGTGCCTCAACGGTGTATGACGATATGTATGTTTCTGAGTGTGCCTCAACGATGTATGACGATATGTATGTTTCTGAATGTGGTTCAACGATGTATGACGATGTGTATGTTTCTGAGTGTGCCTCAACGATGCTTGACGATATGTATGTTACTGAGTGTGCCCCAACGATGTATGACGATATGTATGTTACTGCGTGCGCCTCAACGATGTATGACGATATGTATGTTTCTGAGTGTGCCCCAACGATGTAAGACGATATGTATGTTACTGAATGTGCCTCAACGATGTATGACGATTTGTATGTTTCTGAGTGTGCCTCAACGATGTATGACGATATGTATGTTACTGCGTGTGCTCCAACGATGTAAGACGATATGTATGTTACTGAATGTGCCTCAGCGATGTATGACGATTTGTATGTTTCTGAGTGTGCCCCAATGATGTATGACGATATGTATGTTACTGAATGTGCCTCAACGATGTATGACGATATGTATGTTTCTGAGTGTGCGTCAACGATGTATGACGATATGTATGTTACTGCGCGTGCCCCAACGATGTATGACGATATGTATGTTACTGCGTGTGCCTCAACGATGCATGACGATATGTATGTTACTGCTTGTGCCCCAACGATGCATGACGATATGTATGTTACTGAATGTGCAATGCTCCGTTTGTTTCCTGTGGCCTGCTCATTACTAACTACTTTTAAATTACTAATTGTTTTAAGGCCAAGTACACCCCCGGTGAGCCACGTGGTTTGATTCAAGCTGCCTTAGAAACCCAACACAATATGAGCGACAAATCCAAGATGGCGGACGATCACATACGTTTCATAATGTTGGAAATAATCTCAGCTGGTAAGTCAAATGAAGAACTATAAGTGTTTACAAATCCGAGATGGCGGATGATCGCACCCGTTTCATATTGGTAGATGTAGCAATAATCTCAGGTGGTAAGTCAAATAAAGAACTTAAAGACTAAAAGTGTTTACTAATCCAAGATGGCGGATGATCACATCCGTTTCATGATGTTAGAAATAATCTCAACCTTTAAGTTATTTAAAGAACTATTAGTGTTTACTCTTTTGACGTTTCTATTGAATAAATGTGCATATAATATTGTTGGACTTAATGAGTGTTAATGCCTTCATTTGGGATATTTGTGTCCCGAAAAAGGACGCAAGTGCCGTTAGGCGGAGTGTTGTTTTCAAGAGGAAATATGCTGCATGGTCCTGGAACTAATTCTGAGAGTGTATGTATTTATGTAATTGCGTGCGTGCGTATGTGTGTTTCTGTATAGGTGTGCCTGTGTCCTGTTTATGATGAACATTCAAGTGTTACTTTGTGTTTATGATGCACGTGTGTAACTGAGAAACTCACTCAGTACAGTGATGACACTCATGTGTCTCCACCCGCAGGATATCTAACAACGAGAGGAACGCTTCTTGGAATCTTCATGGCCTTGGTGGAACATCCTGAACTGCAAGACACGCTGTACCAACACATCAAGGATAGCATAGGTGACCGAAAGGTCAAGGTCGAGGACAGAGGGTCACTTCCGTTTGTCGATGCCATGGTACTAGAAGCCGTCCGTTACCTAACCCACGGGCCGGTATCCCTACCCCATAGGACCAACAAGGACATGGAGATAGACGGCTATAGGATTCCCAAGGATTCAATTGTAAGGTCTTGGTAGCACATCTATGTGTGGTGTTCGTGTTCTCTGACATACGTTGAGCGAATCTCTGTTTCTTTCCGGCCTACTGAATCATGTGAACGTATTCGAAAATATCCAACTACAGCTACACCATGTTTCAAATGAAGTAACAATGAATACTGCGGTTCACATTTTAGAAAAACTATAGTATTAATGATTCACCTGACAAAGCTATTGCATCTGTATTGGCACATAGCATTGGTAAAGTTACAATGAATAATGTGATTCACATTTTAGAAATTATAGTATTAATGATTCACCTGATAAAGCTATGGCATCTGTATTGGCACATGGCATTGGTAAAGTAACAATGAATAATGTGATTCACATTTTAGAAATTATAGTATTAAGCGGATTCACATTTTAGAAACTATAGTATTATTGGCACATGTCATTGGTAAAGTAGCAATGAATGATTCACCTGACATTCCCCTGATAAAGCTATTGCATCTGTATGGCATCATTGTAACAATGAATGGCACACATTTTGAAATTGGTGAAAGTAACTATTGCATCTGTATTGGCACATGTCATTGGTAAAGTAGCAATGAATAATGTGATTCACATTTTAGAAATTATAGTATTAATGATTCCCCTGATAAAGCTATTGCATCTGTATTGGCACATGGCATTGGTAAAGTAACAATGAATAATGTGATTCACATTTTAGAAATTATAGTATTAATGATTCCCTGATAAAGCTATTGCATCTGTATTGGCACACTGCATTGGTAAAGTAACAATGAATAATGTGATTCACATTTTAGAAACTATAGTATTAATGATTCACCTGACAAAGCTATGGCATCTGTATTGGCACATAGCATTGGTAAAGGAAAAACGTTTACAAAATATTGTCAACTCTGTCCACAACTGTAAATAGACAAATGTATTTTGCCGAATTACACACATTGTACGCATGTGGGGAATCGAACCCGGGTCTTCGGCGTGACCAGCGAACGCTTGAACCACTTAATTGGCTACCCACCGCCCCCTTCTTGGAGGATTTTTGTTACTTTGTTACATATGACACACCAACGTGAATATCCCAGGTCTCGGCGCAATTTTTGATTATATACGTTAAATAATTTTACATTGGTCAATTCGTCATTTACAGCTTCTGTCAAATTTCTGGTCAATGGCACATAATGAGAAGGTCTGGGACTCCCCTTGGGTATTTCGACCCCAGCGTTTCCTTGACGACCAAGGTAACCTGCTACCACCAGATCACCCAGTACGGCAACGGTAAATCTCTACATTGTGGTCACTTTTCCTTAGCTTGGGGAGCAGGAAGGGGACGGGCTAATTATTTGGGAAGCATGTTAACCGGTTCGAATCCCTTCACTGTAAATATTATGTACCCGTTCCCCCACCCCATGTATCTGCTATGTGACTAAGGTTACGTGTTATTTTAATACTCTCATTTGTCTGAGTGAGTGAGTGAGTGAGTATGGTTTTACGTCGCTTTTTGCAATATTCCAGCAATATTTTACGGCGGGGGACACCAGAAATGGGCTCCACACATTGTACCCATGTGGGGAATCGAACCCAGGCCTTTAGCGTGACGAGCGGACGCTTTAACCATTAGGCTACCCCACCGCCCTTCTCATTTGCCTGACAACACAAGGATCATATTTACGAATCACCAATGACAAGGATCATCATTAAAAGAACCAAAGAGAACTTCTGTATGTAGATGGTCTAGAGGATAAAGCATCAGCCCGGAGTGTTAAGGTCGGTGGTTTGTTTAATTAATACCCAAAGACGCTATGGTGCTTCTTGTAACCCTGGCGATTGGTATTAAGGGAATGACGCAGTCGCCTGGGAGACAGTATACCAGTTTTGATTTTGCTTCTATATGGATTTGTCGCTGCTGAATTTTCACATTGGACTTCACTCCAACATCAAGCTGCCATATGTGTCAACTTGAGTGTAATATTGTCTAAAACTTTTATTTTTTATTTTCAACAGCATCAGATCGAATATCAAATGGTCAGTTCCTAAGATTCTATTTTCTGTTGTCACAGGTTTTTACCATTTGGCGTAGGAAAACGACAATGCCCCGGTGAAGTGTTTGCCAAAACGAGGATGTTTCTGTTAATAACCACTTTGGTCCAGCATTTCAAGTTTCTACCGCCAGAGGGCGGAATGACGTCATCTTCCGATGCGAGAACCTGGTCACCAGGTTTAATTCTTCAACCAGAGAAGGTCTTGTGCAAGGTAGAAGTGAGGGATGCCTGTCCGCTGCTTCAGTGAAAGCATTCAAGTGCGTTAATGATACAGCTGTAACGATATATCGTAGTATCGATAATCGTGATACTTTATCTGACGATAAATAGATCGATACGTTTTTTCGTATCGTGATATGTATCGTTGACCTTAAAATTGTTAATTTTCATTAGATATTGACGGTTATTGTCCAAATCTACACTGCGACTTGCAATTATATGATGATTTTTTAAAGAAAATAACTAAAGATTCCATATTGTGATATGCATCGAATCGTATCGTTCCAAGATATGGCGATACGTATCGTGAATTTCTGTATCGTCACACCTCTAGATAATGAGTATATTCAGCGAAAATCGATTCTATATCTCAGAGAATGCAAGGGCATTTACATCCAGACACAACAGTTGTTAGTTCAGACAGATAAAATATGTGGTCTTTACTTAAGCGAAGAGGTTGTCTATACATACAAATGTTAGTATGTATGTATGTATGTATGTCTACTTCGGTGAAAACATGTGTCGACCTATGTGTACATGCGTTTGCCGAAGTGAATACTCCTGTCTGCTTTAACTAATCGATTTCAGTGAATGTTTTGTCTACTTCAGTGAGTACACCGTGTCTACTTCAGTGAATACGTTGTCTAATTCAGTGAAAACATTTGTCTACCTAATACACATGCGTCCACCGAAGTGAATACACGTGTCTGCTTTAGCTAATACACGTGTCTACTTCAGTGAATACATGTGTGTAGTTGGTTGAGTATATGTGTCGACATATGAATACATGTGTCTCATTACCTCAGTAAAACCACGTGTCAACTTCGTGAGTTCGTTGTCTACTTCAATAAATACTTGTCTACTTCTGTGAATATTCAGTTCAGTTTTTTTATTGCATGAAAGGCCATGTACCCATTTAAAAGGAGTTACATAGTACCATTACCAAATGTCAGCTAATTTCGTGTATCAGTTTATTTCTTAACACAGAACATAATATGAATAAATAGAACTACTCCTTGTGGTTTTAAAGGTTCATTGCAATTGTAAATACTTATTTCGTAAATACCTAATACACACTCCTCATAGACTCGAGGGGCCATGGAGTAGCCTAGTTGTTATAAAGCGTTTTCTTCTCCAGTCGAAGACCCGGGTTTGATTCCCACATGGGTACAATGTTAGGGCTGCAATGATTCACGCAGACCTCGATTCGATTCGATTTTAGATATTGGACCCTCGATTCGATCATTTTCGATTCGATTCTTCATAAAAGTAAATAGATCAGATTTCATTTAACTCTCAGAGTTTATTAAACAAAGCATATCCCACTGAAAACCTTTCCCAAGATTTGACTAGGGAATCAGGAGTGTAAATGACGTAAACTTTTCCAAACAAATATAATATGTTTTAAGACAGAACAGCACTTAAATATCGAATCGAAATAGTGATACTGGTTATCGAAAATCTGAAACTAAGGTGTCAGATTCGATCTTCGATTAATCTAACCAAATCGTTGCAGCCCTATACAATGTGTGAAGCCAATGTGTGTGTCCCTCGTCGTGAATATTGCTAAACGCGGCGTAAAACCATGTTCACTCACTCGATAAACTGGAGGAATCTCCCTGCTTGTGTCACAGTCATCGATGAAAACACTGATGGAAGAGGCAGGTTGGAGTATTTTACGGTTAAAGTGGTTTGGTTTTGATAATGGTGAACTGTAGTGTAGGGGTTACCTCCCTTGAAATAGATATATACTCATGGAAACGAGTAAGGGAACACATGAAAGTACAAGTGTTCCTTTATTAGTTTCCAGGTTTCTTCACAAGGTATGTATTGCACTGTGGGTGAAATTCTGGAAATATATACAGGAACACTTGTACTTTCATGTGTTCCCTTATTCGCTTCCATGAGTATATTAAAGACTGGGCATCACTTTACCAGTTCTCTTTTCTTTCTGTTTGTTTTCTAAAGCCACACCCGGCAGCATTCCAGCTATATGGCGGTGGTCTGTACATAATCGAGCCTGGACCAAACAATCCAGTGATCAACAGCATGAGCATCGATCTGCGCAATTGGGAACCGATGACATGTGTCAACCAAGTCAGCAAGCCTGACCTCCCGATCCCGTTCGTTGCCTCTTACGACAAGCATGGGTTGCTGAAGACCAATTCTAACCCGGATCTCCACTTGTCCTTACCAGTTCTGAAAACAGTCAAGTAATTACGAAATTGTAGTTAAATACTGTCAGTCTTTCCGGCAGCTACTCCAGGTTTCATCTCGATAGCTCTGATGGTCGTGCCAGGGTACAAGCGTCCAGGAGAACGCGTTCCATCGACGTTGGAGTTAGAATTGTAATCGGATGGGATGGCATCGCAACTCATGTGATAAAACCCCCTCATCATTGTTAAAAGCAGGTTAGATAACGTTTCAGAATGGACAAAACCTTCGGGTCCCATGCGTGTACTTTAGCTAACACATGTGTCTACTTCAGTCAATTTCAGCTTATTATCCTCGCCTGTATAAACGCTAATGGTGGCCACACCCAACATCGACTTACCGCACTGAGTTGGTGAACCACGCATGTATGGTTTTGTCAACAATTAACATGTTATGGTGAAAAATGTCATTAAAATGTTATAAAAATCATTGATCAGCCAAATCACCAATTATTGTGTTTCCAATAACATAACACTTACTCCACTTTGTAGGACGTACAGTGAAGCTTGTCGGTTTTTACGTTGGTAATATCAGGGGCGGTGGGGTATCTAGTGATCAGAGCGTTCGCTCGTCACGCCGAAGACCCGGGTTCGATTCCCCGCATGGGTACAATGTGTGAAGTCAATTCTGGTGTCACCCGCCGTGATTGCGGGAATATTGCTAAAAGCGGCGTAACACCATACTCACTCACTCACTCAGTAATATCAAAGTAACGTCACACGGGATATGTGCTGGAAATGACTGCCACCGATTCTAATTGCTTAGATAAACAGATTATTTGTCAAGAGGTGTAAGATATCCTCCCCGTCTCTTGCAATAAGACACCAAACAGCCATGGCGTCAAAGATATTAAAGTAGGTCAGCATTTTAGCAGCTGGCTTATTAGCAAAGAGAATGTTTGGTTTGGCGTTCAACGCCGCACTCAGCAATATTCCAGCGGCGGTCTGGAATATTTCCTGAATGCGGCGCAAAACAACAAACCATAAAACCTTTCATATATTATCAAGATAATTTTGTTTGTTATTTCCCCCGCAAACTAATAATTTCAGAGACTATCGTTAGTTAGTAGTCTCGGGGCGTATATGCAGTGTAAGTATGATATGTTAATATACATTCTGTTTCGTGGATATATTTCTGTTTTCAGTAGACCCGTGAAGGTCCGGGGTTGAGTGAACCTTCAGTAACCCATGCTTGTCGTAAGAGGTGACTAACGGGATCAGGTAGTCAGGCTCGCTGGCTTGGTTCCCAATTGCGCAGATCGATGCTCATGCTGTTGATCACTGGATTGTCAGGTCCAGGCTTGATTTTTTACAAACCGCCGCCATATAGCTGGAATATTGCTGAGTGCGGCGTATAACTAAACTCACTCACTCACTCTGTTTTCAGTAGAGTTTGAAAGACTTATGGGTATTATGAACTTACGTACAAAAGTTTGTACACAACACGTATACCAAGTGGCAGCCGCGGTGGCTGAGCGGGTTAGGCGGCTGACTTTGTGTGCTGGGAATTAGGCGCCAGACTCTGAGGGTGTGGATGGGACTCAACCCAACAAAAAGTACTAGAATCTGTAATTAACTAAGAAAGTGTAATCCCAAATATTACATATGTTACGTATACAATGTTTATAACCTGTTAGTCACAATCAAAACACTTTTCAAAACATTCACTTTGCATGGCGTAAATAATCTCAAAACCCTTGCGTGTACTCTCTGTTGCACGTCACTTTAGCAAAGGGTAAAAAGCTTCAGACACAATCGATGAATATAAACAGAAAATTCAGAATTACTTCGGCTAAAAAATGAAAGAGACATGAACATTGATCTAATTAAACTACACAACTCCTACATTCACTAATCCCATGAACTTACCTTTAAAAAAAGGACCGCCTTCGTGGTGTAGTGGTTAGAGCCTCCGTCCGGAGAGCGGAAGGTCGCGGGTTCGATTCCCGGCCAGCTTCAATCAAAAGAGATTAAAACATGGTACTTGTTGGTCCCTGCCTGGCGGTCGGCATTAATGGGTACAACAAGGACTGGTCGGCTCGGAGTCAGTATTATGTGTCTGAGTAGGGTATTCATGCTTAAAGGTCACATGCAACGTAAAACACAACTTTGCAGATTCTGATACCTTTCGGTTTGGACTTACCGAAACAAATCGCCAACCCTGTCTCACCCCACTGTATCATTTCTGACTTTTATACCACTGTTTCCATCTGTTATTACACAACCGGTAAATTCCGTTGACATACGACTCCTGGCTGAACAGAACGATACAGGACGGAACGACATGCGTGACGACAGAGTTTAGAAATGCATGCACCGTCATCTGCCCCCGACTACAGCGTAACTACGTTCACTGTGTGCATTCCGTACAGACATGAACAGCTCAAGTAGGGTCAGAACAGGGCTGTATATCATTGCAGTGTTGATTAGACACACTAGATCAAACTCTAGACAATCTATAGCAGTATCAAAGTCTATACGTAAAACTGTCTATATGTATATAACGGTTTTAAAAAGTGGTCGACTTATGAATATTAATCGACATCCTCTCCAAAAATAAAGTTAAACCCATGAATATTTCGTCCTCAAAACAAAACTTCATGACCGGTTGTACTTGTATAGTATCGTTAAAGGTCACATGCAACGTAAAACACAACTTTGCAGATTCTGATACCTTTCGGTTTGGACTTACCGAAACAAATCGTCAAAAATGCAAATTCAACAAAGTTGAAAAATAACGCGATGAAAAAAAACGCGCGAAATCGGAGTTCAAACGTTTCACTAATTTTCCCCCGACTTTTCCGGGGAAAACGGGTTTCAACAGCTGGGCTGCGCTCATAGCACGTGCGCAGTGAAATAGGTTCGCGCAGCTTGGAAGCGGGTTGTCCGGTGAATACTCGGTGAAGGCTTTGGTGTGAGCTATTTTTCTAATGTTTTGTTGATATCTCACAGGCGCGAGCTTTTTATATGTTATGACAGTAAATAAACTGTCTATTTCACCACACGTTCTTCTTACCGAGTCACTTTCTCAGTTCGATACTTAAAAGCAATGTCATTATTTAGCGTTGACACAATTTCTAACTGTGATATAGATATGTCGTTGTCACAGACAAAACTCAATGTCTTGTTTTATTGACACCTGTTTGTCTGCCTGCCTGTCTGCTAATGACAATATTCAATACACAGCTGCTATCACTGACCACATGCAATTTGAACTTAACACCAATCAGGCTATACACCATAAACAAAATGCATTGATTTATGGCCCGAGTTCGGTCTCTGTCACATTATGTAATTACACAGACAGGTAGGTGTGATACTTGAACACATGACATGTTATGATGTCTGTTGATTGCAAAATGTTATACACAAAAAATGAGCATGTATTTACAAAACCCAACATCTCTATATATACACACACAATAGCCGTCAGGGCATCTGCAAATGAACCAGCCGTTACACTTGAGTGCACACCCACCCGCTCTGACTGGGTTCTGTATCCCGGCTGCTTCGTTTCTTGGGAAGTAAACCGAAGTACACAATATTGCACTTTTGATTTGCGATTGTACGCTTATAATTTTGTTTATATGTTTTTTTCATAACCAGCAATGTAAATTATATGTCATGAATAAGTGATAATTGTGTTTTAATTTTGTTTGATTTTTTGGTTGCATGTAACCTTTAACTGCGGCATGGTATATCAGTGAGCTTGCACTATACCAGCTTAAGTCTTGGCTAGTACAAGCAGCCAAACATACACACGCATGTACGTCGTCATGTGAGCGAAATAATCTTAAGTGCGACGTTAAACTCAATTTCACCTCACCTCACCTTTAAATGAAAGGGTGGGTCACCCAGATTATCAGTGAGTGAATGTGGTTTTACGCCGCTTTTAGCAATATCCCAGCAATATCACGGCAAGCGACATAAAAAATGGGCTTCACACATTGTACCCATGTTGGACACCCTGATATATGGTTCTAGGTTTGTCAGCTAATATCGGTACTAGTGGCTTTATAGAAATGGTAAACATGGAATCAGTCTATTTAGAAAATGTGAAGACCGGATCCATTTATTAATAGAAAAATGACATATAAACACTGAATTGATATAACGACAAAATACATAGGGATAGGATAAGATCAGATTATAAACTAAGAGTGAGTGAGTTTAGTTCTACGCCGCTTTTAGCAACATTTCAGCAAAATCCCGACAGGTACACCCAAAATGGGTTTCACGCATTGTACCCATGTGGGGAATCAAACCGGGTCTTCGGCGTGACGAGCGAACGCTTTAACCACTGGACTACCTCACCGCCCCTTATAAACCTAGAACGAATTTAAAACACATATACTGGAACAAACACACTCACATATACCTACACATGTATATGTTTAAATAGTGATTTAATTGGAGATGGTGAGCTTCAGACAGATTGGAAACTGTATCGTGAAACCTGAAACTCGTCCGGCCATTGGGCTACAGATATGACCATTCGTGACCAACTCGTGTTATTCCGGGACAAGCCGAATAGTCTTCTTGGAGTTTACGGAAAGGGGCGAGTTGTGACGAATGAGATATGACACGACCGTCCTCATTAGTAAGTAACATAATACGAGGCTCGTCTGTGGTCCTTTACGCTGAACGCGAGAAACATGGCACATGCATTTTCAGCTTCGTGGACGATTTTCTTACTGTTTTGGATTGATGGCGTTTGGAATGCAGAAGTTGATCTGTGTAAGTATTTCCTGTGATGATGTTGTCAGGTCTTTGAATGGCATTTATAGAAGTGATATGCATAAGGAAGGGAAGTTTATGGACGTGAACTTCTTTATTATGAGGAACACAATGTTTCGGAGTGTATACTTCTTCCTTCATCGGGTGAACGTAATTCCAGCTATGTGAAGCATGGTATATAATCGAGTCTGCTCAAAAATTCCAGGAGTTGACTTCACGAGCATCGTAATGGTTGGGATGACGACATGCAAACAATCAAGTCAGCGAGCCACATCGCCCGATCTACTCAGTTTGTGCCATCAGTTTGTCCCTTATCGACACTTTCACATTTATGATTATCGAGCCGAATGTACGGGCTGGTTATGTAGTTTACACGAGAGTTCGTCACCCAAACTAGGTCTGTACTTGCAAATGAAAGATCTGTTACGTTTGACACAAGAGCTCGGGACGCTTGTGAATGTTTGAATGCATCCCTCGACTGTGTCCATTCATCGTCAAAAGTCCCAAGTGGCGCATATAGTATATATAGCTGATTGTATGACACTTAGTGATACATTATTGCTCTTATGTTACATGTCCCATAAACAAAGAAACTAGCGAACAATCCACAAAACTCGCACGCACGCACGCACGCACGCACGTACGCACGCACTTCAACGAATCTGTCTAAAAGTGTATATTCAATGAAGAACAATAACTGCGTTTGTCATAAGTTCGGATTAAGTACTATAAGGTCCCTTTTAAGACCACTAAAACTTTCTTATTGGAGAAAGAATATTTTAGACATCTTTGTGAAAATTATCGGAAGTGTCAGTTCTAGATGATGCTTTTATTACATTTAGTTTCTATTTATTTGGTTTTTATTTAAGTCGTGTTAAAGAAAAACAAAAGAGGTTGATAATCATAATAAACTGTACGCCACAGATCACATGAACTTAGTACATTTTCTTTTCGCAGTGATGAAAATGGGTCCTCATTATAACGCAACGGTTTATGATAAAGAGTCGTTAACCATGCAATATGAATAGTTAAATAAAATAGTGATTTTCATTATATACAACGCACAACACTGTAAAGGATATATGTTGTTATGGCAACATGTATACAATGTGTATGACTTGTAAATCACGATCCAAGCAAATTCAAAATAAATATATTTTATTATTATTTTCAAAATCACCCCGAAGCAGCGGGTGTGTACCATCTAGTACATCAGTCTCAGGGCGGACCCAGAGGGGAGGTGCGGGGTTGCAACGCACGCTCTCTCTCTCTCTCTCTCTCTCTCTCTCTCTCTCTCTCTCTCTCTCTCTCTCTCTCTCTCTCTCTCTCTCTCTCTCTCTCTCTCTCTCTCTCTCTCTCTCTCTCTCTCTCTCTCTCTCTCTCTCTCTCTCTCTCTCTCTCTCTCTCTCAAAACATCATCGCGACATTGCCTGAGCGCGATATTTCCTAATTTTTGCAATGTTATATACATATATATCAACCCATTATTATCAGCTATGTACTTGCATGATGCAAGCTACATCCATCTTTGAAATAATGACTATGTGTCTCGGGTAGATATAATCAACCAGTATCCGTTGCTGACAGTTATTGATAAATACGCGAACATAAAAGGTCAGGCAAGGTATTACGTCCTGAGTTTACAAACGAAATACAAATTAATGGAATAAATACTTACAATAATAACTTTCTAAGAAAGATATGTTACAAATGCTGGTATCCCTATTGCATAGATCGATGCTCATGCTGTTAATCACTGGATTGTCTTGTCCGACTCGATAATTTACAGACCGCCGCCAAAGAGCTGGAATATTGTTGAGTGCGGCGTAAAATTTAACTCACTCACTCTTCATTCTTTTTATCAAGCCAAGGTTGTTTGTCAATCCGGATGGGAACGATATGGCGCGGGAGAGTGTATCTGGCCGAGTGACACCACAGCAACATTCGATACTGCAGAAAAAGCGTGTGTATCGAGAAAGGGGGTCAACTGCTCACACTACTGAAGGAAGAAAAGGAAGAATTTGTGAACAGTAAGTGACACATCCGAGGATAAAGTGTACTTGTTTGTTTGTTGTTAAACAGTAAAAATAAAGTAACGGCACAAGGGGTGTGTGCTGGAATTGACTGCCACCGATTCTAATTGTTTAGATACACAGATTATTTGTTAAGAAGTGTAAGATATCCTCCCCGTCTCTTGCAATAAGACACCAAACAGCCATGGCGTCAAAGATATTAAGAGAGGTCAGCATTTTAGCAGCTGGCTCCATTAGCAAAGGGAATCCTTGATTTGGTTTGCGTGTTGTTTAATGCTGCTCTCCCATCGATCGAGTATCGATCTGAGTATCGATCTGCGCAATTGGGACCCGATGTAACTGCAGTTTCTTTTCCTTCAAGTAGTTTCCACAAAGAGATGGATTGTCAAGTTCTGACACAAGGGATGAGTGAGTGCGTGAGTTTAGTTTTACGCCTCACTCAGCAATATTCCAGCTATATGTCGGTGGTCTGTAAATAATCGAGTCTGGACCAGATCATCCAGTGATCAACAGCATGCGCATTTATCTACTCTGGTCTTCCAGAGTGACGCCCCATGTGATTATTACTTTAGGTCTTTGACCTTTGGGTTAGCGCTTGATCTCCCGCTGTTCATTACCATCTTGGTAAACTCGTACAGCGGACTGAACTTTATAGTCTTATTATGAGGGCGGTGGGGTAGCCTAGTGGTTAAAGCGTCCGCTCGCCACGCCGAAGACCCGGTTCGATTCCCCACATGGGTACATTGTGTGAAGCCCATTTCTGGTGTCCCCCGCCGTGATATTGCTGGAATATTGCTAAAGGCGGCGTAAAACCATACTTACTCACTCACTCACTCACTCACTTATTATGCACGTCTGTTTCAGATATAACGAGAAGAAAAGGTGAAGAATTCTGGATAGGCCTGTTCACTACATCAAGCTACTACAGTCCCCAACTCAGATGGAAACACGGAGCTCATGACAGTACTGGTGCAAGTATCCAAACATTTGTCATACAGTGGAAAGTGTTAGAACCGTCCTGTTAATAAACTGGATATCGGCCAATACCCAGTCTAAATAAACTTAGGCTCAGTATTATTCGTTACACTGCTATACTGGGTCTAACAAACCCTAGTGGAAGGTCATGTCAGCTAACCTTATGAATTGACCAATGAGAACACAGTTTACCAAATCGCGTACGTTAACATTCGCACATACGGATTGACCCTTTACCTCGTAAACTCGAACGATTCCGAATGCTATTTTTAGGCACATTCGTGACCAACTCGTGTTATTCCGGGTCTTCTTGAGTTTACGGAAAGGGGCGAGTGGTGACGAATGTTTTAGGCACGATCTCTTCCGAGTGATACACATTGGTGACGCCATTATACACAACAATGAGTAAACGGTCGCTGAAAATAGCGTTTTTGTCAATATTCCAGGATGTCATCTTGCGGAAATATAAGCTAATAGTACCCATGTCATCAGAAATCACTCTGTTTTATGCGGATTTTCGCTTGTTGAGAGATCAGTGTCAGCGACCGGGCAAGAGAAGGTTAGCTGACGCGACCTTCTACTAGGGTTTGTTAAACTCAGCATAGCAGTGTAACGAATAATACTTAGCCTAAGTTTACTTAGACTATAAGTTGTTCACTGGTCTCGAGGGGGACATGGGCTGATGTACCTTCGATGTTTGTTTATGTTCCCTGAGCCCGAAGGGCGAGGGGAACATGAAGAAACATCGAGGGTACATCAAAACCCATGGGCCCCGAGGGATCCGTGATCAACGTATTTATCTTACCGAACACCTCGATGGTAATTTTGAACTGTTTGAAGCACAGGTATCGGATCATAGTATGGAGTACCAGACGACAAGAAAAACAAATTTAGAGTTATCTCCCTTCCATCGATTTGCATTCGCAAAGCATGGGTAATTTTCGTACATCATACGTGATTCAATGTTATTCGAGATAAAGAATTACTACTACGAAGTACCAAATGAGTTCGGCATTCCCAGCGGGGTACAAAGAAAATGTTACTCGCTTGTAAGCGTACACTGAAAATAATAGAAGAGCGCTCAGCCAATCAGAACACGACATTTATGTGTGAGGGCAAGATAATGGCCAATACCGGCCGAAATATACCGTCCCAAAATTGCGATGTGTATCATCTATAATGTATCAAATCCGGACTTCCGGGTGACGGAATGTGGTAGGTATCTGGTGCTGTTTATAATTACTCCAGATGCACTTTATCATTCCATCTAATTTATTCCAGTAATCTGTTCTCATTAACACGCTGCTTTATGTTACCGAGTATTGCTAAAATAGGATTATACGAACTGTAACAATAGCCCCGTTACCATTTTCGTCTGTTAAATGAGCTCCACTCATAGTGCGTACGTGATTCGAGCCCTACCGTTGCAATGTGTGGAGAAGGCTGCGTCACATGTACTCGCTGTCACGCGACTGATATTGCCCTTAGTGCGACGTAACCTTAGCGCCCATTGGCCAAATAATTCGCCGGTGTCCTGTGACTGGGAGCAGGCCTTTGCCGTATAGGGCCTGTAAGTCTCGCGAATCGCTACTTCCGGTACTAAGCAGCTTCCCGGCTCCCTTGGCGCGCTCCAACTTGTGCGAGACGGGGCCCAGCTTACTTCCGGTACCAGGTTTCCGGTGACAAGCGTATATTCAAGAAGCAGTTCTGATTCCAAATTGCGCGTCTGCCAAATATGACTTTACTAGATCGGACAAAGTGTACAACAAGGCTTGGCTGTCATAGCTGTTGAAAGTCGTAATAGTTGGCTAATTTGGGGATGGTTAGATCAGAAATTTGTTATTCCTGCAAGCATTACCGGTTCCTTACTGTTAACTGTCAACCATGCAACCATTCAGAAAGGTATGCAACGTTGTTTGTCACCGGAAGTACTAGGGTCTCGCGAAGTGCCGTGACCTACTTACGGGCCCAATTTTTGGGTTAAAACTAGCGACTTCGCAGTACAGCGGCGAGCCTGACCACCCGGTCCCGTTAGTCGCCTTTTGCGACAAGCATGGGTTGCTGAAGACCAATTCTAACCCGGATTCCATGGGTTTCACTAACGGCAGTATGGTGTTGTTTCAGTCCGGTGTTGATGGGTCTGGATGTTAGGTAGGAAGACTACATATTTAGACCAATAAAAGATAAAACTACATTTGCTACAACTTTACCGGGTCTTTGTGTTGACTTTACATATCTGTATCGAAACGTCGCACTTACTAAATACCAGAAGTTGTTTTCCATAAAAAATGTCATTTAAAAAAGTGCCGAGTCAAACGTAAGAGCGTAGAACAAAAGATTATTAATTATTAAGAAACATACGTACTCCGTGTGTTCAGCTGTGGAAGTCCATGCATTGGTACAGTCATAAAATTCATGAAGCAAAGGGCAATCGTCGGAAAGCTGGGTGAGTGAGTTTAGTTTTACGCCGCACTCAGCAATATTCCAGCTTTATTCGTTTGTTTATCAACTCGCTGTGCGCAAGCGCGTGAAGATATCGACTGACATGCTTCCGGTTTGGTCGTATGTTTATCGATAGTGGGCTCCGAAGAAAACAAAAATCAAATCAAATATATAGTTTTATGTCGAATACAACTGATCCCAATTGAGTTATGAAACAGAGGTCGAGATTAGTTAAATAAATAGCTTAAGTTATGTTAACAAGCTCTTGCTTGTATAAAGACTTCTCACCACCACCGTCCTTCCTGCATATCCCCTTCTCACAACTAAACAAACACATCTCTGATGGAATTGCAACTAAAATAGGACATCAATTATTGAAAAGCAGAGGCAAGTGGAAGTATGTTCTCAGCTATGAACAGTTGTCACATCGTAAATAATTTTCATAACAGCTTTTATTTAGAGTGCATTTACACTATGGATAAACATATGACCAAACCGGAAGCATGTCAGTGGATATTTTCACACGCTCTGCGCATGCGCACAGCGAGTTGAAAAGTAATGTGAAACCAACGACTGGCGGCGGTCTGTAAATAATCGAGTCTGGACCAGACAATCCAGTGATCAACAGCATGAGCATCGATCTACGCCATTGGGAACCGATGACATGTGTCAGCCAAGGCAGCGAGCCTGACCACCCGGTCCCATTAGTTGCCTCTTCCGACAAGCATGGGTTACTGAAGATCAATTCTGCCCCGGATCTGGCAGTAGTGGCAATATATACAGACAAGCTAGGACTGCCACCACAAATGTGATCCGGAGATGTAAGAAGGTCTACTGTCTTCAGCAATTGCAGAGCATTAGTGATCAACAAAGAACTCATTTAAATTCATGAATAATCTTCTTGGAAAGACTCTCCCACAGACCTAGCTGATTCTTTCAATGTGTTTTTCTTGGAAAAGATCAGCAAGATTAGGCAAGACCTAACTCAGGTCCCCCAGGTGCACATGCTGGAGTTTACAGTTCAGTGGTGAACCTATGACTGACCTCACCTCTTTCCAGGAGAGTGCGGTACTGGACATTATTCGTTCATCCAAGTGGACTACATGTGCTTGAGGTCCTGCACCAACACAGCTTGTTCTGGATCATGTTGATATTCACCTCCCAACTATCACAAGCATAGTGAATAAGAGCCTTGAATCTGGAAGATTTACCACAATCTCCCGAACTGCAGTAGTTAAGCCTCTCTTAAAGAAGGACAACCTGGATTCAAAAATAACTTCAGGAATGTTCCCACTGTATCGAATCTCTCCTTTTTATCTAAAGTGGTTGAGAAAGCTGTTAATATCCACCTAAAGGCTCATCTTTCACACAACCATCTTCTCGGGGCATTTCAGTCCGCGTATCGCCAGTTCCACAGCACAGAAGCTGCGCTTCTGAAAGTCATAGATGATCTTCAACATGCTGTAGACCACAGGGGTTCGAATCACTGTTTGGACAATAATTTATAAAAATAAAAATCTAGATGTTTGCAACCGTATATTGTTTTTATATGTTATGAGTAACTTATATTTCAAATTTGAACGAAATCGGTCAAGAAATGGATTTCTTAGAAAATTCTCCCGCTACACTCATTACATAAAATACGGTTGCAAAAATCTAGATTTTATTTTTAACAATTATTGTCCAAACAGTGATTCGAACCCCTGTGCTGTAGACGAAGGAAATGTAGCTGCTTTGGTGACCTGTCCTCCGCCTTCGACACCATAAACCATGGTCTCCGGCTGAAAAGATTTCAGTATCACGATGGTATCAAGGACTCGGCCTTGCGCTGAATTTCCGCGTATCTCGAAGACAGAACACAGTTCATCACGATAGAGGATGCCAGATCAAGTAACTATATTCTTGAGCATGGTGTGCAAGGTTCTGTACTTGGTCCTGTGTTGTTTGTCCTCTACACCGGCAGTATTTCTAATATTTCCAAACACTGTCTACAGTCCAACTCGCGAAATTCGCTCACAGCAGCAAAATCTTCTCACAGTGTCTAACTACAAACTTAAAACCTTTGGCTACAGAACGTTCTCCTACATTGACCCTGTCTTGTGGTGCTCTCTCCCCCTTGACCTGAGACTCTGAATCTCTGGACTCTTTTAAATCAAATCTCAAAACCTACCTCTTTGCTGAATATTATCATAAACAGCCTTTCTAAATTTGTATGTATTATGCATCTATTCCATTGTAGTATATATTATGTATGTATTTTAATTGTAGCGCCATTACAAATGCGCACTATTAAAATAATTCAACAAAAATCAAAGTTTGTGACTGCTTACTGATTGAAATTCAAAGTTACACCCCCTTCTGCATAATATTTAAGCAGAATCTTTTTTAATAGTTATATAAACTGAGGGGCAAAAGAAACGTCCCCGATCATTTTTGTATCATAAAATGATACAAACACGTGCAATTCAATGTTGAAATGTTTGATATAATTTTTGAACATATTATGCAGACTGTCATTACAGAACAATTGAAACAATTTGCTGTAAGTAGAGTTTTTGTGACGTTTTTCACAGGAGGTTCAAATGTCCGGTTTTCGATCATGACAACACATGCACATCAGTACTGACAGAGTGTCTTTGAGTGTCCAACTCCTCAGTAGCGAGTGTGTCCACCTCTTGCAGCGATACATGCTGCCACACGACGTCGTGCAGAGTGCACAAGACGTCTGATCACGTGATGTGGGATGCGACGCCATTCTTCCTGTAGAGCTTGAGCCAAAGCGTTTCTTGTCTGTGGGGATGTTGACGTTGCTTCACCTGACGGCCGAGATGATCCCATAGGTGCTCAATAGGTGATAAATCGGGGATCTTGCTGGCCAAGGAATGACGTTTACGTTGTTGTTGTTCAGGAAGTTCCGGGTAACAACAGCAGTGTGGGGAGTAGCGTTATCCTGCTGAAACAACACGCCTCGATTCTGCTGGAGGAAGGGTAACACGACAGGTCGTAAACAACATCAATGTATCGACGGGCATTCAGGTTTCCCTCTATCACCAACAAGTCAGTCTTCCTCTCGCCACAAATTCCCCACACCATCACACTACCGCCGCCAAACGTCTCAACTTCCTGAACGCAACAACGTGCTGTGCGTTCGTTCCGACGTCTGTAGACTCGTACCCGACCATCAGCTTTGTTCAACTGGAAGCGGCTCTCGTCACTGAAGAGTACCCGGCGCCAGTTCCGCGGCTGCCACTGCCGAACTCTACGTGCCCAAGCCAATCGACGACGTCGATGTTCACGCGTTAACGTCACGCCCCGGAATGGTCTGTAGGCTCTGATACCGAATCGGCGGAGTCGTCTGGATATGGTCCTTCTACTGACTGGATGGGTAAGGCTGGTTGTTGCTGATGACGTCACAGTCAGGAATCTGTTGCGCAAGTGAAGCACCCGTAAATGGCGGTCTTCCTGAGGGGTGGTTACGGGTGGTCTCCTGTCCTAGGCCTGTCTGCAGTCCGACCTGTTGTTCTGAAGCGTGTCATCAGTCTGGTGATGGTTTCTTGCTGCAACCCATGATTCTTGCAACGTGACTGTGAGAAGCACCCAGCTGCAACATCCCAATAGCTCGTTCTCTCTGTTCTGCCGTGAGTCGAGGCATGTTCTTTGTGTCCAACGTATTGAAGTGATGAATTCGAACAGTCGAGCATAATTTTATACTGTACTTTCATACGGGTATGTTTCCACAGAAGCATGCAAAAACGTGAATAAAAGCAATTTTCATGCTTACAAAAACTCCACGTGGATTTCCTTTCTGTGAGACGTGGGGATGCGTTCGGGAGATGTGTTCCTAAATAAATTTCCGTCATAACGAAAACAGAAGAAATGTTTTTACAATTTTACTTTGGGGACGTTTCTTTGCCCCTCAGTTTATGTTTCCCCAATAGTGTTTAAGATATGGGTGTCTAAGTTTTGGGAGACAATTTCTTTTCAAAACTTAGCAAACCTTTATGATACGAGGCGTAAATGGGCCTAGTTGCCCGGACATCTATTAAACTTTAAATGGCCTTACAAACCGTTGCTTCAAGAGTACACGGTCCTTGTGTTTATATAATCATATATATCCACAGTTAAGCTACTCCAACTTTGTGGGCAGTTACGTCATGAACACATGCGGCTACCTCGGCAGTGCCAACAACAGATGGTTGAACACACAGACATGCAGTGAGGAGAGGAAATTCATCTGTCAAAAACCCAGTGGTGAGATTACCATTCTTGTTGATTGTTGTTTAACGTCGCACTCAGCAATAATCCAGCTGTATGGCGTCGGTCTGTAAATAATCGATTCTGTACTAGACAATCCAGTGATCAACAGCATGAGCATCGTTCTACGCAATTGGGATACGATGACATGTGTCAACCAAGTCAGCAAACCAGACCACCCGATCCCGTAAGTCGCCTCTTACGACAAGCATGGGCTGCTGAAGACCAATTCTATCCAGGATCTTCAAGGGTTTACCTTTCTTGAAACGTCTTGATGTTACATGAACATACGAGCGACATCACCAGACATCACTTGAAATCATTCCAGTTGTGTCACTTAAAAGCGTAGCTTAAGAGGGGGCAATCGAGCACCTACAAAGACTTACGTTATCGTGAAGGAAAGAAAAGGTACATAGCAGTTTTCACAAGCAATGAAATGAAATACTCGGGTTGAATCTAGTCAACCCTGGTGACAGACATGTACGGTTGACTCGGGTTACGCAAACTTAAGTTTTGTTTGTTTGGTTGTTTGTTTAACGCGCCACGCTGCATAATGGTTGACTAGACTTAGCAAATAAATAATGATGGCTATTTATGAAGAGCCTGGTTCCACGCACTTGTGCACGCTCAAGGCGCTAACACACTATTACTCCTTATAACCCGAGCTGCCTGTGATGTGCTAGAACCAACCGCCATATGACTTATCCCTCCGGGTACCCATCTACTGCTAAGTGTACAGAAGCAATTTATGACCAAACTCACTTGCCTTGGGTGAGACCACATGTACTTCGTTGTGGGACAGGACTGATGTCCAATAAACTCTCAGGCGTCAAGCTGTCAAACACGGTCATCCATCCAAGGGTTGTCCGCGACCAACGCCGCCTAACGTCAACTATATTCTTCAAACCATGTAGGGGAACCTGAACTTTAAATTTGGGATAGGAAGTATAAGCGTAAACAAACTTTCAAAGACAGACATCTTATGAACGCACCACCATTTCTCTTCATCGTCACGCCAGTTTGATATCTAAATATGTACTGTCATAGACTTTACTGTCTTTCGCTCGGTCAGATACCATAGGAAGGACACTCGTTTCGTATAATTGGTATGTAATGAGACCTCGTGTAGTATTCTCTATATATCACTTTGTCATGGTGGCGTGACGTCATGAACAAGGCTATGACGTCACGTTTCCTCTGTGACGTTGCGTTCTACATGCGGCGACGGCGGGTAGCCAGCCTGTGTTTGAAAGTAGATTTGGGTTTATTTCCCTCAATTTAACGACTTCAGTAATAAACATAATATCATATTCGTGCCCATATTATACTATGTTTACGACATGGGCACTCATATAATATCCTCTATGTAGACTATTAGTTTTGACGATCATCTTGTAGTACACATTTGTTATTGATTGACTCCGATATATCTCCCATATTTTCTATCGTAAATGAAAATAAAGTTCCCCTACATTTTGGAGGAGTATAATTTGCCACCTGGGCTCTGTGCACAGGAAGACCGCCTCCGTGGTGTAGTGGTTAGACCGTCCGCCCGGAGAGCGGAAGGTCGCGAGTTCGATCCCCGACCGCGTCATACCAAAAAAGACGTTAAAATATGGTACTTGTTGGTCCCTGCCTGGCGCTCGGCATTAATGGGTACAACAAGGACTGGTCGGCTCGGAGTCAGTATAATGTGTCTGAGTGGGGTATTCATGCTTCACTGCGGCATGGTATCTCAGTGGGCTAGCACTATAAAACCAGCTTAAGTCTGGGCTAGTACAAGCAGCCGCACATACACATGCATGCACGTCGTCATATGAGCGAAATATTCTCAAGCACGACGTAAAACCCAATTTCACCTCACCTCACCTGTGCACAGGACCGGACAGGACCACACATCCCACCAAGCATTCTGTTATTGTGATATGCCAATCTGTTCCCGTTCCAGCGTGCATAAAAGGATGGTTTGGTGCGAGTTGCGATATGCAGTGCCATTGCCTTGAAGAAAACTGTCCAAGAACTACAGGACAGTGTTCACTGGGGTGTCAGATCGGTTGGCATGGATCGCGATGTAACCACCGTACGTATTGTCCTTCGTTTTAAAATCGGAAAAAAAGGTTTCTTCTTAACATGAGCTTGACCAATAAAGAGTGAGTGAGTGAGTTTAGTTGTAGGCCGCCGTTAGCATTATTCCGGGAATATCACAGACTCCAGAGATTTAACTGTAAAGAAGTAACACCACGGCTGTTTGCAGTACTCATAAGTAACACCATCCTCGGCAGTATAGGGTATAATTATGTCATAAGGGTGGCTAAAGAAGGATGAATTAAGAGGACGTTAGACATCAACAGAGGTGTAGCTGTAATACGGTTGAAAGACCATCCACATCCATGGAGAATGCATGTCATAGTCAATACAAGATGAACATCAATGTGCAAAATTGTTGCACGCCAGAAATCCCGAATCCCAGTTCGCCCCGAATATGTTACTAGGTATGGCAGCACCAGACCCATGTTTCACCGGAGTGGTAAACGTCTGTGTCTTCACATGGGCATGCCTCCAACATCAAACTCCCTGTCTTGATTAGACTAATGCTTAGTCTCTGAATATATATAATTTTGATAGTAACAAACAAGCCCATTTAAATTGAAAAGGAGCCCCAGGGAGACCAGAGATTCAGAACCTGAGGAAATCTAGACTTGCTTTATTTAGGGCTTTAGCACTGCAGAGAGGGCTTGGCAGTAGGGAAAATAATGTGGTTCAGGGACTGTGAGACAGACTATGTCTTGATATTACGGGAGTACTGTTGAAAACGACTTCAAACTCGCTGGAAGGGCAGGAAATTGGATACTGCTGCGTCAGCATGTCGCTGGCTTGCATTCGTCACCACTCGCCCCTTTCCGTTACCTCCAAGAAGTCGTCGTTCGGCTTGTCCCGGAATAACACGAGTTGGTCACGAATGGCTGGCTTGCATTCGTGACCAACTCGTGTTATTCCGGGACAAGCCGAATGGAGTTTACAGTAAGGGGCAAGTGGTGACGAATGGGCTGGCTTGGACACACAGTAACATTCGTCAGTACTCGCCCCTTTCCGTAACCTCCATTCGGCTTGTCACGAAAAAACACCAGTGGGTCACGAATACGTTCGGGAAGGCATAGACGACGTGCATTCGTCACCACTCGCCCCTTTCCGTAAACTCCAAGAAGTCGTTGTTCGGCTTGTCCCGGAATAACACGAGTTGGTCACGAATGAGTTGACGTGTAGTCGCTATTTTTAGAATCGCCAATCAAACACAGGCTTTCTTCCAGCTACGGGATTTCACAAGCCAATGAGCTCTTGGTTGGTTCACTCACACTTTAAGAAGTATGCAAGTGTGTGTGCGTTTGTTTGTAATATGAACATTCGGTTTAAACATATTTATTTCTGATATATTGTTCAGAAACTGGATCGGCAAACAAGCAAAAGGCATATATTAATGCCTCTCCAGACAAAATAACATTTATGCGACTTACATTAATTTTCATAACAATATTACAAAAGTACATGATATCATAAATAACATTAAGCATACAATATACATGAATATAAACATCCATACAGCAAAAATACTTTTAGTTCTGCAAAGGGCCAGATGAAATGATTAAATCTTCTTGAAGTGATAATAAAGTTATGTACTGATTTGATAATATCATGATTTATAGATCTAGGTAACTCTAGGTTACCATACAGGGCGTCATTTATATTATATCCATGTTTGAAATAAAATAAATCGTTTCTCATAGCATCATAGTTGGGACATATAAAATGATAATGAAGGGTGTCCTCAAAGGCAGCACAACAAGTACATGATGGGTTATCGGATATAAATCTACTTACTTTATGGGCATTTAAATCGCTGCATTCTAATCGGAGTCTACAGTGGATTATTTGATAGAACCTCTTTCCAATGTTGATATTAAACCCAAATGAAGTATTATTATATGAGCATTTTGTTGATTCAGACTATGGCTCATCCGGACAAAGTGTTATCAAACCACTAACCCTAGTCAGCCAAATCCCACTCTGGCTATGTGAGAGACCTGTTTTGACAGAATCTGGCTAAGTGAGGGGACACCTCTCGGTTAACATGTACATCGCACCAATTGAATGTTTCTCGTGCGACAATGTGTGAACCCAGCCTGCCTCTGTATCACATTGCCTTGCCGTAATGAAATACAGTGGAAGAGGTCAGACAGTAGTTGACCAAGCAGAATTTATTTGACTTACTAGCACTCGGTATTGCACGAGTTTAACAAAAATCGGTTTCACTTTCGACACCGCCTAGATTGGCTGTCACAGAAATCTGAAACACACATATTCAATACAACCAATTATGGTTAAAAGATTAGTGTAAGTTTAGTCTATGACAGTTTCGGTTATACAAAGAAAGCCTCTTTTCATATTTTTTTATTGTATTTTAGGGACCGTTCTTAATTTATGTGTGTGCGTGTGTGCGGCTTTTAAAGGGGGGTGTCACCCATTTTGTTCTGGGGAGGAGGGGGCATCAATTTTGTACACACGTACTAGGGGTCAGCGGTTTTGTACATAGAATTATGATGAAAATTATGCTTAGAAAGTATGGGAAGGGAGGGGGGAATTGATTTTGTACATAAATGTTAGGGGGAGGGGGTCAGTCATTCACATTGTACATGCTTCTTCATGAAAAGCATCATCATCATTATCTCACACACACACACACACACACACACACACACACACACACACACACACACACACCACTAGCCATAAATTATGAACGGTCCCTTATTGAGATGATGTAAAGTCGGCATGATTTAATTTTCTTATGTGAAATATGTTCACTTCAGAGGCAGATGTTAGCAAACCACTTAGCGAATATATGTCGTACCAATTTAAGTGCGGTGAAGATATCCTTCCTATTATATACCTTGTTATGATTCTTCTCCTTTTCAGCTGTTGTTACTGCAGAGGGTAAGTAAAATGAGGACTCCATCTGGTTCATCAGACGAAAAATGCAAGAATACTAATTTAAACATACCATAGTTCTATGACATCAGTTTCACATTTGAGCGGGTTGCTTTCCTACTTTTTAGCATTAAATATCCCAAAATGATTGCCAATTATGAATGTAAAATGGGACCAAAGATCATTAAGTTACACAGTACGTTTGGAATTCGAACATTCCTCAATCCGTATTAGGGCAGTGGGGTAGCCTAGTAGTTAAACTGTTCGCTCGTCACGCCGAAGACCCGGTTTCGATTCCCCACATGGGTATAGACCCATTTCTGATGCCCCAACCCGTGCTTTTGCTGTACCCATAAACACTGAAGCACGTCATTGGAAGCGACTTCAATGTCTTATTTCGTGTTTAGTGATTCAATCTGAAATCAATCCGCTCACTAATTATTGACAAAGTTGTTTTGAGTTATATTTATGCTGAGCACATTGGCCTTATTTCAATCGCCAAAAGTGTTTCAATAATAATTGGCCCACTGGGTTCGTAACAGGATAAAATGTCAGGTCTCCAATAGTTTGTACGTTGTACAGTACACCCCAGCCACATACGGAACATGTACACTGTCTGATGAAATGTCCTCAGCGCTGTTCTACTGCTTCAACTCGAAAGTGAGGGGAAAGTATATGCTCCTTCGTGTCAACCCAAAGAACATGCACTACGATGTCATGGGTGCCATAGACGGAGACGGGGTGGGCGTGGACGGGTGCGACAAGGCGTCCTTTACGTTAGACGACGACACGGGAGTGTTCAGTAGAGTCGTCAATATCACTGACGGCGTCAACATCAATGACGGCGTCAACAGCACTGACGGCGTCAGCATGACTAACGGCGACAGTAGTCGATGCGGAGGCATTGCGGTGAGTTGAAGACAGCGCATCCATCCTTCCATCCATCAATCCATCCAACCATCCATCCAACCAACCAACCATCCATTCATCTATCCGTCCATCCATCCATCCATTCAGTCAGTGGTGATGATGTCGCTCATTATGCATTCCATCCAGTTCTTTTTAACACTGCATGCTGGACAATCATAATCCACTCAACGTTATCTGAGGATCAAAGTTTGATCCTGATGCAAAGGACCGGCCTTCCTCTACGTGGACGATGTCAATCGACACCATCGTGCCAAGATCGACGATTCTCAGATCAGGAGACCATTGTCCGGGCGGACTGGCCATAGCGGTCAACCTGATCAACACATGTCGAACGCGCTGCAGGTCGTCCTCATACGAGCCCGTAGGCCCCACTGCGGGTCAGAAAAATAAAGTACTATATAACAGGCCCGGTTTACTATCCAGCACCCTACTAAACTCATGGGCAAAAGAAAGTATAGGTCATTTTGAAGATCAGTAAAACAGAAACAACACAAGATTTGGATTATGTAATAGATGTAATTTGTAGCAAATTCATTTGTACTTTGCTGTGTGTACAAATCATTACCCGGTTGAAAGAACTGAAAGGTGACATTGACATTCAAACAGTCAGGGGGTAAATACCAAAGTTACAATGATATTACTTTGACGAATTGCGCACAAAAAAGGTAGAAAAGTTTGTTCCAGAACGATCACAACGTCAGTAGCGTGTGTGTCTGCCAGCAGCCTCGATGCACTCTCGTGCACGTCGTCGCATCGATGACGTCAAGCGTCGGATGACGTCATTTGGCAGTCGCTGCCATTCGTCCCTCAGTGCCACTTCCAACTCTTGTCTTGTCTGTGGAGGGTGATGACGACCACAAATTTGTCTTCCCAAATGATCCCACAAATGCTCGATCGGATTCATATCTGGTGATCGAGAAGGCCAGGGTAGAACATTAACGTTATTCTGATTAAGAAAGTTTCTCGTCGCTATTGCTGTATGGGGAGTTGCTGGTTGATTGTTCAAGAAAGGTAAGACAACAGGCTGCAAGACGTGATTTCGGTACTCGTTAGCATTGAGATTCCCCTGAATAACGACCAAGGGTGTCGTTTGGTCGCCAATAATGCCACCCCATACCATCACACCACCTCCACCATAGGCATGGACTTCTTGAATGCATGCTGCTGCAAAACGTTCACGCCATCGCCTGTAAACTCTCTGTCGGCCGTCATTTTTGTGCGGACAAAACCGACTTTCATCGGTGAAGAGGACCCTACGCCAGTCACGCACTTGCCAGCGGTATACTCGTCTTGCCCATTGCAGTCTTTCAAGTCGATGTTGTGTTAGTGTCATTCCATGGAATGGTCGATAGTAACGTATTCCACCTGTTCACAAACGTCTGAGGGCAGTCCTTCGACTGATGCGACGTCCCAACGCTGTTTCGGCCGTTGACGTTGCCGTAACAAATCGATTTCAGAGGTGTATCAGGCGTATATGGTGATCTTCGCGTGCGCTGGTTACACGTGGACGTCCACTCCTCGGCCCGTCCTGTGTTCGACCCGTCTGTCTGAATCGTTGGAGGAGTCTTGCTATCGTCAGTGACGTACAGCCAAATCTTCTTGCAATTCTGACGTTCGTCGCTCCCATATCGGACATCCCTATGGCCGTCTCTCTCTGTTCTGGCGTCAGTCGTGGCATACTTTTCATGTGTTTTCAGCATCTGTGATATGACGGGACCGATGCATCGCATTTATACCGAAACTTTGCACGTGCATTATGTGCTAGGGGCATGGAACATGCTTTCCACATTTTTGCTTCGTCTTCAAAAACATCTTTACAGTTGAAACAAGTACGGTTTTCACGTGGAATCTTCTCATATGTCCCGGTTTCAATCCTGATAGGAGCAACGCCACAGCGAAACTTGGATAGTGCAGATCTATAAGATTTAGGCATTTGTCTCAGTAAGTATGTTTCCGCAGTATACACTGACTTAAACTTGTTATAGAGCCTTAGCTTGCTACACATGCATCTACCAACACGCCCACCAACTCACCCAGCTACCACTCACTACGGCTACAACGATTCACGCAGACCTGAATTCGTTTCGATTTTCGATATTGGACCCTCGATTCGATCATTTTGATTCGATTCTTCATACAAGTAAAAGCATCAGATTAAATTTAACTCGTAGAGCGGCCTTGTTAGCGTGAAATCCAAACTTGGCAATGTCTACTAACAACAATTCTCATTGGATAATTAGCCCGGCGTCAACCAATCACGTTTCGTCTTATTTCGCTCGAAACTGCTGGAGTTGGAGTCAAAATTTCGTTCTGGCTGTGTGGAAATAATTTAAGTAGTATTCAAATATCGAATCGAAATAGTGATAATGGTTATCGAAAATCGAAGTGAAGCTATCAGATTCGATTTTCGATCAATCGAACCGAATCCTTGCAGCCCTACCACTCACACCTACCTCTCACTCAATAGCTCGCCCGTCTGCTCCCGCCTTCACTCACTCACACCATTTCTTTTTCAGACAGAGGAAGGGACCTGGAAATGGACTTTCCGTGTGCAAGAATTCTCTGGGTTGTTATCCCGCGCAGACCTCGACATCGCCGTCAAATGCAACTTCAACAACGCTGACACACTGTCCAGCGACGGTGCTGCTGACGTTGAGGGGTAATATTGGGAAACGTATGCAGCCCGCCATGTGACGGGGAGGGTAATGGGAAGCGTAGTGGTCAAATTCTTCCATTCACCTAAAGTCCGGGTTCTAATCCTCACATTGTGTGAACCCCGTTTTCTCTGGTGAAATATTGCCAACAGTGGCGTAAATCCAGGGATGCAACGAAAGTCAAGATACCCTTAACTATGATTTCGTTGTCCTCGAAGGTCGTATGCCCTGAAGGTCCGGATAGAATATTGATCTTCAGTAAACCATGCTTGTCGGAAGAGGCGACTAACGGGATCGGGTGGTCAGGCTCGCTGACTTGGTTGACACATGTCATCGGTTCCTAATTGCGCAGATCGATGCTCATAATGTTAATCGCTGGATTGTCTGGTCCAGACTCGATTAAATACAGACCGCCGCCATATAGCTGGAATATTGCTGAGTGCGGCGTAAAAATAAACTCACTCACTCACTCGAAGGTCGTATTGTGCTGAAACAACAGCACATGCCTTCCCACCTAAAGGGCCTATTGTCTTTCAACATATACTCTACAACTTAGGATAAAAGTTGTTCAACAAACGATCATAGGTTCAAATCGCTATTATTGGTTTGTATTACAAGGGGGTACGCGCAGTAGTTGGAACAGTGAAACAGATGCACGTGCGGTCCGTGATGAGCGTGAACTTGGACTACCGTAGAAACCAACCCTCTTGTTCTCGGGGTTTCATTTAACGTGCATACCCCCTTGTAATACAAACCAATAAAAGCGATTTGAACCTATGGTCGTTTGTTAAACAACTTCTATCCTGTTTAATAAAATTCTGAGATTTTAAAGTTCATTTGGGAAGTTAAAAGTATGAGGATTCGCAATCTTAATGTCCCTTTATTTGATTTAAATTACTTTTTGGTTTAAAGTGAAATTCATCGGTACGGTTTCACTGCAAACAGATTATACCAATTGTGTCCTGGGGAATGATGTGGCCACACACATTGTACCAATGTGGGGACTCGAACCCGGATCTTCGGCGTGGCGAGCGAACGTTTTAACCACTAGGTTACCCCACCTACAACCAAGAGCATCAAGTGTAAATTCTCACATCATGGACACGATGACGTTAAACCACAAATCACGTTTCTGTTAACGTGTACGGCAGCTGTAGCGCGTCCAGTGTAATATCTACGACTTTTTATTTTCCACAGAACAGTTGACACTGTAGTAAGGACTCTTGATGAAACGAGGGAGGAGGTAAAACTGACGGTGATCAATCCCGTCACTCTGGAGGAAGTCAAGAAGATCCAACTTGGAGGCAATGTTATGCTCAAACTAGCGATCGACACTAAACCAGGTCAATGACTTTATATTCGATATTCTACAGTCCGTTTGGCTCAAAAGTGAACAGATGAATTACAACATCAGACCAACTCTGTGAGTTTTTGGCAGATTTATGTCTTAAAAAAAAAAATGTTGTTTAACAAACTGTCATTAAAATATTGACACAGTTTTCTATTTGTTACGAGGGAGTAGTGCAGAGAAGGGACAGCCAGGTGTTCGAGGAGCACGTGCATAAGTGCCGACAAAGTTATTGATTCATTTACCTGTGCTTTGCCGTCTCCATCCTTTCTCGCACACCTGACTGTTCCTTTCTTTACTCTTCTCCCTCGTAACAAATAGTGAACTGTGTCAATATTTTAAAGATAGTTTGTTAAACAACTTTTTTTTACTTTTAGGGCATAAATTCTGCAAAAAAACTCACAGATCTGGTCTGCTGATTTGATTAGGATCAGCGTTTCATTGAGTATTACATGTTTATTAGTTTCGAGTTAGATTGCAATTCATCAGTTCGCTTTTGAGTCAAACGGACTTTAAGAGTTACCTCAGAAACAACCCCTCAATACACTAGTATGCACAAAGAAGGAATGGACGGAATATATGTGGATAGTGACATGCATTCCAACTAAGAATCAGGGATCACTTACCCATGCTTGTCGTAAGGGGCGACGAATGGAATCAGATGGTCAGCCTTATTGACTTGGTTGACACATGTCATCGTACCCCAATTGCGTAGATCGATGCTCATGCTTTTGATCACTGGAGTGTTTGGTCCAGTCGTCTTATAGCTGCAATATTGCTGAATGCAGCGTTAAACAATAAACAAACAAACAAACAAAACTTAAATTTGAGTATCCGACCTGAGTATCCCCTGTATCTTTCATTGTTTGTGAAAGATACAATTGTACCTTTTATTTCTAATGCATCTACAAAGTTACAATATGTTTGAATTAATGAGCCTTGCTTCATAGTTAGTGCGGTTTTAGCTCTTAATACTTGTTATGGTGAGTGGTGAGCAATGAGTGAAGTCAGTTCAGCTCCGCTTTTAACGGTTTATGGCCGATTCAGCGAAAATCCTCATTCGTGACCAACTCGTGTTATTCCGGGACAAGCCGAATAGTCTTCATGGAGTTTACGGAAAGGGGCGAGTGGTGACGAATGCGAAAATCCTTTGTCAACTTCGGAAAAAGGTGTCCGCTCTATCTGTCCCAAGGTTTCGGTTCTCTAAAATTTGAGATCATCGCGGTATCGGGCCGACACCCTTTTAACAATATTTTAGCCATATGTTTTGGCTTGTCAGCATCGAATGGAAGGGTTAAAGCGTCTCTCGTAACGTTGAAGACCCGGGTTCGATTCCCCACATGGGTACAATGTGTGAAGCCCATTTCTGGTGTCCCCAGCCGTGATATTGCTGGAATAGTGCTATAAGCGGCGTAAAATCATACTCACTCACTTGATAGTGTTCATTCGTCACCACTCGCCTCTTTCCATAAACTCGCTATTCGGCTTGTCCCGGAATAACACGAGTGGGTCTCGAATGGATTGTGTTCTGATTGTACTCTCTGCAGGGTCGGGAGCGCGAGGAGTTTCAGCATACAACTGCGAAGCCTATACTTCAGACGGAATGTACACAAGGCAGCTCACGGATAAACATGGGTGAATATGTTAGTTTTAATGTGTGATTTATATGTCCCGGTTCAATCTGGTAACATCACCTCAAGTGTGTAGGGTTTTACGCCGCTTTAGCAATATTCCAGCAATGTCCCTCTCGGTGTCATTGCTCTAATGTTGCTGGAATATACAGCAGTCTTTCAGTAATGAACATCCACTTGACTGATCCATTATTTTTGTATCTAATATTTATTATGTCATTTCAGATGTGCAGCAAGCGGTTCCCCTGTGTCCGGAGTGAACGCGTCAGTCACGTTTCCATTTCCAATTTTCACCTTCCCCGGCCACTCATCCATCAACTTCCGTTGTCAATATGACTACTGTTTTCACGACGAGATCGAGTGTGTAAATGTAAATATTTTCATCTCTCCTTAAAGGTATTCATAGATAGATACAGCTTGTTCAGCTTGACCTGAGCTACTCTACATATGCATGACCCGGGAGGTCAAATGGCACAAACGGCATGTCGAGTTAACTTCATTAAATAGGGGAGCAGAGAATGTTATTAATGTTGCTGCTCGCTGCCTAAATGCCCGGATCGGAAACATTAAACCTTCTGTAGCTTTTTTTAAGTTTAAGAAAGTTAGGACATTGCTGGCGATTCCTCGACTCTGAGATGTCAAAAGGCGACTTTGTCTCGGCTGTTCGGACATGTTGATAATCAACTGACAAAGATGCACCCCTTCACAATAATAGACCCAACCAGTTGTGACACGGTCACGTAATACATTAGTATTCACTTGATCAGGTCAAGCTGAACAAGCTGTTGGTAGATTATGTTGCTGTCAGTACCAACATCTACCACATCCACCACTAGGGGTGGGTATTGCAGAGAATTTTCATATTGCGATATATTGCGATGCGAAAGCATAGATTGCGATATGTATTGCAATATATTGCGAGAAGTATTTTTAAACCAAAAACCTACTTATAATCGAATTAATACTTAATATATAAAGCAAAAACACAACAAAATCACTATGCTTGATTAAGCTTTGATAACAACTTTTAATCATGACAAAATAATAAAGTAAATAATACTTGGCACAAATGAAACAAGGAAATATCCGCGGATTTCAGAGTGTTACGAAGTTTTCCGAATGCAAGTCAAAATACCGGTTTTCGATCAGCGCGTCGCAATACCTATCGCTTTCATGTTTGAACTGTTAAATACCGGTAAACCGGTTATATTGCGCAGCCCTATCCATCACTGTCACGGTTAACAGTCATCAGCTTCTGATCTATCATGGTTTCAACAATCACCGATTTCAGTGATGCCTACTACTCTCCCATCCATCACCATTTTCAATGAAACTACCATTCTCTCTACCATCTTCAGCTTCAGTGATGCCTAACTCTCCCACCTTCGTATTTACAATTTTCAATGAAACTACCATTCTCTCTACCATCTTCAGCTTCAGTGATGCCTAACACTCCCCCCTTCGTATTTACCATTTTCAATGAAACTACCACTCTCTCTACCATCTTCGGCTTCACTGATGCCTAACACTCCCCTCAATGAAACTACCTTTCGTATTTACCATTTTCAATTATACTGCCACTCTCTCTACCATCTTCACCTTCAGTGATGCCTAACTCTCCCCCTTTCGTAGTTACCATTTTCAATGAAACTACCACTCTCTCTACCATTTTCAGCTTCACTGATGCCTGCCACTCTCTCATCTATCCCTTCAATCCTATCCATCAAACTCTCATTCATCACCAACTCGTGAAGATCTTGGATAGAATTGACCTTCAGTAACCCATACTTGTCGTAGGTGGCGACTAACGGGCAAGTCAATACAATGATTACACAACAGTATCGTTGACTGGGTTCCGCCCTATTGCGCAACTTGGTACAATAACCAGTCCAGCATTTTTAAACCAATTCATTTAACTGGATACATAAATATTAACCAGTATTATTTGATACATCTAAGCACTTGTATATTGCAACACTACGCTCCTTCTAATCCTCGCAAACACGTCGTGCAGCGTGTTCTATCGTACAGCGAGCTCTGACAAACGGCAACATGAAAATCGTGGAAATCTCAAAACGAGGCTCTGCCGCTAGAAAGGTTTGGCGGTCTGGTACGGAGTTGATATTGTATCAATTACATTGTGCATTACAGAACTACTCTGAATAAGCGCAAAAAGTACATAACACGTGTAACCAGTGAGCCAGATGCATTGTGAATCATTTTACGACCTCATCAAAATTGAAGACCCGAGTTCGATTCCCCACTTGGGTACAAAGTGTGAAGCCCATTCGTGGTGTCCCCCGTCTAATATTGCTGGAATATTGCTAAAAGTGGCATAAAACTAAACTCACTCACCCTTATTTTCGTTATTTACTCACAAATTTTTAGAATACCGATCAAACAATTGTGGAGACCTGTTTTTTTAAGTGTTTCTACTACAAATATTAACAGAATAATAAATGATACATACTAATAAACAGAACGTTTACGCAAAGAAAAGTATGAAGTAAGTGATATTTTTGTATTGTTAAAATGGCGCCAACTTATAGAATGCCCATGTTATTCAGCGTTGTAGGTTGAGACATAGAGGAAAGCGTTCAGAAGATGCTATCCCGGGGGTAAGAAAACCAGTCTTCACGACCGTGAGGATCCTTCAGGATGACGAGCAGGGTGAGCTTGAAAACACGTGCCATGAAGATTATTTTTTGTGCGTCAGATTGAGTTCAAGTCAACATTAAATTTGTTGAAACAGTATATCATTCCTCTTACTTTGATAAATTATAGGATATTGTGATTCCGCGTACCTTCACAATGGTATACAATCATTTCTTTGATATAGTATATTGTCATTCATTTTCATTTAACATAGTACATCATTCATCTTATTATTATTCCTCGTACCTTGACATAGTTATTATCATTCCTCGTACCTTGAGAAAGTTATTATCATTCCTCGTACCTTGACATAGTTATTATCATTCCTCGTACCTTGAGATAGTTATTATCATTCCTCGTACCATCTTACTTTCATTGCAGGTAAGGCTGTGAAACGTTTGGAAGTCTTGCCTTCTGAGGATACAAACAGAGGCTTCCCCTTACTGTACCTAAACCCCATCACTTGTTCCTTGTTCCTGTTCTTGCTTACGGTGTTCCTGATGCTCCATGTGTTTTTCGTGAGATCACTTAAGAAGACAGTTGAGGACATGAAAGTTGAGCTCGTGAGTCATAATCGGAGTCAGCGATTTTCTCTCTTGTAAACTAAAGAAAACCCGAAGGTAACCCGAACATACCACACACAAACAACTGTTGACGTGGTTAAGGCTATATTTAAGGGACACTACACCTGAGACAATTGGCAGGGCCAGCAATTTTGATTCCGTTGATAAAAGGACCCGAAGGACGCAAAGCACCTGGGTAAAATGTCAACCTAATCCAGATCCGCCTCAGTAGAATTCCGTTTCTGTTCACGACACCAGTGTTATAACCACGTGTAGCAAATACCAGGACGATCAAATTAGCTACGTGTTAAACTTAAGCAGCGCTTGGAATGATCTCTCGATGACTACCTTCAAGTCAAGAATTAACTTTGTTAGCGAACCCAGATATTATTTTGTTACCCAATATAGCATTCAATGGACACCTTTGGGCACATACAATGTCTGAATTCGTATACGCACGCGCATATAGTTACAATGGCCAAGTCCAGAATTGATCTTTCTGTCGATGTGTCGAAGTCGTTAAAGCTTGTGACCCTTAACACTGGTATTCTGTGTTTACGTTTATGTAATTTCATACCTAACACGGTAATGAAATAAGATTAATATACCTATATCTGGTCAGTAATAGATTTGAATACAGACAGTCCTGTTGAAGAAGGGCAAGTTCATTCTGTTCTCAGATGGGTAGCTGCATATATGCATAAGAGTTCATGTGATAACGGTCGGAATTCCCATATCGCAAGAGGCGACTAATGGGATCGGGTGGTCAGACTCGCTGACTTGGTTGACACATGTCATCGTATCCTAGTTGTGTAGGTCGATGCTCATGCTGTTGATCACTGGATTGTCTGATCCAGACTCGATTATTTACAGATCGCCGCCATAAAGCTGACTGAAGCGTTAAACAGCAAACAAATACAAACCAATATGTTGTCTTTTGAGCACAAGAACGCCACTCTTCTAACTAGGTTATGGCTTTATGCTGCTTTTAGCAATATTCCAGCAATATCACGGCGGAGGACACACAGAAATGGGCTTCACACATTGTACCTATGTGGGGAATCGAACCTGCAGCTGGGTCTTCGGCGTGACGAGCGGACGCTTTAACCACTAGCATAGGCTCAGAGAGGATGGACACAGTTAAGAGAAATACCATGTAGTCCAACAGAATGCTTCTCTTGTTGCCTTTTTCTTGATCACGAGCTCACATCAGTATAGACCCGTGAAGATCCGGGTTACATTTGGTCTTCAGCAACACATTCTTGTCGAAAGAAGAGACTACCGAGATCGGGTAGTCAGGCTCGCTGACTTGGTTGACACATGTCACCATATGCCATTTGTGTAGATCTATGGTCAGTCACTGGATTGTCTGGTCCAGACTCGATTATTTACAGACCGCCGCCATATAGCTGGAATATTGCTGAGTGCGGCGTAAAACTAAATTCACTCACTCACACACACTCAAACGTACATTTGTACATTTTTTCTTCCGAAATTGAGGCAAGACTACATCTTCGAGGATTTCAAATGGTCCGTCGAAACCTCATCATTGAGGACCCGTAAAGATCCGGGTTAGAATTGGTCTTCAGCAACCCGTCCTTGTCGTAAGAGGTTGGATCGGGTGGTTGGATCGCAGACTGATTTGATTGGTGTTCATGATGTTCATCACTGGATTGTCTGGTCCAGACTCGAGTATTTACAGACCGCCGTCATATAGCTGGAATATTGCTGAGTGCGGCGTTAAACAACAAACAAACAAAATATTGAAGATCACCTCTTTAAGGCACATACGTTCAGATGTTACAGGTAACTTTGACAGGTGTGATAAACAACATACGTTCAGATGTTACAGGTAACTTTGACAGGTATGATAAACAACATCCGTTCAGATGTTACAGGTAACTCTGACAGGTATGATAAACAACATACGTTCAGATGTTACAGGTAACTCTGACAGGTATGATAAACAACATACGTTCAGATGTTACAGGTAACTCTGACAGGTATGATAAACAACATACGTTCAGATGTTACAGGTAACTCTGACAGGTATGATAAACAACATACGTTCAGATGTTACAGGTAACTTTGACAGGTGTGATAAACAACATACGTTCAGATGTTACAGGTAACTCTGACAGGTATGATAAACAACATACGTTCAGATGTTACAGGTAACTCTGACAGGTATGATAAACAACATACGTTCAGATGTTACAGGTAACTCTGACAGGTATGATAAACAACATACGTTCAGATGTTACAGTTAACTCTGACAGGTGTGATAAAAAACAAACGTTCAGATGTTACAGGTAACTCAAACAGGTATGATAAACAACATACGTTCAGATGTTACAGGTAACTCGGACAGGTGTGATAAACAACAAACGTTCAGATGTTACAGGTAACTCTGACAGGTATGATAAACAACATACGTTCAGATGTTACAGGTAACTGTGACAGGTATGATAAACAACATACGTTCAGATGTTACAGGTAACTGTGACAGGTGTGATAAACAACATACGTTCAGATGTTACAGGTAACTGACAGGTATGATAAACAACATACGTTCAGATGTTACAGGTAACTCTGACAGGTGTGATAAACAACATACGTTCAGATGTTACAGGTAACTCGGACAGGTATGATAAACAACAAACGTTCAGATGTTACAGGTAACTCTGACAGGTATGATAAACAACATACGTTCAGATGTTACAGGTAACTGTGACAGGTGTGATAAACAACATACGTTCAGATGTTACAGGTAACTCTCGGACAGGTATGATAAACAACAAACGTTCAGATGTTACAGGTAACTCTGACAGGTATGATAAACAACATACGTTCAGATGTTACAGGTAACTCTGACAGGTATGATAAACAACATACGTTCAGATGTTACAGGTAACTGTGACAGGTGTGATAAACAACATACGTTCAGATGTTACAGGTAACTCTGACAGGTGTGATAAACAACATACGTTCAGATGTTACAGGTAACTGTGACAGGTGTGATAAACAACATACGTTCAGATGTTACAGGTTACTGTGACAGGTGTGATAAACAACATACGTTCAGATGTTACAGGTAACTCAGACAGGTATGATAAACAACATACGTTCAGATGTTACAGGTAACTGTGACAGGTGTGATAAACAACATACGTTCAGATGTTACAGGTAACTGTGACAGGTGTGATAAACAACATACGTTCAGATGTTACAGATAACTCGGACAGGTATGATAAACAACATACGTTCAGATGTTACAGGTAACTGTGACAGGTGTGATAAACAACATACGTTCAGATGTTACAGGTAACTCTGACAGGTATGATAAACAACATACGTTCAGATGTTACAGGTAACTCGGACAGGTATGATAAACAACAAACGTTCAGATGTTACAGGTAACTGTGACAGGTGTGATAAACAACATACGTTCAGATGTTACAGATAACTCGGACAGGTATGATAAACAACATACGTTCAGATGTTACAGGTAACTCTGACAGGTGTGATAAACAACATACGTTCAGATGTTACAGGTAACTGTGACAGGTGTGATAAACAACATACGTTCAGATGTTACAGGTAACTGTGACAGGTGTGATAAACAACATACGTTCAGATGTTACAGGTTACTGTGACAGGTGTGATAAACAACATACGTTCAGATGTTACAGGTAACTCTGACAGGTGTGATAAACAACATACGTTCAGATGTTACAGGTAACTCGGACAGGTATGATAAACAACAAACGTTCAGATGTTACAGGTAACTCTGACAGGTATGATAAACAACATACGTTCAGATGTTACAGGTAACTCTGACAGGTGTGATAAACAACATACGTTCAGATGTTACAGGTAACTCTGACAGGTGTGATAAACAACATACGTTCAGATGTTACAGGTAACTGTGACAGGTGTGATAAACAACATACGTTCAGATGTTACAGGTAACTGTGACAGGTGTGATAAACAACATACGTTCAGATGTTACAGGTAACTGTGACAGGTATGATAAACAACATACGTTCAGATGTTACAGGTAACTGTGACAGGTGTGATAAACAACATACGTTCAGATGTTACAGATAACTCGGACAGGTATGATAAACAACATACGTTCAGATGTTACAGGTAACTCTGACAGGTGTGATAAACAACATACGTTCAGATGTTACAGGTAACTCGGACAGGTATGATAAACAACATACGTTCAGATGTTACAGGTAACTGTGACAGGTGTGATAAACAACATACGTTCAGATGTTACAGGTAACTCGGACAGGTATGATAAACAACAAACGTTCAGATGTTACAGGTAACTCGGACAGGTATGATAAACAACATACGTTCAGATGTTACAGGTAACTCTGACAGGTGTGATAAACAACATACGTTCAGATGTTACAGGTAACTCTGACAGGTATGATAAACAACATACGTTCAGATGTTACAGGTAACTGTGACAGGTGTGATAAACAACATACGTTCAGATGTTACAGGTAACTCGGACAGGTATGATAAACAACAAACGTTCAGATGTTACAGGTAACTCTGACAGGTATGATAAACAACATACGTTCAGATGTTACAGGTAACTCTGACAGGTATGATAAACAACATACGTTCAGATGTTACAGGTAACTGTGACAGGTGTGATAAACAACATACGTTCAGATGTTACAGGTAACTGTGACAGGTGTGATAAACAACATACGTTCAGATGTTACAGGTAACTGTGACAGGTGTGATAAACAACATACGTTCAGATGTTACAGGTTACTGTGACAGGTGTGATAAACAACATACGTTCAGATGTTACAGGTAACTCTGACAGGTATGATAAACAACATACGTTCAGATGTTACAGGTAACTGTGACAGGTGTGATAAACAACATACGTTCAGATGTTACAGGTAACTGTGACAGGTGTGATAAACAACATACGTTCAGATGTTACAGATAACTCGGACAGGTATGATAAACAACATACGTTCAGATGTTACAGGTAACTCTGACAGGTGTGATAAACAACATACGTTCAGATGTTACAGGTAACTCTGACAGGTATGATAAACAACATACGTTCAGATGTTACAGGTAACTGTGACAGGTATGATAAACAACATACGTTCAGATGTTACAGGTAACTGTGACAGGTGTGATAAACAACATACGTTCAGATGTTACAGGTAACTCGGACAGGTATGATAAACAACATACGTTCAGATGTTACAGGTAACTCTGACAGGTGTGATAAACAACATACGTTCAGATGTTACAGGTAACTCTGACAGGTGTGATAAACAACATACGTTCAGATGTTACAGGTAACTGTGACAGGTGTGATAAACAACATACGTTCAGATGTTACAGGTAACTGTGACAGGTGTGATAAACAACATACGTTCAGATGTTACAGGTAACTGTGACAGGTATGATAAACAACATACGTTCAGATGTTACAGGTAACTGTGACAGGTGTGATAAACAACATACGTTCAGATGTTACAGGTAACTGTGACAGGTGTGATAAACAACATACGTTCAGATGTTACAGATAACTCGGACAGGTATGATAAACAACATACGTTCAGATGTTACAGGTAACTCTGACAGGTGTGATAAACAACATACGTTCAGATGTTACAGGTAACTCTGACAGGTGTGATAAACAACATACGTTCAGATGTTACAGGTAACTCTGACAGGTGTGATAAACAACATACGTTCAGATGTTACAGGTAACTCTGACAGGTGTGATAAACTACATACGTTCAGATGTTACAGGTAACTCTTACTCAGTTACATGTTATTTACAAATAATTAAACAAGCAAATTTCAAATCTAGAATTTTATGGCTGTATTACACGATTTGAAACAAATGAACAATATATACAACTTGACAGATGACACAGAGACTAATAATAAGAGTTTGATTTCAAATCCTCATTGACGGTTTTCTCATTGACTGGTGCGTGGGAGATAATGGAAAATGTTCCCTCACTCTTCTGCAATAGTTCCGGCTCCAAACATCTCCAGCAGGTTACGGTGAAGTCTGAAAACAAGATGATGCTTCATTAACGAGGCAATTCGTTCTTAAACAGATTTCTTCAGGGCGATCGAAACATTTCGGGTGGTTGAACCGGAGTTCGATTCTCCACATTGGTACAATGTGGTATGCCCATTTCTGGTGTCCCCCGCCGTGATATTTCTGGAGTATTTCTAAAAACGGCGTAAAACAAAATCACTCACTCACATTTTTTGGGTATGTTTGTAAATATCATTAACATTAGTTGAATTGGTCTTCAGCAACCGGTGCTTGTCGTAAGAGGCGACTAACCGGGTCGGATGGTCAGGCTTGGTTGACACATGTCATCGTATTCCAATTGCGTAGAACGATGCTCATGCTGTTGATCACTGGATTGTCTGGTCCCGACTCGATTATGTACAGACCGTCGTCATATGCAGCAACATCACGGCAGGCGACATCAGAAATGGGCTTCACACATTATACCAATGTGGGAATCGAACCCAGGTCTTCATCGAGTGAAGTGTGAACGCTTTAACCACTAGGCTACACCACCAAAAGCATATCAGCATCCCCTCCTCATCAGTGTCCTCAAAAGTGACCAGCACCGCTCTCACCTGATATTGATGTCCAGATCGCCTGATTCTACTTCAAGTAGTTCGCCATCAAGGTTCATGGTCCTCTCCAGACGCCTTTCTCGCTCAGTTGCTCCTTCTTTCGGAATTGTCCGTAGTCGTAACGACGTCACCTGTACTGTCGTTACGAAATCGTAGCTGTACTGAAAATAATAATAAAGACGAAACTTATGTTAATAATAAGTGATTATCTTCACACAGATGCTTTCTAAAACATAATGACGTATTCTACTGCACTTTTGAAAGGGGTATTAATGATTATTAACATCTATGTCTCAGAGTCTATTTTAAATATTAAGCTGACTGTCACAATCTGGGGGTAGGTGACTACTGACGGCGTCTCTATGCAGCTGAGTCATCTTGTACAGCCAGGAGAAGAACGTCAACCTCCCACACTGCTTGTCCATCAACAACGTCATCGCCTCCGCATTGACGTCAAAAACGCACTTCGGCGTATTCTTCTGTTGGCGCACTAAAGCAGGGAAGCACATTATTCCGGTATAACACCCCTCTATCGTCTTCCAAACTGGTTCTGGGAAAAGTAAAAAATACAAATTCAAATTTTCTCAAACATATTTTCATCAACATAGACAGATATTTCCTTGCGGTGGGGTAGCCAAGTGGGTAAAGCGTTCGCTCGTCACGCCGAACACCCGGGTTCGATTCCCCACATGGGTACAATATGTGAAGCCCATTTCTGGTGTCCCCGCCGTGATATTGTTGGAATATTGCTAAAAGCGGCGTAAAACTAAACTCACTCATTTAATGAAATGAGCGTCTGACCGTTAGTGGAATGGGTTGATGAAGATCAATCCTAACCCGGATCTTCACAGACCACGACTACATGTAGACCATATACTACTCCCCTTTAGACAGGGATATATCTGTCCACGATGGTTATTATTTCCATACCTACAACTGTACGAAAAGATAGCGTGAGACTATACCCATAATCATAATGACATACCTGTTTCTGCGTTGCTGTTGTCAACATCACCTCCGTCTCTGAAAGAGTTAAATGCTTACGATTAAATGACATGTTTTTGTTCGTATATCTGTGTGACTTTGTACAGGTATACCTTCTATCCACTAGTAATGCGGTCAATCAATCGAATTTGAAAAAAGGACAGGGCGTAAAATTGTCACAAGCTATGATTAGGTAATATTTATTTACGAATTTATCAATTTTAAACTTGACATCAACCCAGTCCTTAGAACTGACTATATGCGTCCAATAATTGCAAAAGATATTTAATTACAATAACATCATGCTGAGTTTGACTTGAGATAATTTTCCAACTTCCGTTTGGTGCAGAACCGTGATGTCTGTTTTAATCCTTCGGTTAATGGCTTGGGGTGGTAGTCATTGTAACATGTATTGAGAAAATCAAAGCATGACGACGTAACTAGGTCTGTTTAATGCCGTAAACCGGAAGTCGTACAAAGCCAATGCCGTAATCGACTATACGTTACAGTCATTCTATTTTATTTTATCGTGATAAACGGTGTTTCTACGCACTTATGTACAGCATGGTGGAGGAAATATAACTCACGTGGGTGGGTCATAAGGCAAGTAGTCGATTCGAACATTGAACTCGCGTCGAGTCCTCAGAAATGCTATAAGCATTCCAACTGAAACGCAAAACAAACAAAAATTGTGGGATTGCATCGTGGTCAAACTATAGGCTGGTCACCGGGAAATCTCCGCGACTGATTCCACCAACAGCACGTGATGGTCATTCTTGGTGATACTGTAATACTGATAAAATAATGTTCACATTTGTGAAACAAACGTTCTGGGAGAATGTCTGAAGAGTACATATACCGAACAGAAAAAGTTAGGAATCATGAATATTTGAACAACTAGATAAAACTTACAGAGGAATCAGAGCCAAGCCTACCGTGTCTCTGCGATGTAAGCGCGCATAAGATGACTCCAAAAGCCATACTCATCATTATCGTCGTCGTCATCATCATCATTATCATCACTATTATTATGTTTTACAGATTATTATTAGTATTATTATTGTTAAAAGAAACGCCACTTGATAAAACTTACAGGGGAACCGGAACCAACCCAACCGTCTCTCTTCGAAGTAAGCGTCCATGAGGTCACTCCAAAAACCGTGTCCAAATATCACACCCGAAAACCCCAGATGTTTGCCACCTTGACTGATGCTGGCAATGTTCTTGAAGGTCCTACATCCTAAGACACCAATTAAGGTCAGAGTTAAATGAAGAACAGGTTATTTGATGGTAAATCTGAATGATCCATGAAACAAGCTTAAGGTGATTCGAACAAGACGGAGTTTATTGAGTGAGTTTAGTTTTACGCCGCTTGTAGATATTTTCCATCAATATCACGGCGGGGGACACCAGAAATGGGCTTCAAACATTGAATCTATGTGGAGAATCGAACCCGGGTCTTTGGCGTTACGAGCAAACGCATTAACCACTAGGCTACCCCACCGCCCATGTCTGACTTTAGTTTTATGCCGCTTATAGCATTAATTTACGATATAACGGCTTGCGCCACACATTTTGTACCCACGTTGGGAATCGAACCCATGTCTTCGGCGTGACGACCAAACGCTTTAACCACTAGTCTACCTCACGGTCCCAAACACGTGATGACATACCTGTAATGATGTTGAGAGCTGCAGTTTCTATGTCGTCATTTCCGCAAAGTCCTTTCGCAATACCATTTCCTGTTCCTGGGGTACGAATAACGTGATGAGACAATTACTAACGATAATTACTAACCTATGTATGGATTATATGATAAGATTAAAGACATCTGGACTAGTTGAGTTAATTGTGGGTTTTAGTTGGTTTGTTTGTTGTTCTGCCTAGCAATATGTATGACTGAGTCAGGACCACACAATCCAGTGATTGAAATTATGAGCATCGATCCATGCAATTGGGATACGACGTGCATAAACCAACTCAGCAAGCCTGAACACTTAATCCTGTTAGTCGCCTCTAACGATAAGCATGGATTGCTGAAGACCAATTCTAACACGGATTTTCAAGGGTTGGGTCCTAATAAACCCACGATGCTGGGTGACGCCGCTGACTACATATTGGAGCCAGGCGGCTTTGGTCGTTGCTCACATAAATCACTGGTTTGTCTGGTTCAAACTTAAGTGTTTACAGGCGGGAATATGTTGAGTGCCGAGTGATCTGGATATTCTTACAATCACGGAGATTAATCTTATTGTATGAAATCGGAATATAAACGAGTGAGGAGTTTTACACCGCACTCAGCAGTATTCCAGCTATATGGCGGTGTGTAAATAATCGAGTCTGGACCAGACAATCCAGTGATCAACAGCATGAGCATCGATCTACGCAACTGGGATAAGAAGACATGTATGTCAATCAAGTCAGCGAGCCTGACCACCCGATCCCGTTAGTCGCCTCTTACGACAGCATGGGTTACTGAAGATCAATTCTAACCTGGACCTTCACGGGTTGCAATATACATGTGTCAGCGAGGTGGGTTTAACGCCCCGTTTAACAGATTCAAGTTATATCACGGCGAGTTAGCCAGAAGCACGAACATCTCAGGTCTCAGACGTGTCACTTTGGTGACACTCACGATAACGACCATGGTGCTGACAATCGTATCAACATATTTGGGGCGAACTAGGATTCGAACCCAGTCATAGGTTTCTGGTGTGCCTTAGGGATGCAACTCTGCACAACGATTTTGACAGGCGGGTCACCCGTGCCCTAACAGATAATTGAAAGAAAGGGGTAGATTTTCTAAATGCGCCGTCCTGTGGTTACCTTTGGTTGATTAAAGTAACACACCATTTTGGCACTGAATAGGAAAGGAAAGTTGATCTTGGGGTTACCTGTGGGTATTATTCCTACTGGAAATGGTAATGCCTTCAAGTCGGCATCAGTGGTTCCAAGTTGTATCCCAGCTTCCTTCTGTATCCTTGGCAACAGAGTGTGTAGTAGTTTCTGGAGAGTGCCATCTCCACCAGCGACCACCACTCTGTTAAAACAATGTGCTGGCGTTATTTGGTGAATAGACATTGAAACCTCGTTAATCTGGACGGGCTGGTCTGAAGACATACAAATCAATGAAGGAGCTTCTCATATGGCGGAACCTCTTTAATATGTATCTCCGCTTACCCTGTGACCTTTGAGAAGTCGAACGTGTTCCCCAACTCTTCTGGGTGTGATGGGCTTTGAGACACTGAAATAAGGAAAAACTGTTCATATCTTCGCCAATTCAAATATTTACATTGATGTAATGTCATCCTTTAAAACTACTTGTGACACCAGTAAATACTTTCCAGGTGAGAAACTTTACCCAACACTTTACCCATATAACCTATATTGAGTGAGCACAGACATTGACGGGTTTTGATGGTGTAGAAAAGGTTGGTTGGTTTGTTGTTTAACGCTGCACTCAGTAATATTCCAGCTATATGCCGGCGGTATGTAAATAATTGAGCCTGGACCAGACAATCCATGCAGTGATCAGCAGAATGAGCATTGATCTACACAATTGTGATACGATGACCTTGTGTCAACCAATCCTTGAAGCAAGCGAGCCTGACCACTCGATCCCGTAGTCGCCTCTGACGACAAGCATGGGTTACAGAAGATCAATTCTACCAGGATCTTCACGGATTGAAAAGGCAACATTCGACCCAATAGTGGCTGGGGTTTACCCTTTCATCTGTATCTCAGTAGTTGTGGATTCGGCTACAACCGGGTCCAGGGTCCATGTATGTCCCCTGCTTCTATGGACACGTGAAGATCCGGGTTAGAATTGATCTTCAGTAACCCAAGCTTGTCGTTAGAGGCAACTAACGGGGACGGGAGGTCAGACTCTCTGACTTGGTTGACAAATGTCATCGTATCCCAATTGCGTAGATAACTTCTCATGATATCAGTGAGTGAGTGAGTGAGTAAGGGTTTACGCCGCTTTTAGCAATATTCCAGCAATATCACGGCGGGGGACACCAGAAATGGGTTTCACATATTGTACCCATGTGGGGAATCGAACCCGGGTCTTTAGCGTGACGAGCCAACGCTTTAACCACTAGGCTACCCCACCGCCCCTCTCAGTATATCAGTCATGTGGTTGTCTGGTCCAGACTAGATTATTTGCAGACCGCTGTCATACACCTGGAATATGGATGACTACGGCGTTAAGCAAACGAAAAACCCTGCTTCCATGGTGTAGTGGATTGAGCGTTTTCATGGATAGCGGATTATGGTGGGTTCGAACCCGGACCCAACACTTCCAAAGCCGTTACCATATTGTCTTGTCGGTATGCAGCTCGGCATGAAGGGGTTATAACAGTGACGGAGTCGGATACTGACGTGCATCTATATTTAACTGTGGCTTGACACCTCAGACGGTTAGCACCATAAAACCGGCATACCGCTCTAGTTTATGTCAAAGTCGCATTCTACAAGTCAGTCTATGTTCTACATTCATAAAATACATATTCTTTCTCTGTATGTCTCCCCAACCCCAGCTCTCTGTTCCCATGACGCACGCACACACACACGCACACGCACACACACACAGGCACACACACACACACACAGAGAGAGAGAGAGAGACACACACAGACAGAGAGAGAGAGAGAGACACACACACACGCACACGCACACACACACAAAAAACACAATCGTCAACCTATGACTTCTGTGTCGATCTTGGCCAATCGGAACAAAGGGGCGACAACTCTTCTGTAATGAGCTTCTCCCTTGCCTCTTCCACCGACGGGATTTATCAACACCAGCAGGCGGGAGGGTCGATCTACAAGAAAAGAATGAGTGAGTTTAGTTTCACGCCGCTCTTAGCAATATTCCAACAATATCACGGCTGGGGACACCAGAAATTGATTTAACTCCAACTGTTTCACACGGCTGCTTCATGAAGTACGAGCTTTATATATACTACCCAAAAGATAACTGTTAAAGAGTACCAGATTCTTTCATGTTACTATAGTAAATCCGTGCTCGCCTGACAGATAAAATTTAATAATAAGAATGACAGGTTGTTCTTTAACTTCTTTTGAGTAGCATGTTACCAAGGATACGTTAAGCAGTGTAGATATGACTGGACAGAACCATGTGACTCGGATCACATAAAGACAACAGCTGAGCAGGATCAACGCTGGAGTAATGTCTCGTCTACCTTTCTTGGATTTCTCCTGTACAGTACTTAAAATGTCTTCAAAATTACTCTCGCTGCTGAGGAACGTCTTGTGTTTGTGTCTCCAGACACGGTTTGCTTGTTTGTCGATATAATGCAAGGTGAAGCCTTTGTTGTTGTCAAGGTCGCCGGTGATCTCTGTTGGTGTTTTGGGTGACACCTGTCCCCGATGACAGGTGATGACGTCAGTCCAAGGGAGGGTAACTGTGTTACCTGTATATCAGCATGAGTGCATTAACGTGTCTTGTGTTACCTGTATATGAATAGTGCATTAACGTCTCTTGTGTCACCTGTATATGTGTCACATGAACAGTGCATTTACTGTGTCAGTGCATTAACGTTGTGTCACCTGTATATCAACATGAACAGGGCATTAACGTCTCTTGTGTCACCTGTGTATTGACAGGAACATATCGCCATGCGTAGTGCAGTGGCATTAACGTCTCTCTATATGTCACTGTGTAAATTTTTATATTTTTACGTCTCTTGTGGTTCCTAAGATTGTAATATCACAGATATATAATGATAAACTTGTTAAGCCACATTTGTAGATTTATCAAAAGGTTTGTGTCTCCTGACATTCCCAGTACACATGATACACTCTCATTTACATCACTGCAAAAACAACACAAACTGTTATCAACTTTCTTCATTTTGACCAATTCCATTTTTGTATAAATAATACCTTGTAGAAATCTATATTGAAAGTCTATAAGCTTTGTATCTTGTAATCCATTTCTATATACTGTAAATATATGTTTCCAGTCAAAGTCAGTTTCAGGAAATAAAAGCTGTCATTTATTACAAACGTTTGGATATTTATCGGTGCAAATAAGTTTATCATAAAAAATCCTGCAGCCTTTTGATGCTTTTACTAAATCTATCTGGCATTGGTTAACATTTAAATTCCTGACTGAGATAGAGTGACAGTGCTTTAAAGTATGTTTCAAGATTCAGGTAATATGTTCAGTAAATATCTAAAATCTAAAAATGTACCTTTGATATGATAATTTTCTTTTAAAGATTCTATTGATAGTAATCCATTTTCATTACATTTATCCCTAATATTTATAATCTCTATATCTGCCCAATTCTTTATGAAATGTGAAGAGTTTTTGAAGTTGTGATTGAACCATAGTGGTTGGGATAGAATTTCATTAATATTATTTGGGTCAACATAATGTTTTTTATGAAATAGTTTCCATGCTTTCAGCACATCATGCCAAAATGGGGTTTCAATCTCAATAAAAGTTTCAGAATTTGCTCCAAGTTTAAATATATCCTTGAAAGGTATATTGCATGGATATTTTTTTCACATTTTTAAAAATACAGTCTTTAGGTGGATAATTTCAAAGCGTCAATAAATCTATTTATATCAATATTTCTCAATCCTCCTTCGTCATATCTATTTTGTCAACGTGTAACTTATAAATATAACAAAAATATGAATGTAACCTGCTGTTGGATTCGTATGAACGTGTAATATGTTGTTTGTTGGATATACACTTGTAACACGCAAATGGATGTAAAGAAACAGGATTGTAAGTTTGTACAAATTTACATGCTGTTGGACTAATTGGACGTGTGTCAGGTTGTAGGACTGGTATAAAAATGCAAGAGTAAGTGGATTTAGTTTTACGCCGCTTTTAGCAATATTCCAGCAATATCACGGCGGGGGACACCAGAAATGGGCTTCACACATTGTACCCACGTAGGGAATAGAACCCGGGTGTTCGGCGTGACGAGCGATCGCTTTAACCACTAGGCTAACCCACCGCCCCGAGTAAGCTTTGAACAATATTTCTGTGGCATGGAAGGAAAGCCCGAAGTGACGTGAAATCCTATGAACATGTCACGTGGTGTTTGATATATATCTGAGTATGTATCATCATGTAGCAGGGTAATTTTAAAAAAACGTCGATAAAATCACATGAGGGTTTCTTTATTAACTTACCTGATATCAATGCAATAAATGTGAAAATATTGAATATATTAAAACTCCTCTGCCCATTGTGCTAATTTGCAAATATTTAGTATTGATGTCCCATTCAGTGGCACACGTCCTTACAAAATGCAGCGTAAAACAATATCCATTCATTCATTCATTCATTCATAACAAAATGTCAAATATCTAGGTAATCTCTAGATAACTAGTTTTATTGTTGCTGCGCGCATATAAGATATACTACCTAATAGACAGGATCCCAGTTACAGGTTTCACGGTCAAGGGGAGGTTACTCCACCATGACCACGAATGAGGAAATGATCAGTTACAGTAAACATCCGCACAAATTACTGTATCCACGGGTTTCGTCGACATCAAGACACACATTAACACTTAACAACCCTGACCTTCAATATTTTGCCCGTAAACAAAAGAATCATCACTCAAATTAATATCTCACGATAATCCCCACGGCGAATACCTACCCTCGCTTGTATCCACCAAGTTTCTCCATGAAATCCCTTCCTCCGTCAGACTCAAAGTCACATGGACGCTGTCGGTTACGAAATCCCCCCCAGCAAGTTGTGTGCCCTGGGTGGGAATGGGATCCACTTCCACTGAGGTTTCTGACCTCTCTCCCTCCATAACTCACAGCTGAACTCTGTACTGTCTCATAGTCTAGCGTACGGCCTTCGCAGGTCGAAGGCAATGTGTCGGTTCATAGGCTAATTCGTGACCCTATGTTTTTCTCCACTGTCTACACTGAATGATTTTTCGTTATAATTACTGGTCACAAAAGGCTTGCTTAATAAGGCTCAACTGTGAATAGTTAGCTATCAGCTGAAGCATCCGTTATCAATAAGCTGTTCATGCGTGTGGTATGCCGGCTCGGCTGATAGTCTTGATTTCGACGTAGACTAACGCTTAGTCTCGGTTTATATACATATATAATTTTGATAGAAACAAATAATTCAATTTAAACTGAAATGGAGCCCCAGTGAGATGGGAGATTGAGAACCTAAGGAAATCTAGACTTGTGTCATTTAAGGCTTTAGCAGAAAGGGCAGGATGGGTGGGGAGATAAAGCGGTTCAAGGACTGTGAGACAGACTAGATTTCCACTCGGCGTTATGTGATATTATCAGCCCCTTTGTCAAACAGATAAACTGTTTTCTCAGTTCGGATTACTGTCATGTAGGTGTCATATAGTATTTATTAAACAGTAGTAAACAGTGTGAATGCTTTTTAAGTTCGTGAAATTGTAAGTTCATGTGCAAACTGTGACTTTGTATAGCCTATAAAGATGAACAACACGAAATGCAGTAGTGAAAAGTAAGGTCATTCGATCGGTGCACGTTTGCTTAAACCGAACACGCACATTGAATGTGGGCTGGAAAATAAATCAAACTTTTCATTTTAATCTTTGTTTGTAAATGCCACGCCTTTCAAATGAAGACTAGCTGACTGACTGACTGAATTTGGTTTTACGCCGCTTTTAGCAATATTCCAGCAACATCACGGCTGGGGACGCCAGAAATGGGCTTCACACATTGTACCCATGTGGGGAATCGAACCCGGGTGTTCGGCGTGACGAGCCAACGCTTTAACCACTAGGCTACCCCACCGCCCCTCAAATGAAGAACGTGTACGTGCTATGGGGAGGCTTGATGCTGGTCAGTCTGTGGTCGCTGTTGCAAGAGCCTTTAATTGCTCACGACAGACAATTTTAATCTTAAGATGAGAATGCATCAAACCGGAATTGTTGTCGACCGTTCGAGGCCGGGGGCGTCACGTGTAGCGTCACTCCGGGAATATCAAGCAAAACGATTACGTCATCTTCAGAATAGATTTGTTACTGCAACTTCCACAAGTTGGGAGATGTTTGGTGGAAGGATAAGTGCACAAACTGTCAGAAATCACTTGCATGCCGCTAGATTTCACGCTCGAAGACCCCATAATGGACGAATTGTAACTGTTGTGATGCCACAATTTGACACATGTTCAGTCAAAGACAGTGGAATTCGGTTGTCTTCAGCGACGAATCTCGATTTCATTGAAACGGCCAATCCAGAACTTGAAATACCGGCATTTCGAAGAAAATTCTGTGGAAGTATTGCCGTATATGCAGTCTAGCGTTGTCTTGTTGGAACGTCAGTCCAGGGCCATGTCTCTGCATAAATGGAAGCAGGACATGTTGCAAAAATCTGATCCCTGTACTGGGCAGCATTTAAGTTGCCTCGGACGACAACAAGGGAGAATGTACGTGTGCACAAAACGAACTCCATACCATTACGCTTTCGCCACCAAATCTTTCCACTTCACGTACGCAGACTTGAGCGTGACGTTCACCTCGCCTGCGGTACACTCTCGGGCCATCGAAGTGAGTCGAGTTTCGTAGCTGAAGACAATCGAATTTTGCGCACTATATTTTTACATAATTATTAATGTGTGAAGCCCATTTTGTTTTGTTCCCCGCCGTGATATTGCTGGAATATTGCTAAAAGCGGCGTAAAACCATACTCACTCACTCACATAATTATTACTACCAATATACTGAATACTTACTGGACGTGCTCAGGTCACTCCAAAAACCGTGTCCAAATATCACACCCGAAAACCCCAGATGTTTGCCACCTTGACTGATGCTGGCAATGTTCTTGAAGGTCCTACATCCTAAGACACCAATTAAGGTCAGAGTTAAATGAAGAACAGGTTATTTGATGGTAAATCTGAATGATCCATGAAACAAGCTTAAGGTGATTCGAACAAGACGGAGTTTACTGAGTGAGTTTAGTTTTACGCCGCTTGTAGATATTTTCCATCAATATCACGGCGGGGGACACCAGAAATGGGCTTCAAACATTGAATCTATGTGGAGAATCGAAGCCGGGTCTTTGGCGTTACGAGCAAACGCATTAACCACTAGGCTACCCCACCGCCCATGTCTGACTTTAGTTTTATGCCGCTTATAGCATTAATTTACGATATAACGGGCTTGCGCCACACATTTTGTACCCACGTTGGGAATCGAACCCATGTCTTCGGCGTGACGACCAAACGCTTTAACCACTAGTCTACCTCACGGTCCCAAACACGTGATGACATACCTGTAATGATGTTGAGAGCTGCAGTTTCTATGTCGTCATTTCCGCAAAGTCCTTTCGCAATACCATTTCCTGTTCCTGGGGTACGAATAACGTGATGAGACAATTACTAACGATAATTACTAACCTATGTATGGATTATATGATAAGATTAAAGACATCTGGACTAGTTGAGTTAATTGTGGGTTTTAGTTGGTTTGTTTGTTGTTCTACCTAGCAATATTTATGACTGAGTCAGGACCACACAATCCAGTGATTGAAATTATGAGCATCGATCCATGCAATTGGGATACGACGTGCATAAACCAACTCAGCAAGCCTGAACACTTAATCCTGTTAGTCGCCTCTAACGATAAGCATGGATTGCTGAAGACCAATTCTAACCCTGATTTTCAAGGGTTGGGTCCTAATAAACCCACGAGGCTGGGTGACGCCGCTGACTACATATTGGAGCCAGGCGGCTTTGGTCGTTGCTCACATAAATCACTGGTTTGTCTGGTTCAAACTTAAGTGTTTACAGGCGGGAATATGTTGAGTGCCGAGTGATCTGGATATTCTTACAATCAAGGAGATTAATCTTATTGTATGAAATCGGAATATAAACGAGTGAGGGAGTTTTACACCGCACTCAGCAATATTCCATCTATATGGCGGTGTGTTAATAATCGAGTCTGGACCAGACAATCCAGTGATCAACAGAATGAGCATCGATCTACGCAATTGGGATAAGAAGATATGTATGTCAACCAAGTCAGCGAACCTGACCACCCGATCCCTTTAGTCGCCTCTTACGACAGCATGGGTTACTGAAGATCAATTCTAACCCAGACCTTCACGGGTGGCAATATACATGTGTCAGCGAGGTGGGTTGAACACCCCGTTTAACAGATTCAAGTTATATCACGGCGTGTTAGCCAGAAGCACGAACATCACGCCTTTCAGACGTGTCACTTTGGTGACACCCACGATAACGGCCATGGTGCTGACAATCGTATCAACATATTTAGGGCAAACTAGGATTCGAACCCAGTCATAGGTTTCTGGTGTGCCTTAGGGATGCAACTCTGCACAACGATTTTGACAAGTGGGCCACCCGTGCCCTAACAGATAATTGAAAGAAAGGGGTAGATTTTCTAAATGCGCCGCCCTGTGGTTACCTTTGGTTGATTAAAGTAACACACCATTTTGGCTCTGAATAGGAAAGGAAAGTTGATCTTGGGGTTACCTGTGGGTATTATTCCTACTGGAAATGGTAATGCCTTCAAGTCGGCATCAGTGGTTCCAATTTGTATCCCAGCTTCCTTCTGTATCCTTGGCAACAGAGTGTGTAGTAGTTTCTGGAGAGTGCCATCTCCACCAGCGACCACCACTCTGTTAAAACAATGTGCTGGTGTTATTCGGTGAAAAGACATTTAAACCTCGTTAATCTGGACGGGCTTTGTCTGAAGACATACAAATCAATGAAGGAGCTTCTCATATGGCGGAACCTCTTTAATATGTATCTCCGCTTACCCTGTGACCCTTGAGAAGTCGAACGTGTTCCCTAACTCTTCTGGGTGTGATGGACTTTGAGACACTGAAATAAGGAAAAACTGTTCATATCTTCGCCAATTCAAAATATTTACATTGATGTGATGTCATCCTTCAAAACTACACCAGTAAATACTTTCCAGGTGAGAAAGTTTCCAATAACACTCTACCCATATAACTTATACTGAGTGAGCACAGACATTGACGGTTTTTGGTGGTGTAGAGAAGGTTGGTTGGTTTGTTGTTTAACGCTGCACTCAGCAATATTCCAGCTATATGGCGGCGGTCTGTAAATAATTGAGCCTGGACCAGACAACCCATACAGTGATCAGCAGAATGAGCATTGATCTACACAATTGTGATACGATGACATGTGTCAACCTTGAAGCAAGCGAGCCTGACCGCTCGATCCCGTTAGTCGCCTCTGACGACAAGCATGGGTTACAGAAGACAACTTCTACCAGGATCTTCACGGATTGAAAAGGCAACATTCGACCCAATAGTGGCTGGGGTTTACCCTTTCATCTGTATCTCAGTAGTTGTGGATTCGGCTACAACCGGGTCCAGGGTCCATGTATGTCCCCTGCTTCTATGGACACGTGAAGATCCGGGTTAGAATTGATCTTCAGTAACCCAAGCTTGTCGTTAGAGGCAACTAACGGGGACGGGAGGTCAGACTCTCTGACTTGGTTGACAAATGTCATCGTATCCCAATTGCGTAGATAACTTCTCATGATATCAGTGAGTGAGTGAGTGAGTAAGGGTTTACGCCGCTTTTAGCAATATTCCAGCAATATCACGGCGGGGGACACCAGAAATGGGTTTCACATATTGTACCCATGTGGGGAATCGAACCCGGGTCTTTAGCGTGACGAGCCAACGCTTTAACCACTAGGCTACCCCACCGCCCCTCTCAGTATATCAGTCATGTGGTTGTCTGGTCCAGACTAGATTATTTGCAGACCGCTGTCATACACCTGGAATATGGATGACTACGGCGTTAAGCAAACGAAAAACCCTGCTCCCATGGTGTTTATAGTGGATTATAGTGGGTTCGAACCCGGACCAAACACTTCCAAAGCCGTTACCATATTGTCTTGTCGGTATGCAGCTCGGCATGAAGGGGTTATAACAGTGACGGAGTCAGGATACTGACGTGCATCTATATTTAACTGTGGCTTGACACCTCAGACGGTTAGCACCATAAAACCGGCATACCGCTCTAGTTTATGTCAAAGTTGCATTCTACAAGTCAGTCTATGTTCTACATTCATAAAATACATATTCTTTCTCTGTATGTCTCCCCAACCCCAGCTCTCTGTTCCCATGACGCACGCACACACACACGCACACGCACACACACACAGGCACACACACACAGAGAGACACACACAGACAGAGAGAGAGACGCACACACACACACGCACACACACACAAAAAACACAATCGTCAACCTATGACTTCTGTGTCGATCTTGGCCAATCGGAACAAAGGGGCGACAACTCTTCTGTAATGAGCTTCTCCCTTGCCTCTTCCACCGACGGGATTTATCAACACCAGCAGGCGGGAGGGTCGATCTACAAGAAAAGAATGAGTGAGTTTAGTTTCACGCCGCTCTTAGCAATATTCCAACAATATCACGGCTGGGGACACCAGAAATTGATTTAACTCCAACTGTTTCACACGGCTGCTTCATGAAGTACGAGCTTTATATATACTACCCAAAAGATATAACTGTTAAAGAGTACCAGATTCTTTCATGTTACTATAGTAAATCCGTGCTCGCCTGACAGATAAAATTTAATAATAAGAATGACTGGTTGTTAACTTCTTTTGAGTAGCATGTTACCAAGGATACGTTAAGCAGTGTAGATATGACTGGACAGAACCATGTGACTCGGATCACATAAAGACAACAGCTGAGCAGGATCAACGCTGGAGTAATGTCTCGTCTACCTTTCTTGGATTTCTCCTGTACAGTACTTAAAATGTCTTCAAAATTACTCTCGCTGCTGAGGAACGTCTTGTGTTTGTGTCTCCAGACACGGTTTGCTTGTTTGTCGATATAATGCAAGGTGAAGCCTTTGTTGTTGTCAAGGTCGCCGGTGATCTCTGTTGGTGTTTTGGGTGACACCTGTCCCCGATGACAGGTGATGACGTCAGTCCAAGGGAGGGTAACTGTGGACAGAGATGAATAGTGCATTAACGTCTCTTGTGTCACCTGTATATCAACATGAACAGTGCATTTACGTCTCTTGTGTCACCTGTATATCAACATGACAGGGCATTAACGTCTCTTGTGTCACCTGTGTATTGACAGGAACATATCGCCATGCGTAGTGCAGTGGCCTCTCTTATGTCACTGTGTAAATTTTTTATATTTTTTAATTGGTTCCTAAGATTGTAATATCACAGATATATAATGATAAACTGGTTAAGCCACATTTGTAGATTTATCAAAAGGTTTGTGTCTCCTGACATTCCCAGTACACATGATACACTCTCATTTACATCACTGCAAAAACAACACAAACTGTTATCAACTTTCTTCATTTTGACCAATTCCATTTTTGTATAAATAATACCTTGTAGAAATCTATATTGAAAGTCTATAAGCTTTGTATCTTGTAATCCATTTCTATATACTGTAAATATATGTTTCCAGTCAAAGTCAGTTTCAGGAAATAAAAGCTGTCATTTATTACAAACGTTTGGATATTTATCGGTGCAAATAAGTTTATCATAAAAAATCCTGCAGCCTTTTGATGCTTTTACTAAATCTATCTGGCATTGGTTAACATTTAAATTCCTGACTGAGATAGAGTGACAGTGCTTTAAAGTATGTTTCCAAGATTCAGGTAATATGTTCAGTAAATATCTAAAATCTAAAAATGTACCTTTGATATGATAATTTTCTTTTAAAGATTCTATTGATAGTAATCCATTTTCATTACATTTATCCCTAATATTTATAATCTCTATATCTGCCCAATTCTTTATGAAATGTGAAGAGTTTTTGAAGTTGTGATTGAACCATAGTGGTTGGGATAGAATTTCATTAATATTATTTGGGTCAACATAATGTTTTTTATGAAATAGTTTCCATGCTTTCAGCACATCATGCCAAAATGGGGTTTCAATCTCAATAAAAGTTTCAGAATTTGCTCCAAGTTTAAATATATCCTTGAAAGGAATATTGCATGGATATTTTTTTCACATTTTTAAAAATACAGTCTTTAGGTGGATAATTTCAAAGCGTCAATAAATCTATTTATATCAATATTTCTCAATCCTCCTTCGTCATATCTATTTTGTCAACGTGTAACTTATAAATATAACAAAAATATGAATGTAACCTGCTGTTGGATTCGTATGAACGTGTAATATGTTGTTTGTTGGATATACACTTGTAACACGCAAATGGATGTAAAGAAACAGGATTGTAAGTTTGTACAAATTTACATGCTGTTGGACTAATTGGACGTGTGTCAGGTTGTAGGACTGGTATAAAAATGCAAGAGTAAGTGGATTTAGTTTTACGCCGCTTTTAGCAATATTCCAGCAATATCACGGCGGGGGACACCAGAAATGGGCTTCACACATTGTACCCACGTAGGGAATCGAACCCGGGTGTTCGGCGTGACGAGCGATCGCTTTAACCACTAGGCTAACCCACCGCCCCGAGTAAGCTTTGAACAATATTTCTGTGGCATGGAAGGAAAGCCCGAAGTGACGTGAAATCCTATGAACATGTCACGTGGTGTTTGATATATATCTGAGTATGTATCATCATGTAGCAGGGTAATTTTAAAAAACGTCGATAAAATCACATGAGGGTTTCTTTATTAACTTACCTGATATCAATGCAATAAATGTGAAAATATTGAATATATTAAAACTCCTCTGCCCATTGTGCTAATTTGCAAATATTTAGTATTGATGTCCCATTCAGTGGCACACGTCCTTACAAAATGCAGCGTAAAACAATATCCATTCATTCATTCATTCCTAACAAAATGTCAAATATCTAGGTAATCTCTAGATAACTAGTTTTATTGTTGCTGCGCGCATATAAGATATACTACCTAATAGACAGGATCCCAGTTACAGGTTTCACGGTCAAGGGGAGGTTACTCCACCATGACCACGAATGAGGAAATGATCAGTTACAGTAAACATCCGCACAAATTACTGTATCCACGGGTTTCGTCGACATCAAGACACCCACATTAACTCTTAACAACCCTGACCTTCAATATTTTGCCCGTAAACAAAAGAATCATCACTCAAATTAATATCTCACGATAATCCCCACGGCGAATACCTACCCTCGCTTGTATCCACCAAGTTTCTCCATGAAATCCCTTCCTCTGTCAGACTCAAAGTCACATGGACGCTGTCGGTGACGAAATCCCCCCCAGCAAGTTGTGTGCCCTGGGTGGGAATGGGATCCACTTCCGCTGAGGGTTCTGACCTCTCTCCCTCCATAACTCACAGCTCAACACTGTACGCGTACGGCTAGCCTGTCTCACTGTCTCATAGTCTAGCGTACGGCCTTCGCAGGTCGAAGTCAATGTGTCGGTTCATAGGCTAATTCGTGACCCTATGTTTTCTCCACTGTCTACACTGAACGATTTTTCGTTATAATTACTGGTCACAAAAGGCTTGCTTAATAAGGCTGAACTGTGAATAGTTAGCTATCAGCTGAAGCATCCGTTGTCAATAAGCTGTTCATGCGTGTGGTATGCCGGCTCGGCTGATAGTCTTGATTTCGACGTAGACTAACGCTTAGTCTCGGTTTATATACATATATAATTTTGATAGAAACAATTAATTCAATTTAAATTGAAATGGAGCCCCAGTGAGATGGGAGATTGAGAACCTAAGGAAATCTAGACTTGTGTCATTTAAGGCTTTAGCAGGAAGGGCAGGGTGGTGGGAAGATAAAGCGGTTCAAGGACTGTGGGACAAACTACATTTCCACGCTGCGTTATGTGTATTATCAGCCCCTTTGTCAAACAGGTAAACTGTTTCCTCAGTTCGGATTACTGTCATGTAGGTGTCATATAGTATTTATTAAACAGTAGTAAACAGTGTGAATGCTTTAAGTTCGTGAAATTGTAAGTTCATGTGCAAACTTTGACTTTGTATAGCCTATACAGATGAACAACACGAAATGCAGTAGTGAAAAGTAAGGTCATTCGATCGGTGCACGTTTGCTTAAACCGAACACGCACATTGAATGTGGGCTGGAAAATAAATCAAACTTTTCATTTTAATCTTTGTTTGTAAATGCCACGCCTTTCAAATGAAGACTAGCTGACTGACTGACTGAATTTGGTTTTACGCCGCTTTTAGCAACATTCCAGCAACATCACGGCGGGGGACGCCAGAAATGGGCTTCACACATTGTACCCATGTGGGGAATCGAACCCGGGTGTTCGGCGTGACGAGCCAACGCTTTAACCACTAGGCTACCCCACCGCCCCTCAAATGAAGAACGTGTACGTGCTATGGGGAGGCTTGATGCTGGTCAGTCTGTGGTCGCTGTTGCAAGAGCCTTTAATTGCTCACGAAAGAGACTTTTAATCTTAAGATGAGAATGCATCAAACCGGAATTGTTGTCGACCGTTCGAGGCCGGGGGCGTCACGTGTAGCGTCACTCCGGGAATATCAAGCAAAACGATTACGTCATCTTCAGAAAAGATTTATTACTGCAACTTCCACAAGTTGGGAGATGTTTGGTGGAAGGATAACTACACAAACTGTCAGAAATCGCTTGCATGCCGCTGGACTTCGCGCCCGAAGCCCCCATAATGGACGAATTGTAACTGGTGTGAGCCACACATGTTCAGTCAAAGACAGTGGAATTCGGTTGTCTTCAGCGACGAATCTCGATTCTCATTGAAACGGCCAATCCAGAACTTGAAATACGGCACTTCGAAGAAAATTCTGTGTAAGAATTGCCGTACATGCGGTCTAGCGTTGTCTTGTTGGAACGTCAGTCCAGGGCCATGTCTCTGCATAAATGGAAGCAGGACATGTTGCAAAATCTTATCCCTGTACTGGGCAGCATTTAAGTTGCCTCAGACGACAACAAGGGGAGAATGTACGTGTGCACAACACGAAATCCATACCATTACGCTGTCGCCACCAAATTTTTCCACTTCACGTACGCAGACTTGAGCGTGACGTTCACCTCGCCTGCGGTACACTCGGGCCATCGAAGTGAGTCGAGTTTCGTAGCTGAAGACAATCGAATTTTGCGCACTATATGTGTACATAATTATTAATGTGTGAAGCCCATTTTTTGGTGTTCCCCGTCGTGATATTGCTGGAATATTGCTAAAAGCGGCGTAAAACTATACTCACTCACTCATTCACTCACATAATTATTAATACCAATATACTAAATACTTACTGGACGTGCTCTTCATCAAGTTGTGTTTGTCATTCAAGAAAACTAACGGGTTGGGGCTGTCTGACTTAAACAACAAATATAATGCTACATATGGCCACAGAAAATCATTTCATAAACTTTTAGTTTACGAGTACGTCGATTACTCTAAAGGTGAGGTGAGGTGAAATTGGATTTAACGTCGTGCTGGAGAATATTTTTTGCTCATATGACGACGTGCATGCGTGTGTGTGTATGTGCGGCTGCTTGTACTAGCCCAGACTGAAGCTGGTTTTATAGTGCTAGCCCACTGAGATACCATGCCGCAGTGAAGCATGGATACCCCACTCAGACACATTATACTGACTCCGAGCCGACCAGTCCTTGTTGTACCCATTAATGCCGAGCGCCAGGCAGGGACCAACAAGTACCATATTTTAACGTCTTTTGGTATGACGCTGTCGGGGATCGAACCCGCGACCTTCCGCTCTCCGGGCGGACGTTCTAACCACTACACCACGGAGGCGGTCGATTACTCTAAGAGCAAGGTTTACAGATTTCAAACGCGGTTACAATTGTAGTTCTAGTCGTAGTAGTAGGTATGGAAATAATAACCACCACGGACAGATAAACATATCCCTGTCTAAAGGGGAGTAGTATATGATCTACATGTAGTCGTGGTCTGTGAAGATTCCGGTTAGAATTGGTCTTCAGCAGTCCATGCTTGTCGTGAAGGAACCGACTAACTGGATCGGGGTGGTTGACTTGCCTGGTTCTTGTACATGTACCCCATGTACATGTATGTTCATGATGTCAGTCACTGGGTTGTCTGTGATATTTCCAAATTGCCCAATATAGCTGGAATATTTAGTACGCCGATAAACAAGAAGAAAACAAAACAATACCTTATTGACATTGAATGACCAAACATGAAAATAAATCTCAAACTGTGCGCATTGATTTAGTTGTTTTTGTTGGTGAGTGAGTTGGGTTTTACGTCGCTTTTAGCAATATTTCAGCTATATACTCACTCACATACTCACTCACTCACTACAATAAGATGGAAATTCAACTTATCGGGAGCAAATGTAAACAGTAATTACAGCATGTTACGTGTGGTATAGTCCGTTTGGCTCAAAAGCGTGTGTTCCATTGAGTTTATATTATATGTTTATTAGTTTTCGAGTTAGATTACAATTTATCGGCCCGCTTTTGAGCCAAACGGACTACAGTAAGGGCCCAGATGTTCCGGCACATGGATCGGATTTTGAAACTCGGGATAATCCTAAGGCTATAATAAGATTATGAGAAAATACGTTCTGGTCAAAGTGCTTGATTATGTTTACACTGAAAAACAAAATGCTCTCCCCAAAGCTTTGTTTTCGTTCGCTCGTCATGCAACTTTGTGTTGGAATGTATCAATAATTTACGTTTAGGCTGCCTCTGAGGTTCTTATTTCACAGATTTCTCGTAATGAGAACAGATCAATAACCGTCAGTTAGATCACTGACCCTCGTGATTCAGCTGCCCATTCGGGAGTTTTCATTTCAACTTTATCCCTTGTGTCTACCGGGTTAGAATATTGATCTTCAGTAACCCATGCTTGTCGTAAGAGGCGACTAAAGGGATCGGGTAATCTGGCTCGCTGACTTGGTTGACACATATCATCGGTTCCCAATTGCGCAGATCGATGCTCATGCTGTTGATCACTGGATTGTCTGGTCCAGACTCGATTATTTACAGACCGCCGCCATATAGCTGGAATATTGCTGAGTGCGGCGTAAAACTAAACTCACTCACTCACTCATCCCTTGTGTCAGAACTTGACAATCCATCTCTTTGTGGCAACTATTTGAAGGAAAAGAAACACAAACTGCAGTTACACCAGGTGCCTGATGCATGTGGAAATCGTTCTTCGCGTCTGATGCACGTGTGTCCGTGGCTCCTTCAAGAATTAAGATTTATACAAACACCTTTGCAGGTGAGGGTTTCGTCGGTATGATGCAGGAGAAAGTTACACGAACAGTAAATGTTTTGTATTTTATGGAACATTCGTAAGAGGCGACCAACGGGATCAGATGGTCAAGCTCGCCGTCTTGATTGACATGTCATCATATCCCAAGTGCGTAGATCGATGCTCTTCATGTTCATCACTGGATTGTCTGGTCCAGACTCGATTTTTAAAGACCGCCGGCATATAGCTCGACTACTACAGTAACTGATTGTGGCGTAAAACAAACAAACAAACAAAACTACTACTACAACTACTACTACTACTACTACTACAATTACTACTACTACTACTACTACTAGTACTACTACTACTTAAGTAGCTCGTACACATATGATAAGACCGCCTCCGTGGTGTAGTGGTTAGAGCGTCCGCCCGGAAAGCGGAAGGTCGCGGGTTCGATCCCCGACCGCGTCATACCAAAAGACGTTAAAATATGGTACTTGTTGGTCCCTGCCTGGCGCTAGTGGAAGAGCGTCCGTACAACAAGGACTGGTCGGCTCGGAGTCAGTATAACGCGTCATATCAGTGGGGTATTCATGCTTCACTGCGGCATGGTATCTCAGTGGGCTAGCACTATAAAACCAGCTTAAGTCTGGGCTAGTACAAGCAGCCGCACATACACATACACACGTATGCACGTCGTCATATGAGCGAAATATTCTCAAACACGACGTAAAACCCAATTTCACCTCACCTCACCTCACCTCACCTCACTTATGATAATGAAAAACCGAATATCATCCACCGCATGTACATGTACTCCACCAAATAGACGTCTACCTAGTCCAAAAAAATCACGAAGTAAAGTTTTCAGTGACAGTAATCCGAAACGCAAACACAGTTTACCTGTTTGAAAAAGGGTCTGAAAATATCACATGACGCATAACGGAAATCAAGTCTGTCTCACAGTCCTTGAAGCGCAATATTTTTCCTTCCACCCAGCCCTTTCTGCAATACTTACGCCCTAAATGAAGCAAGTCCTTATGTTCTAGTTTCTCCTTTCTCACTGGGGCTCCTTTTCAATTTAAATAGAATTATTTGTTTCTATCAAAATTATATATAATCAGAGACTATATATAAGCGTTAGTCTACGTCGCAATCA